TCATTGATATTAAAGAATTAAATAATAAGAATATTTATGCAGATGGTACAGTGGATTGTGGTGAATGGGATTATTATTCTTTTGATATTCCAGCAGATGTCCGAGTTCAGAGATTTTACCTTTCATTCCGATTTACCAAGCTGAATGATCCATCCACGAACGATGTTCAAGCCATTTCCATATTCTTCAAATTAAATGAAATTCCGAATATTACGTATCATGATGCAGTTACAACATCACCGACCGTTCCGATTAGTTTGGATTATTTACAACCCAATTCTACGGGATATATTGCAGTGTTAGGAAGAGGCATGTGTCAAGAAGGACAAGAAACAACGAATTATTATTTATTTCAGGGATATTTGGATCGAGAGGGACCACTCCCAAGGTGAGTTTTTCTGTTATGATTGTTCATGGAAAATGACAAACAATGGAATGGTATATTTTCATTGAATGGTTGAATGAATAATTATCATTGGAATTGTGTGATGGATTATTATTGGCACAGTTGGGCCATTGTTATCATTATTGTTGGATCTGGTCTCCTATTCTCTGTAGTTGCCATTTCCTTATCTGTTGCCTATCGACATTTCAAACATCGAAAGAGAAGAGAATATGAACGATTGTGAGGTCGAATAAATCAAAATTTTTGGTATTTTTGGTTGACCAGTTTACAAAAAAATTGCCTACAATTGAATCATTTTCCTGCTCACACTCAAGACTTCGGAAATGATGGAACACAACCATGAATCCTATCCGATGAATGATCAAAATAGCATTATTCAGCAACAATCTCAAGAGAATCATGAAGAATCCATTCTTGATCTCTCGCATCCAAACCACCCACATCATCATGACGACCATCATCATTTCATATATGTGGATGAACAAGAAGAAGAAGAAGATTTAGAAGCATCTTCCAAATATCATCGTTCCATTGCACTTTTAAACACGAATAATTTCAGTTCCGATCCAATCCATACCGATACTACTAGTAATAATAATAACAACAACAACATGATGAATTTGGAAACAACAACCATGGTTGAAAATTCAACATCCGAAGTTGTTACCTCTCAACAACATCATATTCCATCCTCACCACACCCAAATAATCTCATACTATTAACGGCAGCTACACAAATTCATGAACATCATGGAGAATTATCTTCAACAGTAAACAATCATGATGCCAATGATCCAACCATGATGGCAGCTTCGTCCTCCTATAACAATAACAACAATAACAACACCACAACAACAACAACAGCTAATGCACACACCTCTGAGGATGATGAGGCCACTGGTCACAATATGGCTGGAGTGGGCGATGATGACGAGGATGGAGCTCAACAACTCGACACTGCCCCGCCATTTGAATTTAAGGAACAGGATCGTCTTCTTCCGTATGCCAATATTGAGAGAATCATGAAGAAAACTGTAGAAATGTTTAATAGGAGTGCTAAAATTTCAAAAGAAGCAAAAGAATGCATGCAAGAATGTGTGACAGAATTTATTTGTTTTGTAACGGGAGAAGCTTCTGATTTATGTGTGGAAGAGAAGAGGAAAACAGTTGGTGGAGAGGATATTCTGAATGCATTGGAAAAGTTGGGATTTGAAAATTATGGTATGTTAATATTTGTCAGACATGTTCAATTTCACACATCTTGGAACTCTGAATCTTTGCTTCGTCACGATCGAAAATTGATTATTATTTCCAATAGTCCCAGCATTGAAAGAGTGTTTAAGACAACATAGAGATGCACTAAAAAGTGATAAAAAAGGATCTTCAAGCAAATCCAAGAAAAAGTCCAAATCAAAATCAGGCGATGATAGTTAACAGAAAGGACGTGTAGTTGTAGACGACAAAATTCAATGTCAACGAGAATTTTCTTGCCAAGAGAGTCCACCATGAATATTATGGTAATTTCTCTTTATGAATCAGACATCTGTCTTGAACACAGAAGGTTGTTTTCATGGTTGGAAAACCGATCAACAACACGGACCAATAAAGTATCATCATGAGCAAATTCTCAAAGCCAAAGACCAAACGCAAACGGAGTGATTACTTTTTCAGTGTTCGCATTTTGGTTTGAAAATTCACAAAAAAATTTCCAGGATTTGTTGATGGTACAAAGTCAAGTAATATTAAGGAGTTGCAATACAACCAACTTGTTTGATATTTTAATGAGACTCCTCCAAATTCGAACTTTCAAGAGATGGATTAAATTCACAATAATGCTTAAAGTTGTGAAGACTGGTAAATATCTTTGCTCCTCCAACAAGGTCCATATCCCCACCATGTCTTGAAGTTTTCACTCGAAGATCACTGGAAATCGTTGGAAAGCGAATGGATGCTTGTGTTGTAAATGTTACTCGAACATTCGATGGTGTCAAAGTTTCTACAATTCTTCTTTTCAATCTCTCACCAAGGCCATAAATATGAATTCCGCCACCAGTCAACAGAATATTGCTGAAAATGTTGTCAGCAGTTGCCTTGTCAAACGATGAGCTAATTTTTGCAATTGCTGTATCGACGCAATCACACACTGAGAAATAATACCATTCTCCCAATTCCACCTGTTCTCGGGCTACTTGTGGTGTTTGTTGAAATTTGGCAAATACTGATCTGGTATCTGTTGGCTTATTTGTTTTTACAATAAATTCTTCATATTCTTTGGGATTGTCTAACTTGCTCATAGGTGGAACAATAGCAAACTCTGAAAAGTCATATGGCCAAAATTTGTTCGTCGTACTTTGGAAAACTCTATTTTTCTTGGCCTGTAAATAGTGTTCATAAATTTGAGGCATATGGTGGGTTGAAATATCATTATGAGCTTCTCCGTTAAGAACAGGTGTGCAAGTAACACCAGACGGTCCAATGTCAATTCGTAAAAATGTTTCGAGTTGATAATAAAGTGCAAGCATTTTGCATGGATCCACGAAACATATTGCTGGAACATCAATTGAAAACTGTGCAAATGGGACCAAAGTTTAAGTGAATGCCATGTTACAACATTCAAATCATCAGAAGAGTCAAATATAGTTGATGTAAAAAATCTCAATCATGATTACCTACCAAATGATCCTTAATTGTCTCCTTGTCTTGTTCCGTCCATGATGGAGGTGTAATAATTACAATTGGATGTTCCTTAATGTTAACTTGAAGATCTTCCTTATATAATTGATACACAAAAATTGAAAAATTAGTAAATGAACGAATACGTCGATTCTTTGAAAATAACGTAATTTTGTCACAGTGAAAAGCAGATGATAAAAACCGATCGCCACATAATACGTCGTCAAACCCATAGCCAGGAAGGTAAAAATGCGGATGATTGGGTTTTCCCAACAGAGAGCATGACATCCAAAATGAATTATTCTTTGCTAATCCGTATCTGTAATGAGCAAGCCCAACGTCCAAAATTACAGGACAAAAATAAGCTTCCATATTGGCTCTTGAAATAAATATATGATACCAATCCTTATAGTTGTCCTCTTCTTGCGATGTCGATTCCAATTTTTCAATGAGCTGGTTTTCAGTGCTCACAATTTGCATTGTTCGTGTTTGGGGTCTGTTGAGACTATACTTGTCAATACCGGGCTTTGCACTTGTGATTGTTACAAGGGAAGGCCATTGTTTTGTATAGAAATTCTTCCATAGTACAGGATCTCTTGCATGTGCGTTCATATTTCTGTTTAAGTACAGCACTGTCTTGCAAATTTCTTTAGGTATTAAAAAACTGAAGATAGCCACAAATATTTCAGACGGCAATAGAGATTCTATAAAGCTTTCGGAGCTACCTTTGCTTGTATGAATAGAATGTGACTGTCCAGTGTGAAGTTCATGAGCTTGCAGGTATTTGATTGTGGATTGTTCAATTTTACCTTGCTTTTCTAATTGGACACTTTCATCGATCAATTTCTTAATTTTCAAATATTGTTCGTCCTTTTTGTAATTCATGCGATAAATACTTTCTGAGTCTATTCTGCGAAAAACTAGTTCAGTTCTCAAAACATGTTTATGACCATGAAAAACTGTACTACCCTCATGGTATAGATCATGATTGAATATTGCTGCTGCTCCTTTCAGAGATCGAATGGAAGCAAGCTCCTTAAATTTCATAATGGATACATCTTGGTCATGCTGTGCTTCTGCTGAATCTGAAACTTTTTTTAACAAGGTTGTTCGTGCTGCACTATTGCCAAGATATACTAGTATGGTGAAAATACTTTGTTCATTGTCATTCTTTACAAATTTAGCATCTTGGTGTGGCTATTAGTGGTTATATTGATTTTCCCAAAATTTTTAAACACAGAACCAATCACAAACCTTGAAGAACGCTTTGTCTTTGTAATAACGATTGAATCTTAGGCACTCATTGATATAGGATGGAACCCACGTTCCATTATTATCAAAGCCGTATGGTCGTACACCTTTAAAATCTTGTGCTTTGAGATATGGTCTAATTAGACATAATCATTCATGCAATTTCAATGAAATAATGGAAGTTCACATTTCATAAAAGTAAAACGGTGAATCATCACTACTAATCAACTAACCTAATTCGACTCCAAAGTATGTTTGCCAATTTCTTACTAATCACCAATACTCTCTCATTGTTGCGATAACTCTTTGGATATTCCTTTTCTAGTGATTCGTACCCAAGCTGTGAAGTTATTTCAACCAGCTCATCACATTCACTTTCCGATAATATTTCCGAAATGAAGATGCAACGATCAGTATTTTCAACTTTTTCCAAAACATGTTGCTCGGTGGTTTCTTTGGAAACATGGAAATCCAATCCTCTCACTGTTTCCTTCTCTTCATTCATCGCCATCTCCAAGAAATTCACCTCCCGAACGGTTGGGTTAATAGATATAGTCGTTCCAGGAACGAGAATATCCTTTCGTCTCCAAAATTTACATTCATCATTTGCTTCCGTGGGTATTGTCGTTTTTGATGATCGCAAAAAGTATGGAACTTTATCGTCATCGGATAATGAATGGTTTTCTTGATCCCAATGATGAAGCTTGAAATGAGTTGCACTTCGTTCCATTTTTTGGTAGCCAAGAGAGTTTTTTGTAAAGATTTCAGAGTCTCTGAAATCTCTCAAAATATTGTCAAGGAGAAATTGGGTCAGACTGGTTAATATAATTAAACTCAATGGGTGTTGTAAAATTATGTGGTCGGCTCACCAGTCCGCAACACCCCGAAGATCCCGATTCATGAAACAAAGGCTCTTCAAGAATAAAGAACAAACAACAACTTGAAAAAAATGGCTTCAACCATTACTTGGCCAGTCTATCATTGGTTACCGTGGAGAGATGACCACTATTTGAAAGAGCAACACGACAGACTACTACTCTCTTCCTTTCATAATCAAACAAACTCGTCCATTTCACAACACGTGGATCATGGTTTCATGTTACTACAATCGGCAGATGGGGTGAGTGTTCATTCTTCTCTTTTTTTGTATGTCGGTAGGAATTTACCCTAACGAATGATCATGGGTTATTTGAAAAATGTTCACAAATTGACCAAATTTGTAATGATGATGATCTATGGTCGTATACGTTTCCGATCATCTAATTCTTTGTGGAAAAATCAAAATACTCATTGTTTCAAAATACAATGTTTGGAATCACATAGTCTCTTGCAGTGAAATATTTATTAGCCGAATTGGATGTTCAAATCATGTTACCGTATTTTGCTACTTTAATTTTGTTGGAATTATTTTGTCATTTTGTGTTGTGGAATCGAACCTTGTATCGTTTCAATGATACCTTCTCGAGTTTAGCCTGTGGAATTACTCAACAAATTACTGGAAAATTATTTACTAATTATTATTTTCATGTATTGCCTTATACATTTGTGTATCATTGTATTTATGGAGGTGGTAAAAGTGCGTTGCAAGAGGGTGTAGATCAATTGGGATTAACTTCATGGTATTGGTGGTTTGTATTGATTTTTAAGGATCATCAATATTATTGGGCTCATCGATATTTACATGAGGTAAGTGACTTTGAATTCTTTCAAATAATGTCATGCGTACTCACATGATTTCGTTGTTGCTGCATCCATGTGAAATTCTCGTATTTTCTCTATCCAAACAAAATTGTGACAATGTGTGTTCCAATAGTGGAATATCGGATGGGCAGCTCACAATGTGCATCACAGCGTAAGTAGAATCATCTAGTCCTTTACTCCAGGAGTAGTAATTGGTTCAACCATGGATAAATTTTGTTCTCAGTCCGAAGAGTACAATCTCACTTCAGCTCTCAGACAAGGATTTATTCAAGAAATTATTGGCTTTCCATTTTCACTTCCATTAGCTTTCTGTGGTGTTCACCCTTATTTGTTTTCTCTCCATTCGAATTTGAATACGTTGGCTCAATTTTGGTTTCATACCAGAGCCATTCGAAAATTCCCCTCGTTCATTGAATTTTTCCTTAATACTCCTTCTCATCACAGAGTTCATCATGGACGTAATGAATATTGTCTCGATAAGAATTATGGAGGTATTTTCATTGTATTCGATCGATTGTATGGAACGTTTGAGGCCGAACAAGAAATGGAAACTCCCGATCCCATTCGTGGTGATTATTCCAATGTGGTGTATGGTTTAACGAGTCCTCTCACTACATTCAATCCCATTCACACTCAGACACATCATTTGGTGTACATGTGGCAAACCATGAAAGAAATTTCCTCATCCTCTTCATGTGAAGTATTTAAGGGAAAACCATTTTGGTTTATTTGGTGGAATCGATTACAAGTAGTATTTCGAGGACCAGGATGGAATCCATTCACACAAAGCATGTATGAATGTCCACCAGTTTTGGAACCTCCCTCTCGAAATGAAATGTATGATCCATCGATTGGAGTTTGGAAAACGGTCATGGCCACACTTCATTTCTTGGTATTGTTTGTGTTGAGCGTGTTTCATTTGGAAACTAATTTTTCCCACTCTTCATTATTGACTAACAATAGTAGTGGATTTTTTGGGGAGAATGAGCATCATGTGTTGCATTTCGCTCAATTTGCACTCCTCTATTTATCCTTTTCTTCCCTTGCATTGATCTATGAAGGAATGGATTGGAAGTTCACACGACGATGTGAAATATTGAGATGTTCCATCATGTTGATTTTACTTCGTTTTGTCGTGAGTGCCAAGTCCTCAGCATCATCAACAACAACCTTCTCAATCAATTGTTTCATTTCGAAAATCATGCCAGGTGCTTCCATTTTCGCATCACCACTTGACATTATGGGTGTGAATTTCACACTCGCTCATGTCATGATGATGTTTTATTTCCTTTCATTGAGTTATTGGTGGTGGATGGGAAGAGTGGTCACACTAACCAACAGCAACGAAAAATCCAAATCCGATTAATAGAGCTTGTCCAAAAGCCCGCCAAAATAAAATGTTGAAATTTGTTCAAAAAATAAAAAAATGATTTCACTCTCGGATACGGAAGAAGAGCAGCACAACTCGGACCGACCATTGTTTAATCATTTACTGGAAGAAGAGGATGATCATCACGAACACCATGGTAGCAGCGGAAGAGGTAGTATTGGAGGCTTGGCTCAATACGGACGTAGCTCTTTGGGTGGAAGTGGACAAGCTGCTCCTGTCATACCCTCACTCGTGGATCCATCCGGTATCAAGACTTCTTTTTCCAAGTTTTTACAGGAATGTGTATTGAGTTCGGAACAATTGAAACAAACCATTTCTTTGACGAATACGTTTAAATTAGACGTTGCTCGTTTGAAACAACATGATGAACAGCTGTATCATATTTTGGTTCAATATCCCGAGACGGTAATTTCAATTTTTGATGTCGTGATGAGTGAAGAATGGCACAAGAGCCAGGGAGAGGAATGTACAATTACCATCACTGTAAACCTTGATACATTTAAACCAATGAGAGCACTCAACCCAACGGATATTGATAGACTTGTTGGAATTCAGGGAATGGTTACAAGACTGAGTGAAATTATTCCGGACATGAGAGGAGCTTATTTTAAATGCTCGGGATGCAGTGCCTCGAAGTATGTTCCACTCACGCAAGGAAGAGTGAAAGAACCACCCAAGTGTACGAGTGATACATGTTCAGGCTCGTCATGGATACTCATTCACAACCGGTGTCAATTTTATGACAAACAAGTGATCAAACTTCAAGAAACACCAGAGAGTATTCCAGAAGGTGAAACGCCACATACAGTGAATTTGTGTGTTTTTGACTCGTTAACAGACAGTGTCAAACCAGGTGACAGAGTTAAAGTGACAGCAATTTATAGAGCCATTCCAATTCGTATCAGCTCGAAACAACGAAAAGTCAAGAATATTTTCAAAACCTATTTGGATGTTTTGGGATTTGAAAAAATTGGAATTAGTATCTTGAATGGAGAATTAACACGAGCAACAACGGGTGGTAGCGGCAGCACAAGTAACTCTGCATCTCTTGAAGAAGCCGATGAAGAGGAACAATTAGCCAAATTAATGAACATTACTCCTCAAGAAGAAGCGGAAATCAAAGAACTGGCACAAAATCCAAATATTTATCAAATGTTGCAAGATTCCATTGCACCTGGTGTTTTTGAAATGAGTAGTGTCAAGAAGGGTATTCTGTGTCAGCTCTTTGGAGGTACAAACAAAAAGATACCAAATGGTCAATTGAGAGGAGAAATTCACATTTTGCTGTGTGGTGATCCTGGTGTAAGCAAGTCTCAACTCTTAATTCAAGTTCACAAAATTGCTCCAAGAGGAATTTATACATCAGGAAAAGGAAGTTCAGCTGTTGGTCTAACTGCATACGTCACAAAAGATCCAGATTCTGGCGACATGGTCCTAGAGAGTGGTGCTTTGGTGTTATCGGATCTGGGTATTTGCTGTATTGACGAGTTTGACAAAATGTCAGATCAAACTCGATCCGTTTTGCACGAAGTCATGGAACAATGTACTGTTTCAGTTGCTAAGGCTGGTATTATCTGTACTCTCAATGCAAGAACCTCCATATTGGCAGCAGCGAATCCTAAAGAGTCACGATACAACTCCAATCTCTCCATTGTAGAGAATATTCAACTTCCACCCACTCTCCTGTCTCGTTTCGATTTAATTTTCCTTTTACATGACATACCTGACCGAGATCAAGATGAAAAACTTGCCAAGCACATTATTTCTCTTCACTTTGATGTGCCCACTGATTATTCCACAAATATTATTCCAAAAGATCTTTTGGCGAAATATATTGCCTATGCTCGAAATAAGATACATCCTGTCATTACGGATGAAGTGAAACCATATCTTATTGAGGGATATTTAGGTCTTCGAAAATTCGGCTCTCACAAAAAGAATATCACAGCAACGACTCGACAATTGGAATCTTTAATTCGTTTATCTGAAAGCTTGGCAAGAATGAAATTGAAACCGACGGTGCAACGCGAGGATGTTGAGGAAGCTCTCAGACTCGTTCGAGAGTCTATATTTAAGGCAGCGTTTGATCCCAAAACAGGTACCATTGATATTGATTTGCTTCAAACTGGACGATCATCTGCAGACAGAGATTTGGAAAATTTGAACGACGAGGAAACCTTTGGAATGGAAGAGGAATTGTAGTTTTCTGGACAGCCCTGGGCTTGTTTTCGTATTTTCCTAAGAGTGTGACAACTCATACTACTACCACAAAGTTTGATGGATCACAACACTCACATAAACCAGTAACTTATTGAAAAACTAATGGACAATGATTGAATGTAATGCCAATAGAGTTTAGGTATGAATAGCATGTCACCTTCACTGAGTATGCATTCCCAACAGTGATTTTCAGCCTCGGACAACAATGGGTGCATTTCCATTAAAAGCTCTCTTTCCTTCTCTTGTCCATGCAACACGAACATATTTTCAATTTCACTTGTATTCGATTGCAACAGTCCAGTCTTTCGTTTGTACAAGCTCGGAGTGGCGTCCGGATGATAAATTCGAACGTATTTATGGCCACACACCTGTACCAGTATGTTATCATAGGGATCTGTATGGAGCGGTGAAATGGTGTTGCATGGACCAAACCATGCATTGACAGAGGTCACTTCACCTTGCTCTCCTAGCATACAATAGATGGGTTCTTGAATATCTTTACGTAATGCGTTAATTTGTTCAAATAGAGGATGTTGAGCAAGATAGCCAATATTTCTATTAGTGCCTGTGGTTTCCGTCATTGATTCTTGTTCATCACCAACCTGCAAGACATAGGTTTTCATATATTCATGGAATGGCATTAATTGTTGTGACCAATCCTCAGAAGTATAAAATTCACCAATTTCCACAGGAACCACTCGATAGGCTGCTTTTTGTAATAGATAGTCCATATTTCTCCAATTTTTATACGCAGCCCATTCTGTTGCAGCATTCTTAATGATACAAGGCAATTGCTTGTCGAAATATTTCGCTTTAAATTCCATCACACTCATAGAATTGAAATCCACTACAGGTATAGGTTTAACAGGAGGAGATAAGAAAACGACTTGAGATCTTAAATCTTGAGAAACTTTCCTTTTTTTGGAAGTGATTTCTTCATGTCCTTCATCAGTACGTTCACTATTTTCATCAGTTAAAGAAGGAATTCCTAGTGTTTCAATCAAATATTCATGAATAGAATCTGCAAAATTATGAATATATGGTCGATAGATATCATCTCCCATCATTAAGCCTTCATCACACTTTTTTAAAAGTTGTTCCATGAAGTGAGCAGTCGTATTGCTGTCATTCAATATACTCTCATGTTTGGATCTCTTGAAAATATTGAAAGCAACTTGTAATAAACAGAGCAATGCAAATAAACTTCTCCATTCTGGACACACATCGGACCAATGACCTGTATGAAGCTGAGTCCATGATATTTCCAGCAATTCATCCAACGAGTGAAGAATATGCTCCTCTTGTTCGGAAATGTTTGGTTGTTCGGAATTGTTATGTGGAGTGTTTTGTTCAATTTCAATTAAAAGATTTTTAAATAATTGATCCAAGAGTGGATGAACGCTATGACTATGGGAAAGAATTTTCGTTTTAATTTGATGAAGATTAAATAATAAATTATCATCATCCATGGTGTTGTCCTCATCATTTAGAAGATCACTGGAATTATCATCTTTCCGATTACACTCCAAAATTTTGACAAATAAATCAAACGCAAGTCGATCAAGCTGATTTGATGATGATTCCATTTTTTTCTTATTGGTCAGTTCAACATTATAGGTTTAGCTTAAAAGTGCAAGGTAAAGAAATAATCAAGCAGGTTATGAGCTATACAATACGTCATTAACAATTAATTATTAATGAAAAAAACTCATCAATGTTGGAATTGAGGATTAATTGGAATGGTGATAATGGTTCCACTGCTACTTGCTGACTTATCACCTTCATCTTTTTTCCGCTTCTTCTTTTCCTTCTTATCCTTATCTTTCTTTTCCTTTTTCTTTTTTTTCTTTTCTTCTTTGTCTCCCTTTTCGCTCTTATCCTTCTTTTCTTTTTTTTCCTTCTTTTCCTTCTTCTCTTTCTTTCTCTTTTTCCTATTTTCAGACTCTTCTTCAGTGGCAGAATATTGATCTATTGAGCTGTCCATTGAGAGTGGTGTCTGAACCGTGGAGCTCGACATGGGGGTCGATACACTTGCTTGCTGATTCGGTATTCTGATAATATTTTTCTCAATGTCTATGGCTGGTGTAGAAGGAGTGACAATATTATCGGAAATGGGTTCTTGTTTGATGGTTGTGGTCGTTTTAATTGCTGATGGTGGCAGCGTGGGTGGCGTGGTAGACATGTCTGTACCTCGCAATAGCTGTTGTTGATTTTGATATACATCTCTACTACCAAGACTCATTGAACCATTGAGTGGTTGATTGGGTGATGGCATTGTTTGTGGTGGAAGATGTGTTGGCTGAGGTTGTTGTTTTGGTACTAGAATTGGCTGAGAAATTGAAGGAAATATAAATGTTCCTCCTTGTAATGTGAAGGCTTCTCTCGCATAATTGTCTCGTTTCAAATCAATAGGTTCATCCAAAATACGATTCGGTGTTGGGTCTTTTCCTTCAATCACACGAATAAGACTTGATGATTCTCGCAACAATGGAATAACTACATTTGGATCCAGTGAAGATCCCGAGGCTTCATTTTGTGCTTGTACTTGTCCTTCCAATTGATCAAAGGCCACATCACTAATATATTCCATAAAGGATGATGTGGTTCCCGATGAATTATTACTAAATACATAGGCAATCATTTCATGATCATTTTTTAAATCAATTCCCAAATCCGATTGCATTAAAGCTGCCGATTGTTGATTCTGATGAGAAGGGGGAGCAATAAACCCTCTCGAGAGTAATTCTGAATTATGAATACTCTTGTAGAGATAAATATTGGGAGATGAGGTTTTGGACATTTTTTAATAAAAAAATATTGGTGAATCTTGTATCAAGCGCTACTCGATTTCCCACTCACGCCTCCACTGTAAAATGATATTTGCATGTCCAGAATATTATACGTAACATTGTACATCTCGTGTGTGGTAAATCCAACGACAACAGTTACTCGGGTAGAGAGTTCTCTCAAATAATTAAACAACGGCCCACATTCGAGTAAACAGGGTTGAACTTTTAAAATTTGCAGCTCAGCATTTGAATTGAAGCTTATTGGACACTATTAAGGATGTGCAGTCGTTGTACTCTAACTTATCACAGAACAGTCTGTACATCTTGAATTTTTTGATGACGATTTGAAACCTCATTCAAGAACATTAAATCCAATTTGGGGAAAGTACGAGCATTGATTAGAGGATGAATGAGGCGACAATTTATTAAGAAATTAAATCTGGTAGATGCAAGCCATTTGGGATAGACGATAATCTAAATTTCATGATAGTCATTCATTTGTTCATAGCAAAATTTGTTCTGACTGTGCAGTGCTTCTAATAATGGAATCATGGTTTTGAAATTTTTAACACACTTTGCAAAATCGACCTCTTTCCAATCCCAAGGAGAAATTAAAACAGCTCTGTGTACAGATGTTTTCTTGCAATGCTGATAGAAAGTGAGTTGACGTTCCAATTGGAGAAACTTTTTCTTCCACACTTCCTCTTTAGTGATTTTTTGCCCTGTAGCCTCGATGATTATATTTTCATCTTCTCTCTCTCCTACAAAATTAAATTCAATAGACGGTGGATCACTTGAGAGCTGATCAGTCAGAAGTGTTACTTTGTCGTTCCAGTTTCTCTTCTCAAGCTCAACCTGTGCATTATGAAACTCCAAGCCATAGTCTTTTCTCAACAATTTTAAAGGACTGAAGAATCTTTGGAATGGAATGTCAAATTTGCGAATGATGTTGAGTCTAATGTAGTTTTCATAATTTGCTCCTACAAGATGATCAATTTTGTTGTTAACAGTATCAATCTTTTCCTCTAATGTGTATTGAACATTATCAATCTTTTTCTCTAAAGTGATAATCTTGTTCTCTAATTCATCAAATTTCAACAAAATCAGAGACTTTAAATCATGAGATTCTGAACCAAACACAGCATTGGTAAAAAGAGGAGGTTCTTCCGCTTCTTTTTGATTTGAAATGTTCTTGTAATCAACTATTCGATTGTCTTCCTCTCCTTCTTCGCTTTCGTTGCTTTTCTCTACCCAAAAAGTTTTTCCATCAAGGCTTGAACCTGGTTTACCCTCTTGAACGTCTCTGTTTGTTAAAGGACAACTTGAAGGAGTGTCATTTACACTTGCTTTTTGAGAAGCATCAGCGTTTGTTGTTGATGTTTGGACCGTATTTGAGGTTGAACGCACTGTTCCACGCCCTTTGTTCTTACTTTTCTTTGGATGTTTCTTTCCGTTTGTCTTCTTGTTCATATTTTTATCCACCTCATTTATCAAAAACGCCCTCATTTTGTCGGATTCAGCATGTTTCGCCAACAGTTCACTTTGGACAATGGAAAGAAGTTTCTCAGTCATGTCCATCGTCTGGTCTACTCTTTTTTCCAACGGCTCATTTTCGTCCAACGGAGGAGGACAAGGTATTTCCTTCCAAGACGAGGTTTCTTTAAGGTCTTTTGAGGTAGTAACTCCGTAGGCCAAATACAAATGCTTCAACCATGGATTTAATGAATCATAGATCTTTGGTTTAGGTAAATACTTCTTGTTGATGAAACGGTCCTTTACTTCAAGCCTTTTCTGCTCGCGTTCTTCATCGGAAAAAAACTGTTCTTTCATTTCGGTTCTAGATAATATTTTTTTTGTCCTTAATAAGTCGCTAAGCATACTTGCTGTTTTTCAAAACTCAAAATTGGGTTTGCACGGACTTTGCATTTCTTGTTTTTGACTTGAGTTTGTCTAATATTCGTTTTTCGCTCCATGGCTTGGTCTCTTCCTATCATTGCAAAGCAGAATTCGCAAAAACGTTTCATCAAAAAGAATGTCTTGCCTTATCAAATACTGTGGACCTTTTACGATGTATGAACTGGTTGAAAGTCATGTTTTGAGGGGTTGGACTTGTATTGAACGAGTAACTGGTGTAGCTATTATACTTGGCGCTTCGCTCATTGGATTTTCCAACGCAATCATGGCAGTGAATGACTCTACAATATTCTTTTATTTTAACAATATATGGTGACGAAAGAGCCAACTCTTTACTGCTCCCTCAAAACGGAGGCATGAAATAAAGGTAAAAGTGTGGAGAAGAACACCTGTTTCCAAACAGAACATTCAACAATACAATTATCCAATGAACGGTTAATATAACCTCAATCAAACATTAGAATTCGATGATTATTCTCATCGACCACAAAAAGTTCACCTGTCCTCTCATTCACACACATTCCAAATGGAGCATACAATTTCTCACTCTTATTGAAAATTCCAAACGATCCAAAACTTTTCAAGAATTTACCACTCTTATGAAAGACCATGATTCGATGATTCATCGAGTCACTGACAATAATATTTCCTGTCGATCGATCCACACAAAGGCCCATGGGACATACAAAATAATCAGGTTGATTGGAAGATACAGCTGTTCCTTGTTGAGAGTTCATGTTGTGATCATTCTCAGGCATGGATGTATATTCTTCATCATTGCCAAGTATTGAAATACTTTTTTTGATATCCCAATAATGTTGATTGGCATCAGAGTTGTTGATGGCTGGAGAAAGAATCTTAATCTTCGAATTCCAATATTCAGAAATGACAATTTTCGGATTCATTTTGTTTGAAAACAAGACGGCAATGGACCATGGTTCATGAATTTGAGAATGAATTTCCAATCTGTGATGCACCAACGTGGAAATACTTCGAATAAGAGAGCCATCGAACGAGTTGAGTATTTCAATTTGATTGTATCCACTATTACAAATATAAATGTCACTCGATTCATAGTTTCTTTTGGGAATGACAGCCACTCCCATTGGATAATAAAATTTTGGTGTTTTGCTCGAGTTGTTCGTAAATGGTGGTAGATTATTTGGAGTTGTTCTATTTTCTTCATCATTTTCGTGAATCATGTTATTCGAAATTCCAACTTGCCATTTTCGTACAATTGGCTCACCTCGATTGAAAATTCGAAATTTACACACATGACAATAGCTCAAGGTGACAATTAATGAATCCATGTCATTGGTGTCAAATGCTAAACATTGAGGATGAAATGAAAGTGGAATACTTGTTACAAATTTTCGTGTCATTAAATCAAAGAGGACAATTCTGGAATTTCCAAAGTCACTCACAACGATCAACGAATGTCGATACGAAATTTTGACATCTCTCGGAAATGAAAAATCAATACCATTGACGTTAGTTGAGCAAGAATCGAAGGTTGTTGCATTTCCAAGTGTTCCCTTAAGAGTGAAATTATATTTGAAAGGAATGCATGGTTGATTGTTGGTGGAAAGTTTTTTTCGGAGCAGGTGAAGGATCTTCCTATTGGTAAGAGGAAGAGGGTCTTGCGAATTGAGAAGAATAATCGTTACAGAGCGATCCATGGCAGTATTGACTTTCTTTTTGATGAAACGTTTGCTGGGTTGCCTTTTTAAGATGTGTCAGTTGTCCAGTAGGTGGTGAAAAATGCAATGTTCATGTGGTGTAAATATTACAACAAATTTTATTGATACATACGATTCAAACTTCTCAATTATAAGTCAACAATCTCTTTCCATGCTTATAAATTTGATATCCAATAATGGAGCCCACGGAAAGAGTGACAGGAGCCAATGAGTAGAATGAATACTTTTCCAATGACAAAAAGGCAACTCCAATAGCTCCAGCACCAGGTAACATACCAGCTTTAAAAATCCAAATTACAAAACCATTGACACCATACATTCAATAAACATGTTCAATGATAAATTCAATAACATGTTGGAACATACCTAATAAACCTTCCATATCGAAAAAGCTATTCTTTGCAATATCTGCAGTAACAAAAAGTGTACCTCCAATTCCAGAAACAATCATTGGAAGCAAATTCCAGAAAGGTCCCAAACGATTTCCACTTGAAAATCCTATCAATGAAATGATACTCAAAACCGAACAAATCATGAGTACAATTTTGTGAATGTCTAAATCACGCCAATTAAATGTCTTGGAAATGAAGGGAAATGTTTTCTTGAGTGAAATTTTGCCATGAAACAAATCAGCGTAACACAAAATGGTCATGAAAGCAAATATGGCATAGAAGGGAAGCATATGAACACCTGTAGTAGTGGAGAAGAATTTTGATTGCGAATCCGTCAGTTGGTATCCAGCCAGATTATACATGTGATATTTGAATCCTGTAAAAACCCAAACGAGTAAGCCCCAAATGGCATAGAATATGAGTATGACTCCAGTTTCTGAGCGACTCTTAAATTTGAACAATTCATTCACAAATAAGGCGCTAATCATTGAAAATGTCATTCCAGCCAATACGTGCATGGGTACCATGGAATATGGTAACCACCACAATCCTGTATCAAGTGTCCTTCGTTCAGGTGGTGTGCGTCCAAACAATCCAATAGAAATGTTGGCATCAACAGTGATAATTCCTGCCATCATTAACAATGAATACAGAGAATAGTGCTCAAATCTTGGAGCCAATCCATCAAAACATTCTCGAACGCTTCTAAGACGCTTGGCGCTTGCTTTTTCGCTTCTCACATGTTTTACAAATTCAATAAATTGGTTCTTGCAGACAATGATTGGTTTCTTGTAGACTTTTAACATGGATGTGGCCTCGCTCTCTTTGATCTGATTGAAAAACACCTTCTGTTTGATAAACTTTTCATATTGTAAGTCAAATTCCTTGTAAATATGAGCATATTTTCTGTTGTGGACATAGACAGGACTGAATCGATCAAAATATTTCAATAAAAGATGTCCAATCTCTTCGGATCTACCATTAGGAATTATCTTTTCCGAAATGGTGAGCGGTACAAATTGCCATACTCTGTATTGCGTATTCACAATTTCTTCCCAACTCTTACAGACCTGAGAAATTCGTACAATTTGGAAAGGACTTGATCCCGAATATTGAAATATTTCGATCAAAATTTCATCAGGAACCGATGTCATACGTTTGTTATCAATAATGAATGGAGTATATTTTTCTTCCGTTGTTGATGGTTGATGATCATCCTCGTCTTTTGAAAAATCGACTGCACGATCTTGAAACGATCGAGTAGCAGTGGAGGATGAAATCATTTTTTTTTGATCTGGTTCGATCGAAGAAATCGTGCTATTGGATGGACCATGACGTCAGGAGTGAGTGAACTTGATGTCATCATGTCCACGTAATGAATAACAATTCGAATAGCAAGACGTGCAATTAAAATGTTAAAACATGCTATTATTAATAATGAATACAGTCAGACTGAGGCTGTTTCATGATTAATTGGAAGAATAAATTAAAATAATGAGTATTGACGATCAGGGGTTTGGAAATCCAATGGTGTGGATCACGATATTCACAAAGGCATGATGATGACCATGACGATCACTATACAAATCTTCTCAAATCTAAAATTTTGGTATCTACTACTTTATCTTTCGAGTAGGGATTATCAACAAAATTCGTGGGGTCCTCATCATAGGCCAAATTCTGAGCTCGTGGTAGTTGTTTGGCATCATTGAGAGCAGCAGATTCATTTCTTGGATTTATCATCATGCTGTTTTGGAGGGCTAAACTCTCTAATAACGGATTTCCCGAGTTCATGAAAATAATTCTTCGTTGTCGGCCGTTATTATTGTTGTTGCTATTCGTGTGATGGTCTTGATTAATGATGTGATCGGGAATAAAAAAATCATCATCGTCCATCATCATGGATCTGTTATTATTATTCATGGAATTTCCTCTCATTCGGCTGGCATGAGAAAAACCAGCCATGAATTGTGCCAAGTTGAACAATGCTTGACGATCGTCTGACATTTTTTTCACTCTATTTTTATCACAAGATTTCAATTTCCAAAATTTTGGGATACGGACATTTTCAACGTGTCATAATAATAATATTAAGAAAAAAAGCTTTCTCAAACCCTCCTGAACTATTATTCAATGATGATGTTGTGACACCGTCATTTAATGATAAACATTAATAATGGCATGCAAATTATTCAGTTTTGGGTTTGAAAAGCTTTGCTTTGGCTTTGGAGAGCATGAGCATTGCTACAGGTGAATCTTGTAAATTGAGAATATTTTGACACACTCGAATGACAGAGGCATAATCACCCTCCCTAGAATAGCGTTGAATGAGCAGAAAGTCACGAGAAATTTTGATTTGTAAATCAGTAGCTTCCTTATTACTACATTCCAAGCTGTAGAATGCAATGCTTTTTCCACTAATTTCCATATTATCGACATAGTTGCAAACAAAATGATCTTTCACATGGTTATAAGTACTTTCTCCAATCAATACCGTGGTTGAGTATTCTCGATTCAATCGTTCTAGCTTGGAAGCAATATTTACATTGACGCCAATCACTGTGTTTGTTCGAGGGCAAAACGATCATATCATTGTCCAAAATATATTCAAAATGTTAAACAAAATGAGTACATGGATGTGACACAAAAATACATACCTCCAAAACTCAATCTACTCAAACAACCCATGGAACCACAATAAACCTCACCGCTATTAATTCCCACTCGCATGTCGAGTTGAGGATAACCTTTCTCTTTCCAAGCTTTGTTCAGATCATGGAAGACCTCTAACATTTCTGTCACTGCTCTGCAAGCTCTAATTTCATGCTGTTCCACTCTCGCGAGAAGTCCATTATGTGTATTGCTGCTCCACAACGCTCGAATGCCATCACCAACATACTTCTCAATGAAGCCGTGGTGATGTTCCAAAGTTGTCGTCATGGCAGAAAAATATTCGGTCATGACGCTTAGTAATATTTCACTGTCTGTACTCTCAGCGAGTTCAGTAAAGCTTACAAGGTCAGAACAGAGAATGGTCATATTTTGCACGTCCATGCCAATTTCTGCAAAATATTGACCACTAAGCACTCGTTTCATGAAATTCTGATGTACATATTTGCTGAACGTATTGATACCTCTACGGAGAGATGAGATGCTTTGTTCCAGTGCTGAAATGTCAGAAAATACACTGCGTTTCTCCTCTTCTGATTCGTTCATGTTTTTCAACTTGACAAGTTTGTCTAGCTTTTTTTTCACATTTCTCAGTGGGTTATTCATTGCCTGAACGAGAATAAACAATAGCAAGGTACCACCGACCATGATAATGATATACACGACAAGAGATGTAATTCCACTTGCGAATAACTCTGTCACAAAATCGGACTGATTATACACAATCACTACTCTCCACATTAGGTTATATTTGTCGGTAATGGTGGAAACAAATATGTTCTTTCCATTCAGGAAGAAAGTGTCTGACTTGGCGTTGGTCATATTATTTCGCATAATGTGTTGAGCGTATGCCAAAATTTCCCTGTTCACATCCACCAATTCTTGAGTCGTATTGTTTTGAGTGTCACCCTTACTGGAGGCAATAATTACTCCATTTGGATCCATGATGAAGCAATAATTAAGGTTAGGATATTGTTGCAAGGTTGAATTCAAAAAATTCCCCAATCCTTCCAATGAAAACAAGATTCCCACCACTCCATATAAATGGTCGTATGTGTAGCACGATTTATCACGACACAGCATGGAATTGTTGGGTGTCAATTGAGAGAGACCCAAACGCACCGCAGTGGTATTTGCCTTTATGTAAATTGGAAAGGCCTTTTTCAACCACCAACGAGTCATGATTTTAAAAATTCACCCAAGTTTCATTGAATCGATTACAACAAACAGGTCACGCTCTAATTTCAAAAATTATTAATAATAACTTACCAAGTTAATACTCGGTTTACCATACACCGAAAAAAAGATTTCTGACCACCGAGGTGAAACAGTATCCTTTGCATTTTCTTGAAATGCTCTAAACCAAGGTCTGTCTGTTGGCAAATATGGAAAATAGGACGTGCTTAGTAGATTGGATGCTACAAGAGGATCTGAACGTAAATCGTTCTCATGGTTGTGATATCGATACAAGGTGTTGGTGTTATTAAGAAACTCCAAAACAGAAAAGGTTTGATTAATGTCATTGACTCCGATATAATGATCGTTAAAAGTACCTAATTGCAGAATGCTTAACGGAGTGCTGGGAACGTACAAACCCCGAATATATTTGAAAAGTAAGACCCATGAGGTGAAATTGTAAACATCCAAACCAGAATCCAACTCCAAGTATATTTGTTGCAACACGCTCTCAGAAGTATCAATAATTGTTGAAACATGAATATTCACGAATAATTGCGTTTGAAATGCCTGATTTTGAGACACACGTGACAAGGTCTGATTTCCACTCGTGTACAGCAACAATATACTCGTCAATAAACCTAAAACCCCTTGCACAATAAACACAATCAACAAGCAATGTACAATTCTGACTCCTTTCGGGCATTCACAACGACACAGATTGGATTTGCCTTTATCCGATGTGGAAGTGCTGCCTTTCGTTGAGTAATAACTGTTTGAAGTAAAGATGGAACTCTTCCTCGACGAAGGGAACGGAGAGGGTTTTGGAAGCTGATGTGAGAGCATGGGTCTGGTGAGATCATCGGATTGAAAAGTTGTTGCTTTTTCACGATGTTGTGTGGTATTGTCTTCGCCGACCACAGAAATTATATCTTGATGATGATCTTCTTCATTCGGGACGGGATTGGTTTGTTGATTTCCAATCATGATGTGTGCTGCAAACTGTTAACTATTGAGTGGTTGCGGAATAAGTGTTTCCCTGAAGCAACGCTTAAAGCGGTGAATCTAGAGTTATTTGTTTGAGTTTTCGCAGCAGTAGTGAAAACGGCCATCTTGATGGAAAGCCAAATATTGTTTGTCCAACACCACAACTCTGTAAAAGTACAATTGACAATTCCGAACAACTCGATATCATTTGCAGAAAATAGATATATCATTATCATTCGTATGATGCATCTACCAAGTTGAATGTTCATTCCTGGCTTCACAATTCCCAACGTCAGTTGCGATGATGAAGCTTGTGGATCGTGATGGGCATTTATAAATCGGCATTGGATATTTTTGATTTTTAAAATAATTAAAAAAAATTCACTTTCGTTGCTTGTGATAAGCTTGACGTTCTTGCATACAGAATATTGTTGTGAGCGAATTCGAAAATTCTATTTTTCGACAGCAACAGGACTTTGTTAAATACAAATTACTATTTATTAAGAGAAAACCTCTTGAGCAAATCAATCTAGATTTTTACCCCTAGAGTTGTATCACGAGAGTTGTATTATTTGATAATTTTTATTGATCATAACATCTAGTTGAATCCGATATGGGAGTTCCAAGACTATTCAAATGGTTATCCGAGAGATATCCATGTATTGTTACCTCGCTAACCGAGGCTACTATTCCTACAGTTGGTAAGTATTATAATCCTAACAACACTATCAACCAATCATTGTATATTATTCATATATTATCGTTTTACATACATCATAATATCTGCATAATATGCTTCTGTATCATCTTTATGCGAATTAATCTTTTATTTGAAACATCATGTTGATTTCATCATCATCACGTTAGATAATCTGTATCTTGATATGAACGGAATCATTCACAACTGTACTCACAAGGACGATGAGATTAAATCTCAACTCACTGAGAAGGAAATGATACTCAAGATTTTCCGTTACATTGACCAACTTTTTCAACTGATTAAACCTGCCAAATATTTCTTCTTGGCATTGGACGGAGTGGCACCAAGAGCCAAGATGAATCAACAACGATCGAGACGTTTCAGAAAAGTGCACGATGAACAAGAATTACGTAAAAAGTTGGAACAGAAGGGAGAAGTTGTGGCTCCGAAGGACAATGTGTTTGACTCCAACTGTATCACTCCTGGTACTGAGTTTATGGCTAAATTGAGTGAACATTTGAAATACATGATTCACAGCAAGATGAAGAACGATATTAGATGGCAAAAGTGTCAAGTTATATTATCTGGGCATGAAGTTCCAGGTGAAGGTGAACACAAAATCATGAACTTTATTAGAGGAAGAAAAATGCAAGACGATTATTTACCCAACGAAAGACACTGTTTGTACGGCTTGGACGCAGATTTAATTTGTCTCGGTCTAGTCACTCACGAGCCTCACTTTATGCTTCTTCGTGAGGATGTGTTCGAACAATTTAGACAGAAAGATTCAAAGGACAAGAATAAGCCATTCGCTGAAAAATTTCACTTGTTACATTTATATGCATTAAGACAATATTTAGACTTTGAATTTAGAGAAGCCTTAACTGGCCAAAATTTGCCGTTCCCATACGACTTGGAACGTATTGTGGATGACTTTGTATTTTTCATCTTTTTCACTGGAAATGATTTTCTTCCTCATATGCCAACTCTTGATATCAAAGAAGGAAGTATCAATACCATGATTGAAATCTACAAAAAAGTTCTTCCAAAACTGCCTGGATATTTAACTGAACTAGGGGATGTGCATTTGGATCGTGTTGAACAATTTGTGAAATCTCTCGCTGAACAAGAAGCATCTATGATGCAACAACGATTTAACAATAGAATGAGAGAAAACAGAAGAGCTAGAAAGAGAAGAGCAAAATTGGTGACCATCGATTCTGAAGGTTTTGTTGGTAGCTCCCATACCTTAATGGTTCCTCAAGTTCCACTTGCAGGCGACTCGAGCGTTGACGCAACGCCGGCTGAGGTACAACCTATAATTGCTGATTCTGTGAATGCAGGGTCACTAACAGTGCTAGTGCCGTAATCGAGTCGTTTGAAAATGAATTCTCTCCAAACACCTTAAAGAGCAAGCTCAAACAACAAGAGGAACTCTTTGCCAATGATGGAGATGAAGTTGAGCAAGACATGGGCCTCGTTGTTGGAGTTTCTAATTTGATGGACTTTAATGCACCAACATCTGGTACTTATGGTATTGATGAACCTCTTGAAGATGACGACGATGAAGCTCCTATCGAAGTCGAAGAAGTGAACGATCTCTTGTTAAAATCAGTGAATGAGGGAGAATTTGATTTCACCATGTGGCACAAGGCTTACTATGCCACAAAGATGGATATCGACTATAGCAATAAGGAAGCGGTTTCAAGAGTGGTACGCTCGTATGTCGAAGGACTGATTTGGGTCTTCAAATACTATTACAACCAATTGGTTTCTTGGAGGTGGTTCTATCCTTTCCACTATGCTCCAATTGCAACTGATTAGTTGAAATGAGCAAGTATGCGAATGAAATTTCATTTTCTGACCCAGGTGTTCCATTCCGTCCATTCGAACAGTTATTGGGTGTGCTTCCTGAAGGCAGTGCTAAAATCCTGCCTGAACCCTTCCGAAAGTTGTATCTCCAAAGTTCACCTATTTTTGACTTTTATCCACAACAGTTTGTGATTGATCGTGAAGGTACACGATATGACTATGAAGGAGTTTCCTTGCTTCCATTCATTGACGAAAATCGATTATTAGAGGCGATCAAGACCATTGACGAGTCACTATTGAGCGATGCTGAGAAAAAGAGAAACACTTTTGGAAATAATTTATTATTCACCTATGATCCATCTATTAGCGTGACTTGTAACACTACCATTGTCGATGAGTTACCAAGCGTGATCGACTCGCATGTGAGAGAACAAGTTATTGAATTGCCCAAGTATGAAAAATTCCTTCCGCAATTATGTAAGGGAGTGAAAATGGGAAAACACAATTTGGAAGGATTCCCAGTGCTTGAGTGTAAACATACCAAAGTCGAGGAGAGAGATGTTGGTATAGTACTTTTTGGTCAACCAAGCAGAAAGCCAAGCTTAGTTGTTAATTTGACTCCTCAATATTCCAAAGTCCAGGCCATGGATGAAGATTTCCTGGTTCAGGAATCCATCAGAGTCGCGCAAAGCTTAAGAAATTTAATTGGAAAGAGAGTATATGTTGGTTACCCATATCCAAGAATTGGTATTTTGTCGAGTATTGCTGATGAGAGAGCAAGTTACTATGACGAAAAAAGTGAAGGAGAACCTCATGACGAGAGAGACATTGACCAATTCAGAAAAGAATACTCCTATCACAAGAACGTGCTTCTGAGAAGATATGGACTCGATGTTGGAAATGTGAAGGTGTTGGTGTTTATTAAATTATTCAGAGGAATGAAGAGAGACAAGCACGGAATCAAAAAGTCATTCCACAGAGACGAGTTTGCCTATCCTGCGTCCTTGTTAATGCTACAAGCGGAATACCATCCAACTCTGGATCAAAGGTTTATGGAAGTTGGACCTCAAGCGATTGAGAAAGAATACCCAATGTCAAGCACTGTGTTGATTTTGGGAGAACAAAATTATGGGTCTCTTGCCAAGGTCTCAGGGTATGAAAAGAACCTTCTCAAGGTCACTATTTCTGATCCTTACTCAGATACTGAGTCCAAGCCTGTATATCCAAAAGAGAGCATTGAAAAGTTTGCCTCTGAAAAGTACTATCCATTCCATGTGGCAGCCAAAAAGCTACAAATCTCAAAGAAAGCTCTTGGCTTGATTGTTGGATCAGTTCGACTTGAGCTTCCAAATGGAAAATTAACTCACAACCTTGGTCTTTCGTTAAGATCTAAAAAGTCAACCAAGAGAGTCGTTGGTTTTTGCAAGTGTGACTACAATGAACAAAATCTCGATGAAGGATACTTCCTTAACTTTGACACTGCTGCCAACCTATTTAGCAAACCTTCTTCAAGCAAATTCTCAGTGGGAGGAACATTTGGAGATTGGGAACTTTCTGATAAGGCTCTTACTCTTATTGGTAACTTTGCTCAACAATTCCCTGATTTTATTGAAAAGCTTGGAACAGATCTTCCTTTCACATGTGACAACTTTTTCCCTTGCAATTTGAAAGATAGCGAACGGGACAAGTATTACCAAGAGAAGGTGGCAGAAATCACCAACTGGGTTGCAGCTCAAGAATATCATACTTTACCATTTATTGACATTGAAAAAGACGTTCTACCAGTCTCTGTCATGAAAGAAATTGAACAGGCAGCCATTGAATTCTGCAATCAAAAGAAGACATCTAGTGTGGCTCAATCCATGGTTATTGACCCATCTCTTGTTCACAAGCCAGAAGATCCTTGTCCAAACCTATTCTATGTTGCAGATTTTGCATTGGGAAATCGTGTCTTGCATATGAGTGGATCAGGATCTGCTCCGTTTGGTACCAAGGGAATCCTTGTTGGTATTGATGGAGATAATGGACAAGTCATCTTTGATGAAGAATTTGTTGGAGGATCAACCTTTGGATCTCGTTTGCAAACAAGCAGAGGTGGAATTGTTAGTTTGAAAACTCTTGCAAACTTGGATCATAAAAAGTATGTGAAAATTTGGGATGACAACAGCAGACAACGATCCTTTGATCCAAAGACCAAGATGGAATATACCAAACAACACTACTTTACTACCTCGAACTACAATTATGATTTACCAAAATCAAGTCCAAGCACTCCTACAACAGGTAATAATGGCAACTTTGAAAAGGCTCAATCTAATCAGCAAAAGCCAAAGCAACCTTATAACAAGCAACAAGCTGGAACTTCAAACATCAATAAGAAGGGTAATCAAGGAGGAACCAACTTTAAGATTTTGAAAGAGGTCAACAATGTCGATCAACAAGTAGCTCAATTCCAACAAAAGCAAAAACAAGAAAGACCACCAAGAAGTGCTCAACAGGAGAAGAGACAACCACAGCAACAGCAAGATCAGAAACAGTTCAGTGGTAGCGGTCGTGTTCTAGGCTCATCTTCATCAGGAACAACTGAGGCTTCTCCATCCACGACACCCTTGTCACAAACAAGCGGCACTTCACCGGCCACCTCAGACAATGTGAATTTGGCCTCAGACGACTTTAATCCTTCTGCCATTTTTAAGACTGCAAGAGAAAAGCACAGACAGAACAGAAATCAAAGGCCAGAAGACTATCTTTCAAAATTGAAACAGGATTTTAATCAACAAAAATAAATACTGGTCTAACAGTTTCGAGGTCATTACTTAGTTATTCAGTGCAAGCACACCATCATTCTGAACAATTTCGGTTTGCAACTCAAAATTAAGGTTAAGAATGCTGCATGTAATTATTTTCAAACAGGCAAATAAAGTGCTCAATTGTGGTCATTTGCTCAATAGTGTGGTCCACAATCTTAGCTTTTCGTTAAATAAATTAATAGGAACCTAGTGTCAAGTAAATTAGATCGAGTGATAATGTTACATGATGATTGTCGGTAGTTCAGTGATAGATAGCTTCACGTGCAATACCACGAATTCTTCTTGTAAGCTGAATATCTTTCACCATAATAGTCACTCTCTTTCCATGGGTTGCACACAAATTACTATTGAATTCACAATGGTATGCATGCCAAGTTGAAGAAATGTTAAAAAGCAATGCGTGCCACATTGTAAAAAGCATTGGTCACTTCACATTGAAAGCCATTATTCATACTACTTACGAATCAGCAAAAAGGTTAATCAAATAATCCTCAGCAGCAGATTGTAAGGCTTCAATGGCAGCAGCCTGCCATCTGAGACGACTATTCACTGCAACCATTTCCGAAATTTCCTTCACAAGACGGGCAAAGGATAATCTTGGAATTAAGTTGTGAGTTGTTTTTTGAAATCGACGAATTTCCAAAAGAGCCTGCTCTCCAGGCCTAGACTTGGGCCTCTTTGGAATGGGTGGTCCTCTTCTCACGGTTGGAGCCGTGGTGCCAGATGATGATGCTCCGGCAGCGGTCCTTGATGTACCAGTTGTTCTTCCCGATGATGATGCTGCCGTGGCACTTGGTCGTGTTGGTGCTCTTCTTGCTGCAAGATTTTCTTCTTCTCGATCCGAGGCTTCATCATCAGTTTCAGAGCCTCGGGATGATCGTTCATCTGAAGCACCAGCTCTTGGCCTTGCCAATGAACCCGAACTTGTAAGCCTCAGCTGTGTTTGTTGTTGCTGAGAGGAAGATCCTGCTTCAGAAGCCTTTTTTCTTGATTTGGGAATGGCCTTTGGCACTCCTTTAGGTCTTACAATTTGTCGTTGTTCATCTTCTTCTTCGGATTCGGTGGCAGCAGGTTTTGATGATCGTGGAGGCATTTTTTTTTATGGTTGTGCAAAAAAAGGCGGTTTGATTGGTATTTTTTTAAACACTTTACAATACTATTGCATAATACAAAAATTAATAATTACAATATTATTTAATGTGCCAATTACTCGACCACTCCTGGAACAGGTGTCGTAGATGTCGTTGTGGTTGCTGTGTCTCTCGATCCGCGACGAACCAATTCAACATTCTCCTGAATCAACTCTCCAAAATATTGTAAAAATTCATTCTTGCATTGAATTTCATCAGGAGTGTGATGACTTGATGCACAATCCATCGATTGCAAAATAGACAAACTATTCAGAGTCTCACCGGACTTTTCTACACAATTCATGAAATGTTTTTTACAATATTGCGTCGAAGTTTTGAAATAGAATCGATTAATGGATCGTTTACAATCTTCCAAAAAATTTGGATAATTAAAGAGAGCACTTGGGTTGGACATGGCATGACCCCGAATACATTCTTCTAATTCTTGTCTTTCTTGTGGATAATATTGTTTGGAGAGAGAATCTAATTGTTGTTTCTTTAAGGCGCTCAATGTTGATGAACCATTTGGAGAAGATGTGAATTTTGATAAGAGTTTTTCTCGGAGTTGACAAGTTATTGAAGATAGACTCGTTTCATGGTCATTGGTATTACTATTATTCAAATTTGAAACGACTTGTGGAAATGTGGTGGCAAAGGTTCCATGATTCATCCAATCATTATTCACCAATTCATGATATTCTTTAAATTTCACTTTAAATTCATCACTTGATTTGTGACAGCTTTCAATTTCTTGAAACATGTGTTCTCTCGTGCTGGGTGAATGAATAAATTCCGAATTCAATTGCCAATTCGATTTGTTCATCGAGGCTCTATTCGCTCGTGTCTGACCCATTTGCTCATCCAAAGATTTTCGTTGATATAAATTTAATTTTGAAAGACATGGAACATTTTGAGGACCATTCCACATGGACATGACACACGTTTGTACGAGATGAGCCTGTTGTTCCTCACTGAAAGGTTTTTGTCGATTCTCTCGAACAATTAAACGTTCGGCGTCTTGAATGACATTTTTGCATACAGTGGCAATGTGAAAAAGTTCAAAGACGGTATTTTCGTTCAGATGAGATGAATTCGGACTTTGCATGATGAGAATGGTGTTGCTGTCGTTGTTGTTGATGGAGTCCTATCGATAGGATCAGCTTGTGCTTGGCAGATGAATGGTGGAGAGTTTTTTTTTGAAAGAATCCTTTTTCGTTGTCAATCTTGAAGACAGGAGCGGTGAGTTGGTTTCGGAGACTTGAGAATCTTTCGGCTACTTTTACTGGTTAGCATTCAGCCGCGTTGGATGGAAATTGATTGGACTCGATGTTTGTGGTGGATGAGGTTTGTGATGAACGAAGGTAACTAACTGCCTGTAATGTTTTTGTTGTTGTTGAAAATGATGGTCTGTCTCCATGAATTCCATGATTTTCGTTTTCTTGTATTCATGACTTTGTCGTATTTCCTTATTGAATGCAATGTTTGAATTTGGAGTTTTTCCTATTTCATGCAAATAGCATCGATTGGCCTCTCTGATGAAACCACATCATCCTCGAACGTATCTACCAACGAGCAACCACATCAACAACAAGAAGAACATCAAAAAACAATTGGTCTGAATGGTAATCACTGTCTTACAAATAAGAATGGAACGAATCAAAGATGTTATATCGAATAGAATGTCTGCTGCATCTTTCGGAAATGAACAAGGAGAGAAAACTTCAGAAAAGAGCAAGATGGAAGAAGAAACAGTGAGTCGTGCACCAACCATGACTGGTGACGTGAGTGGAGGGTTGGTGGAACATTCGTTTCCTTCTCAACATGGATTGGGGAGTATGAGTGGAGAGCATGCAGGTTCGGATATTCCTCATGGATCCATGGGAATGCAAAACACGAGTAGTAGTGGAATGAACAAGAAGGAGTGATGATTTCAATAAATTATTACCTGTTGTTCAGCAATTAAGGTTTCCCTTTTACGATCGTTGTTTCTCTTGTGATACACAGAATTGAATTTATATATACGCAGCGGTAGATCAGTCGGTTAGATCGTCAGCTTTACACGCTGAAGGTCATGGGTTCGATTCCCGTTCGCTGTAACCTTTTTACTCACGAATTATGGTTTTGCCAAACAATTTCAAAATGCAAAAATTGAGCAAACATCTAATTGTGAATTCATCACGAATATTTTCAATCGTAGCCACACCGAGTAAATTCAATTTTAATTTAAAAGCACTGGAATTGTCATCCCATTTCCACAACATTAACAATTTAAAACACATGTCAACTCACCATTCAAATAATAATAATAATAATTCAAATGATGATCATTGCACTTTACAAGCATCCTCAACACCATTACCATTAAATATCATTCAAAGTGGAAAAATCTCAAAACAAGAATTACGACATTTGATCACCTCATCAACAACACCAAATCAATTATCATCACAACAACAACAACAACACTATATTTTACTCGATGTTCGAAGTCATCAAGAAGTACGAGGTCATCATCCACTACTCCCAACAGCAAAACACATTCCAATTAATTTAATATATTCTGCTTTCGAGGCAGAGGATGATGAATTTGAAATGGAGTTTGGTTTTTGTAAGCCACAACAACAAGATTTGATAATTGTGTATTGTGAACATGGTATCAGAAGTCAAATGGTTCAACAAATATTAACAGAAGAATTTGGATATCAACATGTGATTAATTATGAAGGATCAGCTCATGATTGGTATTCTGAAAGGAATTAAACAAGAATTTTTCAATTTGAGACGTCAACAAGGTTTAAATTTTTAATTGTTGTGAAATTATTGTTGTTCTGAGAAAGAAGAAATGAATTACAGAAAATTATTTGTGAAATAGGTGGAGATGAAATCATTTTAAGCAAATCTCGCACGTGCTAACACTCACTACACCTCTTGATGTTGAATGCTAGTAGGAGTGTTCAACACTAGAGAATCCATTCCAGGCGACTGCACATCCTTCATCATCATTTCACTGATTGGATTCATCTCACTCTCTGAAGATGAAAGAGCATTGGATGTCGAGAGATGATGATGCTGCATTCCATGATGGTGATGATTTTGAAAAGTAGCAGGATCCTGTATACTCTTTTCATCTTCAGTCAAATCCTTAATGATGGTCATAGGACTTGTTGGAGGATCATTCGATTCTACATTTCGAGAAGAGTTGTGAGCTGTACTGGATTCCATACTCACTTGTGAATCTCTTCGAAACATTCGTTGAACTTGTTGCATGGGAGTATTAATGGCAATCATGAGTGAAATGAAAATAACGAGTCCAATATTGGTAAATGTGTGAAAAAAGATTGCATTAAATTGCCAAGCAAAAATCAATGGAATGAATAGAAAACCAATCGATTGCATCAATAAGGCAATGGAAAGACCTGCTTGCATGATTCGAGTTTTTCGAAGGGCTGTTTGTTTCAATTGGAGTGTATGTTCTCGGTCTCTCTTATTTGTGAAATTTCCAAACAAGTGACCTCCACTTCTTGATGGTTGAGAATTGGAAGCAGTAACACCCATAGAAGACGCAGATGAAGAATCACCATTCGCTCTCTCTACTCCCAAATGTGAATGATCTTTCTTCATTTTAGCTTTCAATTTTTTCACACTCTCTTGCAAGGAAGAATTTAACTTGTAACCAGTGACATTGAGCAAAATGGAGAAACAAATAGTGAACACGAAAAACATGACACAAGCAGCTAAGAAAATGGCAACTTGTTGGGCGAGAATGGATGAAGCTTCTCGTATTATTCCAGCACTCACCAAAGCACCCAAAACCACGACAGCCAAGGTTTGAATGGCAAAGAAAATGGCACTTCCAATCAAGGTCGATTGAATGGCAATTTTCATTCGAGTGAATTGAGTTTGAGAGATGGCACCTGTTTCTTTACATGTTTTGGCACTATATTTCAAAATGTCAAGTTGTTTAGTAATTGTCATGTCGTTCGTTCAACAAAAAAGAAATATATATACACAAATGACTTACAATACATGACAAAGGAAGGCCATCATTAAGAGTTGATGCCAAACCCAATAGTTAATACTCACTCTCTGAACTGCACCCATAATGGTATAATACAGAGAAAATGACTTGTCGCTACCCACAGATGTGAAATTTCCCAATTCTGAAATTATTCTCAACGTCAAATTGGCAGTCACGTCCAATGCCAAAACAATGGTCAAGACAAACAAGATGTGTTGATTTCTCTTCATGTCTTTACGTTTGAGTGCATAAACAATGATGGAAACGACAAGCAAAATCCAAAAGATGAAGAAAAAAGGTCCACTGGTCATGACGACGGATAAACTGTATTTGATTGGATCAGTCCATGAGGTTGAATTGGTGAGTGAAGGAACAACCGTGTTGTTATTACTTTGGAGAAGATGAATGGAACCAATGTCATCCTGATGCATGTTCATACCATCTCGAGATACTGGAAAAAACAGTGGAGAGAATGAACGCGTGGGATTTTGGTCGTTTTGAAAGGAAGGAAAGAATGACATTTTGTTTTGAATCAGTGTTGGTTGTGAATCAGACAACAAATGTGAGAGAATGTTCACAAAGACGAATGGCAATTGACAGGTTCAACAGTGCCCCGCGTAGAAACTTTTGCCATTGTTGGTGCATGGTTACTGTTATGGTGGTTGGATGATCATGGGAATTCACAGCATGAACTATGGACAAACCACAAAATACAAAATGGACATTCCCGCATTTAAATGGAAGATAACACAGTTCATGTTTGATTTGAAAGAAGATAGATTTGACACTTTAAGGACACGAAGAGACAAGTCATGGACAGATCCATGAGCACCTATCTCTTCTTGCGAATGTTGTTAGTACTAAATGGTCGACATGTCGAAACAAAGATGCATGGATGCAAATGAATCTCTCTCTGAACAGTGTTTTTGAAATGAGCAAAGAATCATTCATGTTTTTTGGCTATGAATGACCACAAATTGAATATGAGTACATCATGTTCCAATTTTGGAGGCAGGTGCTGATTGTTTCACAGGTGTTTGAACATGTTGTGTGTTTCATACATTGTTATAGATCAAAATGAATAACCATGAAATTCAATCGTAGTTGCTCGAAAAATTGAATCCATGCTGATTCATGAAATCAACTCCTAGGTGTTGGTGGTTCAAGTTTTTCAACCATGCACTTTGCAAACCACATACTCTCTCTCTATTAAGGAAATTTTAAAAGAAGAAGAAAAAAATGTCATCTTCGGCATCATCTACAGCAAAGGAATTGAATGAGAGAATCAATTCTCTCAAATCCATGATGAGTAGTTTGCAAAATTCACCTCTCAGTAGCAATAATAGTGGTGGTGTTTCAAACTCTCACAATTTTCCATCGGCAGGTTCATTACGTTATTCCATGTCGGGAAGCGTTCCTATGAGCGGAAGTAGCCTTACTCCCACCTCTGCTGCTTCCTTCTCATCTCTGTACCATACCAACAATAATAACAATACCTTGATCAACAACAATAACAATACCACTCATCAACAACACCACATGATGAACCAATCTTTAGAGATGCCTACTCCCAACTCCACCCCGTCCATGGTCATGATGGATCATCCTCCCTCTTGGTCTTCATTGTTGGTCTCTTCCAATGTGATGATGGAGGACGATGAAGTAAAGTTGTTGCGAGAAAATAATCAGAGAATGTCCTCCAAGATTACCCAGCTACAAGACTCGTTGAATACTTACTCGGCCAAGCTTCAATTTGCCAATGAGCAGCTACGGGATACCGAACAAAAATTACGAGTGACCAGAGTAGAGCTTGATCAAGAAGTGGATAAAAGGCGCACGAGAGAAAGAGAACATCAGGAAGAGGCTAGAAATTTACATAATCAAATTGAGGAAATTCAGTCTCAATTGGAATTGAGCGAGCATAGAGAAAAAAATCTGCTCGAGTCCAAAGACGCCCTAGAAAAGATCAACAAGGATTTAGAGAGAGCCAACAAGGAGAAGAATCAAATGATAGCAGAACTGAACACAGTAGTTGCCTCCAAAAAGACAGAATGCGAAAAGCGTTTGGAAGACATTCATCAACTCAAGACACAAATTGCAAGCCTGTCAGAAGAATTAAACGAAGAAAAAAGAAATCAACAAAAATCTCTCGAGAATCACAGAACCATTCTCAAAGATACTCAGGACAAGTATGAAGAGAAACTGGCCAAATTGGCCAAGCATATAGAAAAGGAGAAGGCTCGACACTCTCAAATTATGGCCCATTTCAAAACTCAAATCTCTGATTTGGAGCAACAAGTCGCACTCTTTGATGACCTCCAACAAAAGAATCTGGCTCTTTCTTCCCAATGTCAAAATTCGGCACAGCGAGAAAAGTTCTACAAGTCCAAACTCGATTCTCTTCAAATGGCATTGAATGAACAGCAGACACAAACAGCTCTCAATCAACAGACATTGCTGCATTTGAGTAAGGAGAAGGAGGACTTGCTTCTGTCAGAAAAACGCCTGAAAGACGAAATCGAGGATGTAAATACATTAATGGAGACCAAAACGGAAAAGCTTAATAAGGAAATACAGAAACTGGAGAAAACAAACGTGTTGCAACAACAGAAAATTCTCCAACTTCAGTCCACCATCACTTCGATGGAGGCCAAGCTTGTGAAGTTTGACAATGAAAAAGAAATCATGTTGGCTCAGTTCGGAGACCAAATGTTCCAAAAACAAGAGGAGTTGAATGCTTTGCGTAGATCGTTTGAAAATTCTGAAAGAGAAAAACAAGCACAAATTGAAAGACTCGCTAAAGAGCTCGATGAGAAGAATGTGAATCTCTTTAATCTCAATCAAGCATTCAAAACCAAAATGTCTCAATATGAAGAAATTACAGAGTCTATGAAAGAACAACTTGAGCAACAAACGACCAAGGAAAGTCAATCTGAAGCAAGAGAGGAAATTATTGTCAAGAAGCTCGAAGAAATGCAGAGCAGAATCAACTTTGTTGAGGGTGAGAATGAGCTTTTGAAAGAAAAGCTCGTTCAATATAATTCTGTTGTTGAGAGAATGAACAAATTGACAGAGGAAAACGAGTTCTTACAACAACATGTTAATAATTTACGAGTGGACAATCAAAGTTTGCGAGATACAGTTGACTTTTACCGTGGACAAAATATTACAAGTGCAAGACAGGAAGATGAAATGAACAAAGATGCCTCCCTTACCTATATTGAACAAGTCGATAATAATAATTCCAAGTTGAACGACAGTGCATTCCTGGTTGACGAAGACGATGAAGAGGATGTTGATAATGAGGAACGAAGGGATGGCCAAGACAAGATTCATCATACGATACTTGTAAATATTAGCAAGCCTTCTGCTCAGCAAGATGAGCAAGATGTGGATCGTGATGCAAATGGAGATGACGCTTCCTCGGATTCCAATGAACTCACAAGAGAAATGTTGGATGACTATGACGAGGAAATTGAAGAAAATAACCAAGAAGAGGACAGTGAGGGATCTTTTGATCATGAAGAAGAAGAGGTTGATAATGAAATTGAAGAATTGATTAGACCAAGAAAGTTAACCAATCTTTCGCCCAACTCGTCTTCTGAAAATTACCTTACCTCACAACTTTCTACCTTGAGAAAGAGTATTGCTTTATCAGACGACGTATAGAACACGACCTTATTCCAAAAATTACAGGTTTTGAATAAATCTCAACAACAGTTTGCACTTGGGAGTTTGTTCCATGAACATCAAAGTTCGCAAAACAAAAAATAACCACTCGCTCCTTCTCATCGTTTTCCTTCACTGAAAAAGTGAAGACCTCTAAAACTGTGCAAACACCGCAGTTCAGTAATTTTCCATAATCAAACATATTCACCATCCGTCATTTCAGCAACAAAGAGACAAACGTTCCGTCACATTGCAGAACACTCTACTGCATCCCTTTTCAATCCCAAATTAAAAAAATGCCGTCACTCAAAATCATTCTCAAACAGGCCAACAACTTGCCAGCCAAAGACTCTACGGGCACTTCAGATCCTCTCGTCGTATGCACACTCAATGGAAAATCAGTATTTAAAACCGAACCAATCATGATGACACTCAATCCCGTGTGGGACGGAAATACCAAAATTAAACACGAATTTACAATTGAATTAAAAGATATTTATCATGATCAGTTGATACTGGAAGTGATGGACTACAACATTTTTACAAAAAACAAACCCATTGGTTCTACAGTAATTCCATTAACGCTTCTTGAAAGGAAGCCTCAAATAGTAACCTATTGTTTGTCGGATTCAAAATTTAATGGACCCGCTGGTACCATTACCGTCTTGTTGGAGCCTTTGGATTTTGGCATTTCGCATTCTCTATCGGGAAATAATTTGAATGGAATGGTGCAACAACAACCACAACAACCACAACAACAACAACAAATTGTAAATACTACAACCATACCACAGCAACAACAACAACACCCACTTCAAAAATCATCAGCCATGAATCAATCCTTTCATAACTCTCCACAGGGATTTGTTCCACAACCCAACACCAATCAACAACAGGCCTCTTATAATAACATGAGGTCACAGAGCGTGATTGGCAATACATCACCTCATCTGAATAATAATCAACCACTTCAACCACAAATGCAGCAAAATGTCACTCCACCAACATTTAATGGAAATAATCAAGCAACCATGGGCGTGATGAACCCTAGCTATGGATCGACTTCACCTAATGCCTTTTCACAACAGCAACCTCTACCACAACAAAATCAGGGTCTCTATAATCGAACTCAGAGTTTTATTCAACCCAATGCTTCGCTCTATACTGGAGGATCACCTTCAACTTCGTTCAATAGTGTTTCTGTGCATTCAACAAAACGAGATCCAAAACCTCTACCAACGCTTCCTCCAAAATCATCCACAGATCCATCGGTCACGAGTATCGAATCTAAGAGACCACCATTTAATTCATTTAATGGTGTTGTTGATGATGCCTACATTGATTATGTCATTTCACAGTGTCCCATTCCCTCTCCTCCATTTTACTCCAAAAGTTTTAATTAAATTATTTCGTGTGTCACAGTGACATGCAGCATTTAAAGATGAATATAATATAATTATTTTAATGAACTTTATGCGATTAAGAAATCCTTATTATTAATTGAAAAGTAACCCAGTTCAAAGATATTCTGTACACTACGGTATGATCTACAGGAACGTGATTTCCTTTGTAAGAACTACTCGACGTGAATTCGATCACGTTCGCAATTTTTTAGGATACCATTTATAGTTAACGTCACAATGATGTTCATCAACAATCATGTCAATAACAACGAATACGTCTGTGTTTTGATTGGAATTCACACATTAACCGTGTTTACAACCACAATTCTAGAAACTCAATGACATTCTCGTAAGATGGTGCGAACGATAATAGTGCATGACATGTTGCAACTGAACATCTCAACAAACAATTCATCTGAATCATGTGTTTCACACGTTGTGCATTCTTTGTGTTCATCTTGCATGTTTTTCACTGCACTGTCATCGTTCATTAGGACTGTACACCCGGGAAGACTCTACTTCATTTTCTTCCTCGAACGTTGGAAGTACTGATATTTTCAAATTTCAATTAAGTTCTCAAAGCACTCCTTATTATGAAGGTTTAGTTATCACGGGATGGGTCAATTATGCATCTTCCACCATGTCTCGTAGAGTTTATTTATGGACAATGAATACAGTTATGGCTATTTGAGAACCAATTATGCCAATAATTTGGTCACTGATAGCTATTCGAACGCCTTGAGTTTTTCGACACCAACCCAATTGGGAAGAACTGGTCGCAGTTTTGTAAGTACTTAAAATTTGCCTTCACATGGAATGTTTGATTGTAAAATTTCATGAAAATTCAGAACAAAGTACAAGCACGTTCGATTCACATGAGAGGTTCATCTCAGAAAGAAGAACGTAACATTCGCAATACCATGGTGACTCTCCCTGTCAAATACCAAGAAAATGCTGGAAAACACTGGCAAGTCAGTTCCATTTCAGGAAATAATTTCAAATTGCAAAATTTAACACCAGGAGATGAAAGAACTGCCATTGCTGCCTATGCATTCAACAGTGACAAGAATCTATATGATGTTTATTTTGTGTTTTTTGATCCAGCTGGAACCACGGTTGGAAGTATTTTGAGAGGAAGTAGTAGTGACATGCAAACCATTGCTTTGGAAAATAATGACACATTTGCTCCAATTTATTATTAATAATTTCTATTATTTATGTAAATTTCGTTGATCTTGTCTCAACTTAATGGATCATCACAAGAAATAAAATTATGATATTTAATATAAATTATTTAAAATTGATCACATGTCTACACTTGACACAATATCCATCAGCAGAATGACAGCATCCAGTCAAATGCACATATCCGTCATGGGCATCTTGCAACAACGATGCAGCTGGCTTTCCTCTCGCGCACGGAACCACAAATTCCTGACTGTTACATTTGGTGCAAATAGGAATGGGTTTGTTCCGATCCGTGTAATGAGTTTTGAGATAGTGTTGTCGTTTTTGTTGATCAGGAAAATAATTGTGAGGTTGTTGTTGTGGTGAAGAGTCGGAGGAAGACATGTTGTTTTTTTTTTTCATTAAGGTGGAATTTTTCCATTTTGATCCAAATTTTTGAAGAAAAGCGAACATGGAACTTGGAACCATTTCCTTAATGATAATTGATCGGAGCCATAAAATTAAGACACCTTGTAAAAATTGATCAAAACGTTCTTCGAAAGTTGTTGTTGTTGTTTTGTTAAATTACTTTATTACATACTTTCAGAAAGACCTTCTTCAAGATATTGAATGTCAAACGCTGCCATTAAAATTTCCAAAGCGACAAATGGATTATTGGAAGCAGTCAATTCATTCTCAGCTCCATTCTGAGGAGCACATGAAGAGGAGACATCTTGGAGATGTTGAAACACTTCTTGTTGTTCTTGCATGGAAATTGACAACTTGTCCATAAATAATTCCAAATCGGAATGATCTAAAAATGTCACGACATTCTTGGAACGAGTTTGGTTACTACTACTACCATCATTGTCATGATTCGATTCCAACGTCGTCACATCCATTGTATGTTTTTGCTTGACATCCAAAATGTGAGATTTTGAAATTACTTGTTCAAGATCTTCATTAAGATCCATCATGAGTTCACTACTTCCCATTTCTCGAATATTCGTCATCATGGATCTTAAATAATTAAAGGTTGGAACTTTGGTATAATCATATTTCAAATAATTCATAAAAAAGTCTTCCACAAAATCCAACGAATTTCCATAATATTTCATTGAAGAAGGAGATGATATCAAATTCGAGCAAGATGTCGATGAAGGTATTAATAAGGTAGGAGAGGAACATGTCGTTTCTGAATGGAATGGCTGAAGCAATTGATTCGATTGAGAATTCTCAGAATCGAATTCCATTTTCGCAGCTTGATAATACATGGAAGAATTCCATTTACAAATACATGCAGCCAATAAATTCTCAATTTGATTCACTTTTTGTTGAACTCGTAAAAAGGTTGGAATTTGTTGCTCGACAAAATCCTTCGCTCTCGAAAAGAGTTTTTTGGGAATTATTAAATTCGTTTCAGGTTCGAAATAGAGAAACCAATGATCGACGACAAGTGCCACTCCAAATGAGCAATTTGTCATTTCCATGGGATCTAGTAGAAATGTTTCTACGACTGGAAAACATGCTTCGACGAGTGTGTGATATTTGAGGGGTGGGACGATCATTAATTTTAAATTTACAATTTTGGAAGAGTTGGCATTTGACACCATTGGATGTGGCTTCTTAATGGGTTGTCTTCGATGTTGATGATGGGATACAGAGGATAAAATTCCACCTCGTCTTTTTCTGTTTTTTTGTGATCCGTTCGAGTCAGTCGATTTCGAGTCTCCCGATTCGGAAAAATCAAAATGATCATCAATTTCCTGAACTGCCAATTCAATAAATTGTGTAAATTCCGAAGGAACTAACATTCGTTCAATGATAGAAACGGTAGACATCCAATCGGAAGCTAAATAGCTCTTTAACATTCCATCTCGAACGCTCAGAAAAGAAGCAAGAGTTGAAATCAACTTGTCGCGTTCTTCGGGTGAAGAAGCTGCTCGTCTTCGAATATGCAGAATGGATGTCACTCCGTTCAATAACTTTTTTCGAGAGAATTGCTGTTGAGAAGAAATTTCGGTGGTACTTGGACTTGTTGGGGAAAGACATTTGGCATTTGACAGCCATTTCGAAGATGCGTTAAAGAGTTTATCTCGAACGCGTTCAGTGGCTTCTTTAGAGCTTTTTTCTGAAAGATTATATGGAAGTGTATTTGGAGAGGAGGATCGATGGTTGTTGCTGTTGCTGTGGTTCGATCGATTGGATTTTCCTGATATGGAAGGATTTCGAAGTGTGTAATCTTGTGGTCGATAGGAGTGGAGTTCAGCAGCTCGGCAAGACGACGACGTGGAAAATTCATCGTCTTCTTGAGATATGGATTGTGGAATGCCCATTTCGATGATGAATTCGGGTATTGGTTGATGAGAGAGTATTGATAATATTTTACAGGTTGTGATGGTTGGTTGACAACTGACAGTCACTGGAGTGTGATATTAAAATATATAAATGATGATGATAATATGTTACAATCTTCCGGCTTATATTAATTTTCAACCTCCCGAACGAGGGTGTATCTTGTTATTTTCGTTTTTTTACTATGAAATTCATTCAGCTCGTTGGTATCACCTTCCAAATGTGAGGCAAACAGAAGTCGACTTGCCAAACGTTGAAAATCCTTGACAGTTGAAGGATGACCACAACGCGATAGGATGATGGCTCTATGATTTTACTGGAAGGTTTTGCACACTTTTGCAGAAGTTATGAACCGAGAAGATGCGAGTTTGTAGTTCGTTGTGTCTTTGTGACAATGCTTTGTTAATTTGTTTGTTGTTGATTGGAAAAAGAATGTAAACGTCTTTTATGATTTCGAAAAGAATCCCAAGTTCATGCTGATGGAAATTGTTTTGTAAACTTACAGAAAGGACGACGACTTTCAAATAATTTTATTGTAAAAGGAGTGATGTTTGGCCAGACATGTGGTCGAAAATACCTAAAAGTCACATGGATTCTATCGAACTATTTAAGGATAACACTTAATTGTATCATTAAATGCAAGAATTGATGTTGAAGTTCCATACTAACCCATTCATTTATCTCATTCGAATATAATTGTTGAAAAATGACAATCGAGTAATGATTTTTTTATGTACATTATACTGCAAATTTCAAAAATTAATAAATCTTCTTCTCTTGTTTTGCTTTCATGAGAGAACCATCAGTCAAACCTTTGGCCATCAAACTCATCAAATTGGTGGGCCGTCTTTCAATTGGTTTTTCTTCTTTCTTTGACATTTGCATTAAACCTGCAAAGAAATTGTTGGATTTCTTCTTTTCTTCTTGTTGTTTTTCTAACACAGATAACAAATGAGAAGGTTCTTCTTGTTCTGGAATTGGAGATTTTGAGGAAAGTGTGGAAAGTAGTGAGTTTTTGGTTTTTGAGAAAATGTCATGTGATGGAGATTGTGGAGTAATGTTCACTTGTCGTGTTAAAAGTTTTGTGGCAGTAGTGGTAGCAGCTGCCTTCTTTCGTTGCATTAATAGTTCCTTCTTCTTGTCGAGACCTAATTGTTTTTCAGTCTTCTTTTTAGCATCTTCTTGAGCCTTCTTTTGTTGCTCCTTCTCTTCCTTTTCACGTTTGGCTTTCAATTCAATTTGAGCTTTCTTCATATTTTCCAAAAATTGATAAATTTGATTGAAGAAGACATCTGGCTTCTCGAGAAGGTCTTGAGCTTTTTCATCGAATAATGCTGCTGTGAGTTTCAAATTTTCTTCAACTTTTTGACGTTTTTGTTCAATAATTTCCATTTGGCTTTGTGCAGTGGAGATGGACTCTTCCATGACTGAAATGAATCGATCTTCAGGATCTAACTTTCCTTCTCTCTCTAGTTTACACATTTGATCAAAGAAGGATTTAGTTTGTTTGATATCCTCTTGGAACTTCTTAATGTCTTGATCGATTGGAGGTAATTGCAAACGTGTGCAAGTCACAACTGATTTGAGATCATCTGTGACGCTTATCAAATCTGGGAAGTTGTCTTCACAAACTTGAACAAGGAATTGCAACATGTTTTGTTTTGGATCTCGGCCCTTCATGGTACTCAACTTCTCGAGAGAACTAATCTTGAAACCGTAAAGATTTTGCAATTTCTTGTTGGGTGAGTGTTGATTAATGTAATTACCAATAGTGAGAATAATGGCCAAAATATCATGCAATTTGGTGCTCTCTTGCAATTCCTTACAACCATCAATGATGCAATCCAATTTTGTACGAATTCCTATTCTCGAGTTGAGCTTGATCTTAAATTCCCAAGCTTGTAAACGAAGCAAAGGAGAAGGAATGTCAAGTAAATGTGTGAAGAATGTTTCTGCCATTGGTAGAATTTTTTTAACACCCTCTTCTTCTGTTGGTGAAGTAGGTTCGTCCTTTTTAGAGATGTACTCTTTCACAATCTTAATTTCCTCGTCGAGCGGCATACAGCCAGTCAATACTTCAATGTTATTATCATCGACTGTTTTCTCATCCATGGCAATAATTGCCTTTTTATATCTTTTACATTTGTCTTCATCGGATTCAGAGCCATCCAACTTTTTAAGAGCAGAAAATTGAATTGAAATATTGTTTGATCGTTTTCCATCAATTAAGATCACTTCTTCAACTTTCTTCTTTGCACTTCCAGGTGGAGCATTGGCATCAATGACTTTTTCTTCAACTTTTTCAAAAGCCTCCTCAATATTTCCTAAATCCATCTTGGTAATTAATTCATTTGTCTTTTGAGCAATACCATTCTTAATGAAAATAGTTTGTTGAATATTGGAGGAAGGAATTGTGTCAAAGAAGAATACCTTTGTCTTTTTCTTTGGTTTGACAGTTGGCAGTTTTGGAAGAGCTGGTTTTGCAACTCCGAAACCTCCTGGCATTGGTGGCATTGGCACTCCAGGTGGCATTGGAACACCACCATTCATTCCAGGTGGCATTGGGATAGATCCTGGAGGTGGAGGAACACCACCGCCCATTCCAGGAGGAGGAGGCACGCCACCGCCCATTCCTGGTGGTGAAGGAACATTACCATCCATGCCTGGTGGTGGAGGAATGGAACCATTCATTCCAGGAGGTGGAGGAATTGAGCCTGGTGGAGGAGGAACATTACCTCCCATTCCAGGAGGTGGAGGTACGAAACCTTCTCCCATTCCAGGAGGTGGAGGAGGAATGGAGGATCCGTTGGTAGTGACACTTTCATTTTCATCTGGGAGTGTTAAATTTCGTGACTTTAAGAATTCTTCCATTCGCAAAGCACGTTGATTAATGACACGAACTTCCTTGAGTCGAGATTCCATTTCTTCCTTCTCGGTAGTGAGAGTTTTCAAGTCACTTTGAAGTTTAACATTTTCGTCTCTCAATTTGTCCAATTCCGTTTTGAGAACTTCTTCCTTTGAGAGAGCAGAGACCTTGTTCATGAACGAGCTGAACATTTCCTTCTTCTTCTTGGCTTCCTCTTCCTTGTTACGTTTTTCAATTTCTTGTTGAGCTTGGAAGAGTTCCTTCTTTGTATTCTTAATTTCACTTTCCAAGTCGAGAATGGTTCGTTGTTGAATTTTCACAAGACCGTCCAATTCAATTTCTTTTGGTGTTGTGAAGCTTGCCTTATCTTCCTTGATGGCGGCTTTCAATAGCATGTCAATGGTTTTCCATTGATTGTTCACATCTTCAACACTTGCTCCCTTACTCTGACTAATGGCAATATACTTTGTAAATCTCAAGAGAGAGTTCATAATATTAATGAAACTGTCATGAGCATTGGCAATAGCATCTTCACTGATTGGAGTACATACAGTGGTCGATGACAAGTATGCTGAAATGGCTCTGGTCATTTCGGTAGCATCGCTCGTGTCGACGTTATCCAATTCAAAAACGAAAGCAGTTTGATCATCCACATCGTCAAATATTTCATGGAATGCGTTATCAAATAATCGAATTTGAAGAACAATGTTGGAAATGGTTGAGTCGTCGTCTTCTGGATCAATAGCTTGTTCTTCTTGAAGAACCTCATACTTCAATTGAATGTGTTTCAAACATAGATGCAGATCGAGTTTTCTCAATTCACGCATCAAGGCAATTTTCACACCTTCATTACGAGAAACGGTAATGAGAGAGTTGAAAAATACAAGACATGTCAATACATAACTTGCAATGGTTCCGTTCAACATGTCATCGACATCTAATTCTTCACCAGATAAAAAACTCAAACTATCCACAATGAAATGAAATCGTTTGGGCTCTCTTTTGATGAGTTTGAAATTTGTGAATGCATCCATAATTAATTCATAGCCATCAATGTCTTCGATGGTCAAATTCATAATGACTGAGAGTAAGAGCAAGATTTGAGATCTCAAATCCAATGATTTTGAATCGAGAACGAGAACCATGGTTCTCAACAAGTCCTTCTTTTTGATAAATGTCTTTCTTGCATAATCGGAAGAGTTCAAAACTGTTTCCACAACTTTGAGACAATACACTTGTTTCAATTCCTTTTCTTCATCGGAAATTGATGCAGAGGATGAGGCGAGTGCTGACGACGCCAAACAATCGTTGATGGCATCTAAACCGCCCTTATCCAAAAATCCATTCAACCACAATGTATATTTGCAGTCGTCGTCAGTCACTGCATTTTCTGTTCCCTCCTCTGCTGCTGCTAATTTTGACACAATATCCAAAACTTCATTGAGAGTTTTCAAATGATTCAAATCAAACCCTTTTTTCACAAATTTATCAACAAGCACAGTAGGTTCCGAGTTAATAGCTTTCAAAACTGCTTGTTCTTGCTTATTTAAATGATGGTCTCTGATGAGTTTATCTTCTTCTTCTTCCTTAGTTAATGTTTCCTTCTTTCCGAACATTCCACCCATCAACTTTTGGAAGTTTGCACTCTGTCGATTGACCATGGCAGGCAATCTCTCAAAAATCTGTCCACCAGCTCCCAAATTGACGGTCATTCGATTTTGTGGAGGAGTTCTCACAGTTGGAGGAGGAAGAGAAGGTGACAGTGAAAAGGCATCTTCTCCCAATCGACCAGGTGTCGAATTCGGAGTACTTGTATTTGATGTTGCTAAATTTCGATTCGATGGTAGAGGACTTGAATTATTACTACCAGTAGTACCTGGTGTAAATAAAGAACCATGTCTTCTTCTTGATTGACGAGCACGATCTCCACTACTGACTGCAGTTGGAGAGCTATGAGTTGAAGAATCCGAACCACCACCTGTTTCACTAGCCTCATTAGGAATGTTTGCAAATGAAACTCTTGATGGGGAGGAATTTGTTGGTTGTGAAACATTTAATGTTGTAGTCGCACTTGTTGATGACACTTCCTGTTTTTCTTGTGCTTCGGATGATGATGAATGGGACGAGTCTTTGTCCTTGTTGGATTTTCCAAACATTCTGGAAAATATATTCTTCTTTTTCTTCTTATCTTCACCTCCACTCGCTGTCGAGGTGCTATCATGGTTGCCATCTCTTGGAGATGGATTGATGAGGTCGAGTGTCGACTCGAGCTATCATGGGAAGTACGTGGTTGTTCCGAAGAATCAATTTGGAGTTTTGTACTCTTCGTCTTGGATTCCTCTTGTGGCATGATGTTGAGGTTGCAAGGAAAATAGTTTGTTGATGATACAAGAGGTGTGTTGCTGATTACAACAATCAATTGACAGTTGGCAGGTTGAAAATGAATGCTTTTTTTTCGTGTTTGAAATTTTGGAGTGTTTGACGTAAGGAGAAAGGAAAAGTCGTTTTCATCGGTTGTTTGTACAAAACTCGTCACCTCTCTTTGCTCGAATCGGAGGTTGGTGCTTTTTTCAATGGGCGCCTTTGTCAAAACAAATCGAACCTTGAATGATGATCTTTTGTAGAAGGAAAGAAGGTCTGTCCTGTACCGTCTCGGAGTAAAACTCAAACTTTATGGAAAGGAAAGGGAATTGTTGATCTGAAAAAAGGAATACGACCTACGTCTTAACATCAAACAAATCAACACAAAATGGTGGGCCAAATGACAAGTAATGGTGTCACTCAAGAATCTGTAGTCAAAGAGGAGCGATTGCATGAAACATAGTTTTCAATTTGTCCCATGTCATGGAAAATCTAACTCTGTGTAGATAGCGTGTAGTAATAAGGAACCATGTAATGATACAAGATAAAGAGAATTGGATTTTCAACACGTTTGAAAATTTTCATCGTGTACCAGTATCGCTTATCGGTAGTTCCAATTTTGTGTCGTTCAATGAAGGCAACTTTTTGACCTGGATAAATAGTACCGTGTCGTGGCGACTTGTAAACATATTCCACATAGGTATGCTCATCGCTGGTTCGTCGTGGAAGGTAGACAATTCGATCAATGATGAGAGCTAATACTTGAGTTTCATTAGCTGAAAAGATGACAAAATCTTTGTTCGAGTAATCGGCCGATGTGCTCACTGTAGTATCTTGTATTTCCTTAATGGATCCAATTTCATTGTCGAGGCAATCGTACACGACGAATTTGTGTGATTTGATAAATCCTAAATGTGATGTTTTGTCTCCAAATTGCAAGGCAAAGTCTGAATGTGAAGTCCAATAAATAACATTTGTTTCGTATGAAAGGAGTACCAGCACAAAATTGGTAATGTGATGACGTTTTGGTTTTGGTACAACCAATAAAACAATGTTGGAAAATGTATATTATAATGTTAATGAATGAAAAATTTCTGCTGCTATTATCTGTCTGAGTACGTACGATTCCGTGTGGATCCATGTGCATAATAGAGATGAAATTTCAAAATTTCAGGACTATTTGTCTTACAATACGGATCAATGGCAGGATATAGATTACAAATAGACTCTCTCACGTATGAAAAGTAATTCAAATATGTCACTGAACTTGTCTCATATCTCGTGTACACATAATCACCAGGCGAGTTTAACAAAAAACTTGAATTCCAATAAACGTTTCCAGGTGAAGCATTTAAATATGCCTCTAACGACTTGTCCGACAATTCCGAGCATTGAAAATTATCAGGTTTTGGGACAAGTGCTTTGGTGAACACAATTTCTGTAATGATGAAATACAGGGAGAAACCCATTAAAAGTGATGCCATGATGATTCCGAGTAATAAATAGATGACTCTATTTCCAAGTTTGTTCCAATCAATGGGTTTGCTAGAATTAGATTTAGCACTATTATTTTCCAACTCATCTAAATCTTCATGATTGGCCACATCACTGAGTTGTTGTTGTTTGAAAGGGGTACTTGTCGAGGAGGGATTGTCTTCATTCCGAGTCATGTTTCCATATTTTGAATTTTGTTTCAAACTTGATTTTAGTGCAGTGGTGGGTGATGAGATTGTCCTACCCTCTTCCTGTAGTTCAATGTCATGAAAATTTTCATCGTGTTGTTGCTGGTGATGATGGTGATGATGTTGATGCTCTCCTTCTTCAAAACGGTGATTTCGGTTCGTCATTTTTTTTGTTTAAAAATGTCCCCCAAGCCAAACAGAGATTTGGGTGATGAAAAAAATCATGAACAAGACAATACTACCATCATCCATTTTCATTGCCATCATCATTTCCGTTTGGCTTGGAGCTCCTGTTTTGGTGGTGCATGCCCAACTATACCCACAATCTGAATCATCAACCTCTACATGTTCTTACCAGCTACAGTGCTTCATTTGCAACCTCATCAAACTAATTACACCTCTCTTTCATGCTTTATCGGTTTCCTTAGTACCATTAATATTGATTATGATTTTGAAGGAGCAACGAATATGAGTGTATTCTTTTTGACTGGAGATGAACTCGAGGATTATAGATCAAAGATAACTCTTGATGTGAATTATTTCCCACTTCAAACTGTGTTCTCCATTACAGGTGTAGCACTTGATAAGCATTTGAAGGGTTTTCATCGTGTGTTTGCATTTATCGATGGGGAAATATCTATGTAGTTATTCGAAATGATGGTTTACAGAAAGCTCAAATTACTGCTTCAGTGAATGTGCAAGAGTTTGTTGGAATTCCTTACATGATTGCTGCAGCAGGCGGCGTGTTGTTGCTCCTTGCATGTTGTTCATTGTTTTGTTGCTTGTGTTTATGCATGAGCCGAAAGAAGAAAAAGTATGTCTCTATTTAAGTTATTAAGGCAAAGATTGGAAGGTTCTAATGTCATGATAGGAGTTGACATTTAAACGATTTCAATGGTTATAGTAGTGTACTATGGCTACTATATCCACTTGACTTGATAAACAGATCACATGTGTGTATTGGGTGAGCGAAATAGTTCAAATCAATTACTAATTGCTTTACTTTCCAAGTCTTGTCTTGATATTGGTGACAGAGATTTCTTGTTCAGTATCCTCATCGTAGTCATAATATTCACCATTCTCTAAATTTACTTCAAAACTAGTTCCCTCACTATTGTAGGCCACAAGCCCTTCATTGCCTTCTGGTTCCCATTTCACTACCTCAATGCCACGTCCCTGAGATGGATCATGTGATCACAAAATGTTGTTATAATTGTGAAAATGACAGAAAATGACTTACGTCAAACTGGATCATTGGAAAGAATTTCTCACTGCCCGAAATTTCCTTAAAACTTCCACTGACAATGTCCAAGGTTGATTGACGTTTGCAGTTAGGACATGTAAAATTCAAGTTTGTCTCACTCGTTCCTAAGGAAATCATTAATTTCAAAAGTTGCTGAATGATCCATTCAATTAATGGTCACATACCAGATTTTACATTTTTATCTTCCTTTTCATTTTCACAAACAAATACATTCTTTGAATGTTCAGTGTTGCTGTGTTTTGTACACATGATCAAGTGTGATAGGTATCAATAACAAGCAATTGTTGTCATAAATTATTGTTTTTAAATTATTATTATTATTGAAAAAAATATAATCAATCATCATTACGACGACATGAATTTTGGTGAATTCATTCCGAATGAATTATTTTCAAGTTTTTGAAAAATATATTATTGAAATTTATTGAATTCTATTTAAATATTCAACGTCCATTTCTACTTACCAATGAGTACATTTAATTTTAAGCCTCCATGTAAAATTAGCAGGATCATTGATGGTTACTCTCTCCACACCTTGCAAGGTCATGGCTATTCCAAATAATCATTGTGTCCAGCAATTTGGTGCATCATGAAAATTCACAAGGACTCATCATATGATTGCAATTCCAAATTCCGATCCGTTGACTACTTACAAACTTCAAGCGCTTGTTTGGGCATTTTTTAAACTTGAGATTTTCCTTTTCTGCACATGTATGCAAGAACAATATCAAAGGATGAGTTTCACGTTCGAATAAATTCAATGGACGTGTGTTGGATTAATGGCTTCTCAAGAATCAGAGAGTTTCTTTAATTTTAATTAATAACATTAATAATTAACTATTTCAACTCAAGGTATTTTGAAAGTTATTTATTGGAATTCATGGTTGCATGCTCACTTTCCAGCAACTCAAGTGTCACTTTATTCTCGAGAAGAGACGGACTAACAATTCCCAAGCACTTCTGGGTTTGTTTGCAAATATTTAAAACCAAAGTTGGTTTTAATTGATTGGCAATCATCGATATTATTGGTGATTGCCTCACCTCGTGACGTTTCATTGAATGAGTTTCACCAATAATTCTACACGACGATCGTTCCACTAACGAAATAATTTCAAATAATTGCCTTGAAACATGAACATGCTCCATTACATCTTCCAATTCTTCAAGTATCAAATATTTAACAAATCTCAAATGAAACACACGTCTTTTCATTAAATGTAATACATTTGATGGTGTTCCAACTATGATTATTGGACGATTTTTCAAAACAACATCCATGTACTCATCTATTGAGGCATTATAGCTTCGAAAAATTACAAAATTCATAAATTCGCCCAATCGTTGGAGTTTACTTGCCTCTCGATAAACTGTTTCATTTCGACGACATAATATTATAGCATGTGGATGTTTCAATATTGATGATTCTGGTGTTGGATTTTCATTATTCACCCAAATTGATAATTGTTGTAACAAGTAAATGATCCAAGCAGTTGTTTTTCCACTGTTAGGTGTTGCATTTACAATGACGTGATTTGTGCAAAGAGGAAGAATTCGTGGTGTCAATGCAATTGTTGTTGCTGAAATAATATCATTTTGACATTTGATTTTTTCATTAGCAAATAATACTCCCAATAAATGACTCTGCACGAAGGAGGGTTTTTCTGTTTTCAAAGTACTGTAAATTCCTTGCAACAATTCTCGCGATACATTCGGAATGAGTTCAAACGAAGTGAGAGGTAAATATTGAATAAATTTCCTTCTCATTTTACAACATAATTTTGAAAATAAAAGATGTAAATACGAATCATCTTGGAAAGACATTGTTTCTTCTTCCGAGTATTCAGTTTTTGAAAGATGTGTCCCGATCAATAAATCACAAAGAAGGACTCTAACATTCATTTTTTTTACAACGTCTAATATATAATAATTCCAAGAAGAAATTTGTTTGAATTTAAATAACAATCCATCGATCATTTTCTTTGTATCACATTAAGAAAAAGTAATAACTCACCTGCACCACTCAACAAGAGTGAAAAAGCGAAATTGTTCATCAACTTTCACAAAAAAAAAACGCGAAAAAAATACAAGTCGGTAAGACCATCACAATGATGATGAGCCTGATTTCGTTGATCTCGTTCATCATCATCCTGGTATTTGTTTCAATAGAACAAGTACGGGCTGCACAGCCTCTTTCCTATCCACTTCCTAAATTCAATATTCAACCACAAACGCTCTCCATTTCAGGCTTATCTTCCGGAGCTTATATGGCTGTACAGTTTTCAGTGGCTTTCAGTTCCTCTAATCGTGGAGTGGGTGTTTTTGCAGGTGGTCCTTACTATTGTGCTCGGGGAGATTTTGCAACGGCAAATGCTGCTTGTATGAAGGTTGCGAGTATGATTGATTTGGCAACTTTGCAGAAAGATATTCTCTCGTTTCAATCGAATGGATTCATTGACCCAATTGCTAATATTGCTCAAAAACATCGAGTGTATTTATTTAGTGGTACCAAGGACTATATTGTCTTTCCAGAAGTGATGAAAAAGTTGAAGGATCAATATGTGAAACAATTGGGATTGGATGAGAAGAAGATTGTGAGCGATTTTGATGTTCCAGCTTCACATGCCATGATTACTAATAATTATGGAGCAAAGTGTGATGCATTTGGTGTAAGTTGGAATTAATTGTGTCACAACCCAGTTAATATTTTAACATTTATTGAACAACAATTATGAATGCTCGACTTGATCTTCGTACCAATTTGGGGTATGCCCAATTTTTCGAATGAATACACACATTTATAACAAACAGTCCCCATTCATTAATAATTGCAATTTGGATGGTGCTTCAAAAGCTCTTGAAACTATTCTGACCTCCCAAAATTATACCTCCACTGTGGTCACACCTGACATTAACAACAATTTCCATTTATTTTCTCAAAGCAATGCCTATTCAGCAACGTCCTTCGATGACTATGGTTACATTTATATTCCAACTGGTTGTAAGAATGGTGATGCTTGTAGAGTACATGTTGCTTTCCATGGCTGTCTTCAAGGAAGATCCTTTGTGAATGATGTCTTTGCTCAACATGCCGGTTATTTGGAACATGCTGAGGCCAATAATATCATTTTTATATTCCCACAAGTTAAGGGCATCTCTGGTAACAATAACGGTTGTTGGAATTGGTTTGGCTATGGAAGTGATCATGATTTGTATGCTACCAAACAAGGAGAGCAAATGAAAGCCGTTCGAAACATGCTTGCTGATCTTGGTGTTGACATTTAATTGACTTTTCTTAAAAATACATAAGTTATTATTTTTCTAATCAATGGTTGTGTATTGATGATTCTACCTTATTCATGAAGGAGTCTCCCAGTTCCGTGTGTGAAAAAATGATGAAACAGAGATTAGTATGTTGAAACAAGAAATTGCATCAATGAACAGACGAGTTTTGAGAAGTTGACGGCTCGTTTGAAAAAGCACAATATCAATTTTGATGATATTTTACCATTTCATGCATCATTGAGTGAGCTTTTACAAAATACATCAAGGCGTGATTTTACATTCCAGACGAAACATGATTGTTGTGTGTTTCATCCTGTTGCGACTGAGATGTTGTCATTTCATCATAATTCTCAAATGGATCGATCCATTCTTCTTCATCATTCTCACCGCTACTCAAAGATGGATGTTCAAACAACTCCACCTCTTTTTGAAGCTGAGTAAGCTCCAAATCTCGTTGAATGAGATCCTTATACAGCGTTGAAATAATCTTGTTGTACTTGTTCATTTGATCTTGAATGGTTTGAACTTTTTTTTCAGTTTCCACTTTTTCCTTTTTTTTCTTCTTTTTTTCCTCAAACGAGAGAAGTGAGGTTAATTTGGATCGAGGTGATTCCATGCTCGAATAGTCATCGACAGGACTCACGCTTCGAGATATTGGCTCAGTTCTGGACATGGTATGTAATGGAAGTTGCAAATTAAAACTTGTTTTTTTGGTCAATGAGGAAGAGCCAGTGTCACTTGTCACTGAAGAAGGTGCCAGAGGACTACTTGGAGATACATCGGATTTTTCAGAGGCAGTTCCTTCATCATTGATAGATACAAGCCCATTCTCAGAATTTTGAATGGCTGAGGTCAATAATGATGTTGTCGTTGTTGATTCTGCCGTCAAACTTGTTGTTGTCACACCATTATTCGAAGGAATGATAATCGAAGGAGGATTAGCATTCATCGTGTTGGGAGAATGAATCTTTTTCTGAAAAATTTCTGGAAATTCATTCTTGTGTGTGAAAATAATTCTTCTCATGAGTAAAACTTCAAATTCTTCAGAATCTGCCAAATATTGTTCAAAAAGACTCTTCAATTGTTGAAATAGTTCAGAATGGAGCGCTCCAAAAATTTCCTGAAAATGTTGTGCCGTAAATAAAAGAATGGATTGAATATGTGTTTGTTGTTGTTGCTGTGGTTGTTGTTGTGGTTCTTGAGCTTCCACGAGTTGAAATTTTTCCAAAATTTTGTTCACTTCTTGATCTGTTAATTTCTTAAATCCAAATGTTAAGGAAGGAAGTTTTTTCTTTTTCAATGCTGCAGATTCTGTATTTTCATGTTGTTGAGAATCTATCAAGGCAGCAGAAGAAGAATTTATGGTGGAATTGGTCTTGTTGTGTGGCTTCATGGTCAACTTTCGTAAAAATCCCAAAGACATCATTTTTGAGGGAGAAGTTTCATGAATGGAAGAGGGATGATCTTTGCTGTTGTTCGATAGAGAAGTGCTCGTCGTGGTTGTTGAGGTGGTACTGTCATTGGTCAAGGTGAAAAATAAATCATTCCATAAATTCATTCCTGTCAAGTCATTCAATTGAGGTGAAATGGCCTTGACATGTTTTTCAAATTTTTGACAAGTTTCACGTTGCAAATCTCTCGATATTCCTAATAATGAATTCACGGATGAGGTCATGACAGTGTCAATATTTAAATTTTTCACATCCCAAACACTTGCCAGAAATTTTCGAATTATTTTGTCATAAATTTGAAGAATTGTGACGCCATGAGAGAGTATTGAACTGCAAGAGACTTCTTCATTCAATGGTCGCAGCGTAGTTGTTTCATCGTTTGTGACCGAAATCAAAATTTTACAACTCGATGTGGAATCATCCAAGCTTTTTGACAATTGACAATTTCCATCGATGGCATCTCCATTCAATTGTTCTTTTAAAGTCGATGAAGACGAATTCCTTGAAAATTGTTGAGATGCATCACTTTGTCTAAATGTCCAACTCTTTGAAAAAGGTTTTTTCACATTGTCTTGAATGGTCGTGCCCAGTGATCCATTTGCGTCCATTTGATTATTATGAGATGACGACAACTCCTCTGAATTTTCATTCATTAATTGTTCCTTAATTTGTTCCAACTCCACAAAACAATTCCATAATCCTCTTCGATTTTTTCGATATAAAAATTCAATAAAGAATTCTCGATTTTCCAAAATGTTTCGACTCAAGGAATTTGAAGAACCAGAATTAACCAAACTTAAAAAACTAAAACATTCCTTGTGGAGAAGAGTTTTTTTGTTAGCCATGGGTTTGGAATGGAGAGATGGAGTTGTGGTAGCAGACGTGGTTGAGTAGACCGTGGTTTTTGAGAGCATTTTGAAAGAAAATTGACACTTGGCCGTTTACAAATATTTGATCAATTTTGTGAATCAAACGTTACGATTACAACAATTGGAGTGACACTCTTTTGGATTGGCAAAAGTGAAACGGAAAAACACAAGTGTGTGATAATATCGTTGGAAAGGAACGGGTCAACTCTTTGTTAAATGTATGTGTGAATATCGTTGAAATTGAATAATAATTTGTTTTGAACAGTACACAGAAACGCTGTTGGTGTGAGTAGATGCGCAGTCTGTGTATGAGATTTTCTTGTTGTGTGTGATGGAATCAAAACAATCTAACACAAGCGCAAATTTTTTTTGAACATTCCGACTGACAGGAGCACTTGAGGATGACAAACAAAAACCGATGGTGACTTGATTTGGCATGTGGAAATTGAGAGAAAATGAGCTCGAAGAATAGTAAAGCTTTAGAAGAGAGCTCTGAAGTATCTCTCACTTGAATGCATGTCATCATCTCACTGAGATGTCATGCTCAATTTACGGAAACTCACAAGTTATACGTAACGAATGGCGGTCATTGGGGTAAATAAATTCTGATCTGTATTGTGAATAATTATGTCGTGCATATCAGGAAAAGTTACACAAGTCTGTAAATTTTTTCTTTTCTCCATTCACATAGCAATAGTTAATGGCCTTTTCCTTATTTAAATCGGCAACTCTCCATGCTATTCTTGAATTCAAATTCTTGAGAATGTGTTTACCCCAACCGTTTCCATGCACAATCGATGGATAATTCTTGTGTTCAGCGTTGCGAAACCAAATACCACTATTCGAAGTCTTGGCAATGGCTGCATCTTTTGGAGGTTGGCGTTCGAGAGCTAAATTCGACATTCTTGCGTCGAGCAGCGAGAAGAATAACTCCCCCCAATAGTCTAATTTGATCGAATCATGGAGTTCTTCTGTTGTGAGCCAAACATAACTAGTCATTCCTTGATCTCCATACAAGTCATGTTTCACATCGTCATCTAAATGGATCATTCGATTGAAGAGTGCAATGACATCTTTTTGTCTTCCCATAAAAGCTCCAGAATTGAGAAAACGATAACCATTCGGTGCCCGTGGAAACCTGTCGCAAAATGCTTCACCCCATCTTTCTTTTGCACTTTGGATGAGACCATACGGATGACAGTTCTTTTCGGCACAGTAAGCAATCACTGAAGGAGTGGTTGGTTCATTCGAATTTGATGATGAGGCTGTGGCTGTGGTGGGAGTGGTTGCAGTGGCTGTGGTGGCAGTAGATGTCTCCTTCTCTGACACACGTTGTTCTTTTGTTGTTGATTCTGAATGAGGATCATTCTCTGGCATGGATGGCAACAATTGCTTCTTTTCAAACAATTTCAAATACTTTGCAACAATGGTCTCTGCATTTTGAAAGAACAAGACATCATAGGCATCCACAAATAACAGCAGAGCATTGGGATTCTTGATTTTTGAAATTTGGTTCATGATGATTCCAATTTTCTGTTGCAACTTGAAATCCTTAATTCCATATCCAATAATGTTCATATGAATACCTTGGCGCATGGCAGAATGCAACAATTTACAACTTCCGTCTTTCATGGTTGTGGCCACAGTGATGGGATAAAATTCTTCATTCAATACCATAATGGGAGTTAATTGAGGACGAGAATCATCAAAGGATGAACTAGAAATGCCTCTGCTAGCATCGGAGGAAGTCGTAGCAAGATCTTGTTTGATAGTCTTTGCTGAAGAAGATTTTGAATGCCTTGCATTCAGGGTCTTCTCCGACTCTTGTTGAGCAATAATTGCAGAGGGTAAAGAAGCCTTTGTGGAATCATCGGCAGCATCAGTCGCACAAGACGTTGGAGATTGGAAGGAGCTCTTGCTCATCAACAAGATCAACACTGCTCCGTTCATAACAATAATCAATGCCATTGCCATAATAAACATTGATTTTAAATTAAGGAAAGAAAAGGATGAAGAGGGGGAAGTGGGAGAGAGGTTTCTTGTTGTTTTCAAGAAAGGGGACAATGCACTCGGACAACTCAGCTTTCGTGTGGCCGGTTGTTTGAAAGTTTCAATCCTGAGAGGAAAGGTGGACGAGTTGTAGGGACTAATTGGCATTCTTGTGATTTGTAATGTATATATTCAATAAGGTATAATTAAATTCAGCCTTAAATCACGGAAAGAAGGATGGATATAAATAACGGTTGGTGGTGGTAGATGTGGTGGATGTGGTGGCGGTATAGGAGAAAAAAGGAAAAGGACCATGAATATCACAAGAATCAACGCTCGCTTCTGTGCAAAAAAATATTGAGGGTTTTTTTAAGTGATGATGATGATGAATCAACAACAAGTGGAAACCAATTCAACCTTCACATCTCCAAAACGCCCCTTAACGCGAATTGCTGAATTTGGCGTGCTTCGCGCAATAACATTCTTCTTATCCATCATGGGCCTCAAAGCCATGTTCAAATGTACAAGTTTGGAAATGTGTGCGTTTGGAAAAATTAATGAAGCTGCACAATTTTTTCAATACTCTTGACAATGGATTGAACCATGGAATCTCCTTCCATAAGGACACTATTGAGATTTTCACTGCTACTACCACTTGTTGGTTTCTTTTTCAACTCTTCATCATTAAGGGTCGTTTTATACACCACAGAAATTAAGGAACGACACGTATGAACTGGGAGAATCATGTACACAATGACACGAGTCTTTCTCTTTTCTGGAAAGTCCCAAAAGAACCATTGCCAACGATACACTCCAGCAAATTGTGATTCAAATAATTGAGTCACGTCAACATCTTCCTCAAGAGTGATCAAATCATGCTCAGATATGCGTGAATAATCTTTGTGAGTTTTTTTAAGACTGAATATGGTATAGAGCTTGGCTTTTTCCAAATTCATCTCTTGAAGAATATTGTCTCGAAAGGAAAATGTTAAATGTTCATAATTGTCAACCCCACCTTCTTGTGGTAAAGTATTAGGAGTCTCAGAGTTTTCATTCTTCACAATATCACCACCACTGCCACCGCTACTCACCACAGGCACATGATAATAACACGAAATGGAATGTGCCTTCTTATTGAGAGGATCAAATTTAAATCGTTTTGGAACTTTGAAAATAAAATAGGGAAAATTATCGACACGAAACACTGGATCCGAATGTGAAAATCCTCTTGGAGAGGAAATTGGACTGGGTGATTGAAGATCATTCAGCGTACTAGTCGTTGTACTCATGTTTGCTCTCTTCAATGAAATGCCAACAGTCAAATTTCCATTCTTGACACCTTTCAATGGTAATGTCACTTGTTCTTCCTTTCCACTGTTCACTTTAAATCGATCATCATTGATCACTAATTCAGCATCTCCTAAAAAATCATCCTTTTTCATGAGATCATAATCCATGACTCGAAATTTAATGGTCCAACCTTCGGGACGATCTTTGGGTGATCGAAAAGAATACTCTTCATTTTCCCAAACTGGATTTAAATTCTTTTTAATGATGGATGTTTTAATTTCATCATAAAAATTGAGAGCCGAGGATATGATGACATACGGATCGGATGAGCCACTCACATCCATGGCGATGAGATCATTGGCTTTGATGATTGTGATGCGGATAGAGTCACCTTCGAGAATGGGCATTTCTGAAGCACACGTTTTTTTCGAAATGTTCAAAGAAGAATTGTGACAGGTGACCTTTTGAAACCTTAATGAAAGCAAAACAAAAATGAAAATTGTCAAAGAACTGATCACACTGTTGCGATATAGCCTTTTCTATCGCGAGAAAAAGCTTTCCGAAGAGATAGACACTTTCGGTTGGACATACCCATCACCTCACATTAAACATATGGTAGCACTAATGGGTACCCGTCTGTAAATTACTCTCATCTCTGTCGGATGAATTTCTAATGATGTAGATGCAACATTGGACGAACAGCAAGCAAGAATTATTCGTCCAAAAATTGCTATCACTATGATACATCATGATGCTCATGAAGAAGCCTTCGTTAAAGGCTCTTCTTCATTCATCAATAATTCTTTTTTATTTTCATCATCTTCTTACTGGTTTTGGAAATTGATTGAGAAATTGTTGATAAATGATAATAATTTCATGAGCTCATTCCAACATTCTCATCTACCTCCATCATTCAATCATATAACAGCTCAAGTACTAACCTCCCCTCCTTCTCCTGATTATACTCTCTTCTGGTATGGTCGCAACGATACAAAACCGGAAACACAAGAACAACAAGAAAAGATCACTTACATTGCTCTCTATGGTTTTTTGGTCCCCTTCTTGCTCATTATGGTGATCACGTTATTGATTTTAATGATTCGTAGCTGGAAGGAAATGGTTCTGAATAAGCGACTCATGTACATTCTCATATTATTGCTCAATTTCAATCAGCTGTTTTCAATGTTGTTTGGAATTGCTCATGCAGTGTGCACTCTACTCAAGCTAGAAGAAGTCATATCAGTGATTTTCTACATGTTTCATTACGAAGGAGTGATTGCAAGTTTAGGCTTGTCTATCTTTTGTAAGACCATGACTACAAGAGTAGTGTACATGATCTATTTTAATAAGGAACAATCGTGGGTAAGAGAAGGTCAAATGAAATGGAGAAGAAGATTTGTAAAAATTATTGGAATCGCAGTGACCGTATTGGGTATGGTCACATTGCTGGTTATGATGCCAACCATATGCGTCACAGCTACTGTGTATTATTATCCAGGGGTAAATCAAGATATGGCTCGTGAGGCAGCTATCAACCGATACTTTACAGATGCACTTGCTGGAATATTATATATTGTTATCATGACGTTCATGGGTATTTTGAATTGTGTTCTTGTTGCAGCGCTTGTGAGAAAATTGATGATGCAAAATTCACAGTTAGGAAGTACGGCTGCCTCTTCACAACGTAAAGCAGTCTGTCAACGTATTTTGATACTTACTTGTGGGCAATTATTTCTTGGACTTTCCATGGAATTAGCAGCATGCATTGCAATTTTTGGGATATTCACACGATACTTGTTTATTGTGTCGTCCTTTTTGCAAACTTTCAATATCATACTATTTTCTCTTGTAATAATATTTTCATTTGGACCATTAGATTTTATTGTCTCAGAAGGATTAATGAAGGTATCACATCGACGTTTGGAAAAACTTAATTCTAAAGCAAATATTACGAAAACTTGTAGCGCTAAGGATCTTGTAACCACCGTTCGAAATGACGTCAAAGGTGACGACGAGCTTAAGAGAACACCAAGTGACATTCATTGCCAAATATCCACACACTCTCTCGAATCTGGACGGGCCTCTTCTCCAAACAATCGTGAGTACAAGCGTTCATTGTCTTCCTCAAGGAACAGCAACAGAGATTCATATGTGGCTGTGTCACCCTTCTCTCCGTCAGCTGATTCAGAGAGTGGCGGAATTGTTCCAGAGCTTTGTTTTCCTTCCACCGCTCCTTCAGAATTTTTAGAGTCTTCTGTGGTATAGATATCTACATGCATGTTATCAGAATTGGAAAAGGTAACTGGGCATGTTCGAATGAAACAACATGTCAATTGGCTATCTCTTGAATATTCATCTTGCAGAGAAATAATAATAATATTGTTAGTATGCAACACGATCGAGATAACAGCGTGGGATTCTATAATAGCGATCCCAAAGTTGTTATCTCTTGGAGAATAGTATGTTGAAAGCAGTTGAGGTTGTGTACAGCAACAATTAAAAAGAGAACATTCTCTCATTAGTAGTACATACAAACAACCACCCATGCACACCTTCAGCCATGATATGAAAAAGAATCTGCAGATGCATATTCAACCGCTAGCGTATGGCTTATCCAACGACACCTCGGTCGATGCTTATTCTGAAAAGACTGTTTCATTGGTATTTTATGGTATAAGAATTCTGTTCATGATCCTATTGGTGCTAGCTCTTTTCATTCTACTCTTTCGTAACTGGAAAGAATATGTATTCAACAAACGACTCATGTATTCATTAATGTTGAGCATGACCGTGATTCAAGTACTTGCAATCCTGGCAGGAATTGGACATTCCACGTGTTCATTACTTCAATTGAAAGAAGTGATTGGACAAACATTCTTCATGCTCTATTATGAAGGAATCATCATTGATTTGATTTTGAGTTTGTATTGCCAGTTAGTGACAACAAAAATGTTATTTGAAATTTATTTTCATAAGGAACAGTATTGGATGCGAAAAAACAAACGTGCTTGGAGAATGCGACATTGTGTGCTTGTGTTTGCTGTTAGCGTGGCAGTATGTACTGCAATATTTACCATTCTGGTGGTGCCTGCGGTTTTATTGACACTCATGTTTTATTATTTTCCAAATGTGAATCAAGAAATTGCGAGACAGGCCGCAATTTATCGATTTTATGTTGATGCTGTACTTGGAGTATTGCACATTCTTACCATGGCAGCTATAGGTATTATTAATGTAATACTGGTGGTGTCACTTGTCAAGAAACTACTCTCGAGCGGCATGGTCTCTTTCCAACGTAAGATGGCTGCCTTACGAATGATCATGCTCAGTGTAGGTCAATTTTTTCTTGGAATTAGCATGGGCCTTGTGACCTTCATGCTCGTGCTTGGTCTTCTCAATCGTTATCTTTTCATCGTTGGAGGATTTTTGCAAACTTTAAACATTTTTATATTTTGTGTCATGATCATGTTTTCCTTCCACTCTCTGAAATTTCTTGCCGAGAATTTGGAGCGAATTTCATCGAAGCGAGTTCCTTCCGAATTGAAAGAAAATTTAGAGCAACAAATTAAGAATCTCCCTGAAAACCATACTTCGAATCCTCAAGACATGAACGAGAATGATTCTAATAAGGATGGTCGTGAACATAAAGGTGTTGGTCAACCCTTAGACAATACAGACCATCATCAACAAATGGCAACTTCACCACTTGCTTTGATTTCACATGAAGGTGTTGACGTGACACCTTTTACGTCTCTCTCCTAGTGTTATCACGCTCCAATATTTTTTGATTGATGGTTTTAGTTACATAATCAGCTCATGACCATTTTCAAACATGAACCCCACAACAAGCCTGTCAACGTTCCTGCTCTCTTTGTCGTGTTCGTTTTTGTTCTTAGAAAAGTCAATGGTCAACAGCGGTCCAGTATTCACCAAATCCCAAACAACATTCCGACCTGTGTTTGCCATCCAAATCCACAACAGAACCGCACTGTTGCTAATGAGCTCATCAACTCAGTCCAGGGATGACAAGAATCATGCAGAAGCGCCTTTGTATGTTCGCGAACTGCATCATATAAAAGAGCCTTTACCGCTGCGATCCACATTCTCAAGTCCTCACGTTGCAATCATTTCGAACCAATGCCGAAACAGTCATTGTTGAAGAAAATGAAACACAAACAACTTTCGATCTTCCAACGCTGTCACTTGCCAATACATCCTTGCCTCATGATCCGAGCGATCTCAACATGATTGACCATCATGTCATGACCAGTCGAACCAATAGAGACACCTCTCTTCCGAAACATGATACTTTAAAAGTTCTTCAAACTCCAACACCACATATTGAATCGCCATCCGATACTTATTGGATGATGGCATTGGATTCCACAACGAGTCACAACAATGGTTTCAAAACATCGACATTGACGAACACAACACGTGGATCGATCAATGGTGGTCATCGAACGTCGATATGTGAAAATTCTGAATTGGATATGAATACGATTGAAAGTAGTCTTGTGTCTTCTTCATTGACGAATAATATGAAATCGTTTGTGTTGGATGAATATATCGCTGGATTGACTTTTGACGTGATTAATTCCACGAGTGCTTATTTGACCTCTAGTTCATCCAACCCCAGTTCGAATTCGAATACGTGTCAAACACACGATTCAAAAGAGAGAAGTTCACAAAATTCCATCATTCGAGAAGCTGTTAAAATTAACAAAAATAAGAGAAATTCCACTTCGATTGTGACCTTGTCATCTCCGACCATGCATTGCGAACCTTTCAATGGTTCGAACCAAATCACTGCGAATAGTTTTTGTGCAGCACGTTCATCCACAAACGCTCACAAAAACAAACGTCTCTCGAGTCCACAAAGTCTTTTCAATATTTTACAACACACTCAAGAATATCCAACTAATTCTCCAAGTACTTGTCAAAATAGAAAGAATAGTGCAAATTCTCGAATGAAATCTCCATCACAGCATGAAACCAATGCCATGGTTAGTACACCACTTCCAAAACATTTAGAAGAAATTCCGTTCGATTTTTCAAATCCCTTAATGACTCCGCGACATGAGAGGAAAAATTCACTAGGGTTGGCACTTTCCGTTGATACTTCCATTTCACATGTGAAACAATTGTTTCATGACGACCTGAATGATCCAACCGTGTCCAAAAAACCATCATTGAATGTACAAAGTTCGAAAGATTTGAACGATCCAGCGTCCACAAGTATGATGGATTTAAGTTTTGAAGAATTTTCGAGACAATTTACAAACAATTTATTGAATCAGTACCGACAGGAAATGTCATCTCCTCAAGTGGTGATGCCTCCTCTCGCTATTGGCATTCAATCACCTTCTTCATCCTCAAGAGTTCCTAGTTCAATATCTTCTGCTCGATCACCTACAGGAACCAACACGACATCAAATGGAAACAAACGAACGTCTTCCTTAAATGCACTCAAACGAAGAACCATTACAGGAGGTCAGGATTTAGTGAAAGCTGTTTTTGGATTTAATCAAGATTCTCATGAACTTGTGAATTGGAGAGCAAATCCGTTATCTACTTCTAGTCCCTATCATGTACATTGTAAATCAGATGATGTGAATGCTTACGGTGGAAACACAACTTCACAAGATGGAGAAGTGAAAATGAAATATTGGGATGAAATTGATGAAGAGGAAACGAATCGAAAACGTCAATCTTTTCGAGAATTTAGTCAAAACTTGGATTTATGTTATTCCATTGATGTGGTTCGACCAAGAAATAGAAATTCCACAAGCCAAATGTCAAATGTCAAGCGACTCTCTTTAACTCTTTCTTCCATGCTTTCGAATGGATGTTCCACAACGAGTCCACAAGATACCTTTGAATATGCCACTGCAGACATGAGTACCTTTGCCACCTCTCCTCAAGCATGTGCTGTCACACTTTCTTCGATTGCAAATGCATCCACTCCTTCCTCTTCTCCTCAACTTAAAAATGCATTGACCACTGACAACACTTCAAACAACCTCCTCAACAACTCCATGACCTCAGTTTCCACTTTTCCTAACCCTGCTCTTTCCACATTAACCACTTCAATATCATTACAAAATTCTCCTCAATCTTGTAACATTGTACAAACTCCCACATCAAGAAGATCACTCAACAATAATCGAATTCGAAATGCACACAACAGACGATCACTTTCCTTTCCAACAGAGAAACTGAAGAATTTATTTAAGAAATTAAAGGAGTGATTGTTGTCCAAATTTGTAGAATTTGATTAATATTCAAAAAAAAATGTTTGTTTCTTCCGATCCAAAGAAGAGAAAGAGAGGTCAGACTGAATCAGTCGTGAAAGAGCTTTCTTCCGATAGTAGTGAAGAAGAAGAAGCAGAGAATTGTAATTCATCCTCAAGGCTGATGAAACGTTCACTTTTCAACAACCATTGCAACCAGAGGAATAATAATAATAATAGGATAAAAGAACTTTCCGATAGTAGTGAAGATGATGATGATCAAGAAGAGGACAATCACAGAAAAAAAGTCATCAAGCCATCTCCTCAAGGATTGAAATTACATCAACAAATTCTTTCATTTAGAAATAATCTTGGAAAGCCTTCAACAGCAGCTGAACATCATCCACAAACAACAACAATCACTCAAAAGTCTTCTCTACTATCCAGAATTTTCCACGAATCATCATTAGATTCCAAACAACAACAACACAATCAAAAGCCACAACAGAAATTATTATCTTCTTCTTTGGAGAAACCTAAAGCACAGTCGTCCTCATCCATGGATGAGACATCTTTCAAAGATGTGAAATCTCAACAACCAGCAGTAAAAGCAACAACAGCGAGTACCCGCAGAGATCAACAAAGAAAATCTCAATCAAGAACAACAAGTAATCCTCGTCAACGTCGTTCTGCAACATCTTCTAATCACTCACAAAACGAGAAAACAATGGAGGAAATGCTTCAACAAATGCTTCGCGAAATTCAAGAAGTAACAGGTATGGAGTGGACATATGACGACGATCCACTCAGTCAAATGTTTTATGATTTGGAAAATGATTGTGGAATGAATTTTGGAATTTCCAAATACCCTCCAAACAACGAAACCATGAATGAAGAAGAACGACAACATTTGGCAAAACTGTATTCACAACTATTTGAAGATGAGCAAATCATTTATCATGTGTTGAAATTTATAGATGGTCTTATATTGATTCGCTTTTGCATGAGGGTTTGTAAAGCATGGTATAATCAAGCGCGTTGTGTTCCTCTTTCTCTATCGATACCTGCGAATGAAAGTTCAAAAACTCGCAAAATGCTATCACTGGACTACATTTCCAATTTGAAAAAGTTAACGCTTCGAAGAAATCTCCTATCTCAATGTGACGTTCTTTCTTGTATTGTACAAAGCCCGAAAATGAAAAACTTGACCTATCTCGAGCTCGCAGGAAGAACCTATGATAAGGGAGCAATATTGGTTGCTTCTAGCAAATACATGAAAAATCTCAAATATCTTAAAATTGAAAGATGTAGTATTAAGAACTCGGGAACAATTGCCATTGCTGAAAGCAAGTACTTGTCAAACTTAACATTGCTAGACATGTCATGGAATAATATGGAAACACCGGCAGCAATTTCACTTGTTTCGAGCAAGTATATGAGAAATTTGAAAAGTTTATCCTTTCGTTTCTGTGATCGACTTGACGATCGTATTGTTGAAGCAATTTGTTCCAGCAAGTATTTGAAAAACTTGACATGCTTGGATTTAAGTGACATCAAACTTGGAAATGCATCTGCAAAGGCCCTCTCGGAATGGCCTCTTCTTCGACAATTGATAGTTTTGAAATTGGAACGAACTAAAATCGATCGAAAGGGAAAACAACTAATATTATCGAGCCCATATTTCGATCGAGAAAGAACGAAATTGAAAATTAGTTATGAAGCAATGAGCTTTTTAGACCAGTTGGGCCTTAAAAGAATTCAATAACTCGTTTTCATGTGTTGAACGAAATTGAATTCAATCTCTCGCTGCATCTGTGTTGCATTACCGTATTTCCAAAACACATGGGTATCGACTCAATATCATCATTTTTGGATTCGAGGACATATTTGTCTGCTTGAGAAATTTGGTCATCCATGCAAAAAAGGGTCGAGGTATCATTATTATTTTATATTCATTCATTTATTATATCATTCCATTCTTAATTCGGAACGAACGAACACAAATATTATAATATAATATAAGAAAAAAATACCACAAATGCACGAACACAACGAACCAGTACAACAACAAGCGCAACTCGTCACGGGAATGATTGCCTATGTGACAACGACCTTGTTATTACCCTTGTTGAGTTGGATTTATTCAATAATTGTCACAACAACAGGATGGGAGCAAACAACCTTTCGAGATCATGCAAACAGCGATCATAGAAACTCGAACACCACTCGTGAGAGTACAGAAAGATTTGATTACATTCTGAAGGATCTACAATATATGAAATGTATTTCTTGGTCCATTTCAACATCTCTGCGATTGTTGAAAGATACACCTTGTCAAGATGAACGATTATTGAGGTTGTTAAGAACTGAATGGATGAATCATATCGAACAATCGAATCAAGAATTAACATTTCTAATCTCGACCATGGAACGATATATCCTTACACATTAATTTGCTCTGAATTTACAACAAGCTTGTCCTAACAACATCTTGATAGTGTTGTTGAGAAAAGTCGTGATGCTAAGTTTGAACGTCCAACATGCGTACAACGGTTATCCAATCACTGTTTTCAACAATTGGTTGAACGAACGTTGTGCGTCTTAAGGTGGAATAAAAATCTCCAAAAATCATAATCAGAGAGCATTGTCAACTATTGTTTTTAAATTATGAAAATTACTTGATTAAGGCCTGTCATAAGAGATAAATGATGGCCATGGTTTTAACTTTGATGTTGTATCATAATTGCCGTTGACGGCTGACACTCGGCTAAATGAAATAACACGTCAAAGTCCCATTAAAAAAAACAAAACATCGATCGCCACTGTCCCTTAATTACGCTTTGCAAGAGATGACTTGTAGAATTCATTCTGCCAACTGTCATTTTACCAAAACCAAACGTCCTCAGTACTTGCTGCTCTACACTTTCCTTGTCCTACTCCTCTCCATCTTGACCTTCAGCTCCACTCTCTTCATCTGTGGCACTCCTGGTCTTGCTTCCTATTCATTCAGTAAAGCCGTGAGTTCTGCCATGTCTGAACTTGCACTCAATTCCGAATTTCAAAAATTTGTTTCTGACAATTATCCATTTTCGGTACCTTATTGTAGCTCGGCCCTCAATTATCCTACCACCTCTCCCATTCCATCCTCAGTAAAAGAGCTTGTCATGTGCACTCATATTCACGAGACATTTGACGTTTGGACAGTTTTATATCGTAGAGTGGCACAAGGAATTATCGATCATTTAAATGCCAAATACCAACTTTCATTAACTCCAAAATATCTCGGAATCAACACCACTACTGGTTATTTCATTAATTTGAAACAAGCCGTCGATTCCGAAATTTGTGACATTGTCGTTTCTGATACAACTTTTACCGATGAAAGATCCAAACTTGTGAGTTTCGCCTCCTGTGGTTATGGCTTTAGTAGTGACGGATTTCTTCGTACCGAGTTGGACAATTCCACCTTGACAGGAATTTACACCATTTCTCAATTAAATCGAGCAGATGTCAAAGTGTCATGGTATTACGGAACAATTTATGACAAGATCGTCAATGAAACGTTGCCACTCACTCAGAAAATGCCAGTCAATAATGTGGATGAACAATTTCAAATGGTTAAACAACAGCAAATTCATGCCTTGATTTCCGATGCTGTCGATTTGGAAAATTGGAGATTGAATAATAAGGAAAGTTGTAAGACGTGTTATGTGAAAACTTTTGGAACGACCTTTCCGTTTGGAGTGTTTACGGCATTGAAGAGTGAAATGTCAATGGTTGGTGTGGAATGGATGATGGTATTGATTGTAATGATTTTGTGTATGGTAAACTTGTTGTTGTAATTCATTGAAATTCAAATATGGTTTGAAAATTGTGGACAATTATTGAAAGTTATTATGAAATGTATTTCCAAGTTCCAATGAATTCAATAAGAATTTAGTCAATATTATTGCTTTGATCAATAAACATAAATCGAAAGATCATTGTCATTTTGAAAGCACTGTCTTGTGTCATCATCATCATGATGACTTTTCATCATTCCAAAACTCTTCAATCTTTGAAGAAGATTCAAACTTCTCCTCAATTTCACTCACACCCAATGATATTAATTCCAATTTACAACCAACAATTACTGTATTCATGTCGACATGAGGTAAATCTTCAACACCTAACAAGGAACAATGCATTCATTACGGATCGGAAGAGAGTTTTCTTTTTTCCATGATCATCACGTGAATTCCAACCTCGTTTGGAGCACGAATGATTTCCTCGACGACTATTGAAGGAACGAGTCATTGTTTTTTGGATTGGTTAAAAGTTATTCTTGGAGAATTTCAATGAAAATTGTTGAATTTAAAAATAGTATTGTCACCTCAATGACAGGACAAGGGTTCTGAACATCTGTACAGAAAAAATTTTCAATTACCAGTTAGCTAGCCCTACTAGTAGCAAATTAATTGATGTATGGAGTTACAGAAAACAAGCCAAAAACAAAGATCGGTCTATCTTGTTCCGTTTTTGGCATGCAGTGCCAACTTTTTACATTGAGCTCTGTAACGGGTTTGTGATATCTGCATTCAATCGAATCGCGTCATACAAGATTCGCCCTTTGTCAAGTTGTCAACATATCACAACACGTTTTTTACTAACACAGCGCTGGACGACAACAAGACTTGTTTTTAGAGAGATTTATGATGTTTATTGCTTTTTTAAAGGCTTTGGTGAGTCAAATTGTGTTTTTCAATTTGATCCTATCATCATCTTCATGATGTAGTGTTACAAATTTCGGTTGGTTGAAATATATTGTTACATATTAGAGAGACAAGTTATTGGATTTTGTACAATGGAGAAAGAGCTATCTATTCATTACGATTGCATGTATATTCTTTGAATGGATTTAGAAAATCAAGGCTAACAAGGCAACCAAACAGAAAATCATCACTCCAACAATACCACCATTCATCACGGAGGAAGCTCCGTCGTGCATTTCAGATGGATAGTATTGAGCAGAGGCAAATTGAGTGGAGAAGAGAGCCAAGAGGCAAACAATGAAAAAGAGTAAAGTAGTTGCGTTCATTCTTATTGTTATTGGTTGGTTATGAGAGTACTGGAAGAAAGGCTTTTCAGCGTATTGTTGTTGTTGTTGTTGAAATTGTTTTTTTGTGTTATGAAGAAGGACTGCAGAGAGCGTACTTGGTTTTATTTGAAATCACAAACGTGTTCAAATGGAAACATCATTCTCGCTTTGTACATCGTCTCTTTGTAAATCGGATTCTGGTTTTAGTGCATTTCGGGACTTGTAATGCCAATTTGAAAAATTTTATTCTCAGGTTTACTTTTTTAGAATGCTATGACGTTGTATGACGAGGGTTTACTAGGAATGTATGTCTCTTAGGGCTACTGTAAAATTGTAAGAGGGAGATTAATAAGGATCTCAAACGAATGAAATGGGAGAACTGTTCAAGGGGTGACCCAACGTTGTAGTACACTCGAACAAGATGACTTTTACTTGAATAGAGAACTGGGTAATGATAGATGTATGCTGATGTCAGGAGCAAGCCAAACATCAACATGACGTAAAGCCGCATGTTTAAAAAACTTTTTGGTTTTGAGAGTGAAAAATGAAGCTCCGCTGCCGGGAATCGAACCCGGATCTCAAGGGTGAGAGCCTTGTGTCCTAACCATTAGACTACAGCGGATTACATTAATTTTGAAAAATAATTGTAATAGTTTTAGTAACACAAAACCAATTATTGTATTGTTCGCTGTTGTTCAAAAATTCACAAACAAGAAAAATTACAATCTTCTTTGCCGCAACAGCTCATCAAGAATATGTCCAAAATGTGTGTGCTTTCTTTTTCATCGTGGTTGATTCTCTTGTTGTTGGTGTGCTATGTATACGCTACTTCTCCCACATTGTTTGGAAACACTATTGGAAATCAAACTAGAAGTACATATGACAATTTTGAACATCAAGCTCGGATCATCACGAGCAGCAACAGAGCATTCATGTCGTGGCCATCGCATAAATCAAGAGCTTCTCACTTTCATTCTCAGTATTATTTGAAATTGATGAAAGAAATCTCACCATTGAAGGCTTTCCATGACAAGTCATCCTCAAACAAATATTCTCGTTCCAGTCATCAACTCAACGAGTGGAAAGCAGAGAGAATTGATGAGAACTTAAAACGTCAAGTCATGGCTCACACATCATTGAACACTGCCGTTCCACAAGACTTTCTTCTACCTCGACCCAAAATGTATTCTGGCATTCAAACTAAGGATTCTAAACCTCTCTATTTTGGTGTTGCATGGAATGAATATGATAATCAACAATGGGGATTCAAAATTCGAGAGAATGTTTATTTAGATGATATTCGTTTCAATACGTTGAAGGTGAGTCTATGCAACGTTTTCTTCTTTCCAATGATTGTACAAACAATTGTACTGTTTTTGAATGAATTTATTGGTTTGTAATGGTTCACTAATCACTCAACAACTCAGGTGGAACGAGCAGATCCTCTCTCATTTTCTAAAGTCATTGTAGTGGATCAGTATTTGACCTACGTTCGGTTGAATATCACTACTGTGAAATATACTGGAACTAAAAACAATGCTTTTGCTGTGAAAATTACAGGTGAATCGGTCTATGATCCGAGAAGAAAGGAAAAAGTGGATGATCATATTTCTGTCTACTTTTATGTCGGTGTTTCAGAAGGACAAGTGAATGATGTGAAAAAAGATCAGAATTCTGGTCAATTTGTCTTGACAGGATATGACAGTTCATCGTATGGTTCTTTCAGATTGAAAACAAGTTCTATTAAGGCAGGAAATATGAATCCTAATAGTTGGAAATATGACAATGCCATGGATTCGTTCTATTTTGTGAATTATACAGAGAGACCATACTATGCAACGTCGACTATTGAACCAATTATTAGTGGAGGATATGGAAACGACTACACGAATAATCCTTCGTGTTGTCAAGCCACAGGAAACCATTTTAATTTATTGCCCAATGTAAAGGTGGCACCATCCAGTAACATTGGAATCATTCAAAAAGTGTTGAAAACTCCTTTTGAGTGGATTGTGACCTTTGATAATCCCAACGCAAACCCATTGTCAGATGTGGAAAGTTCTCCAGGCTACATTGACCATTTATATGAAAAGTACCAACAACAATTTGAGACAGATTTCAATGACAAATTTCCAGTTTTGAATTTCCTAAAGAGTCCTGTACCATTGTCCTCCTCATCTAAAACAAGCTCATCTTTAGAAATCTCCAAAGAAGACTATAGAGAGTTTGCCATGCAAGTATTGAGTAGCTTAATCTATGGTCTCAGTTACTTTGAAGGAACAGGTTTCTACAAGAACATGAGTGATCCTTCTCAGCCAGTGATTGTCATGCAAAATCGTAAACTCTTATCTCTCATTCCAAACAAACAATCATTCCCTCGGCCATTCTATTGGGATGAAGCTTTTATGGAAATGATGCAAGTGCGATGGAATGGTGATGTTTTTGAAGAAGTGACAAGATATTGGCATTTTGAAGCAATTTTGGATAGTATTTCTGGTTGGATTGATCGTGAACAATTTATTGGAGATGAAGCTCGTTATCAACAACCCGAATGGGCTTGGTACGGCTTAAATAATCAAATGAATCCTCCAGTGTATTTTATTACCATTGAAAGATATGCGCAAATGTATGACAAACAGAGAGTCATTCAATATTTTAACAGAACGGGACTATTTGAGAGAATGGATAAGATCTTGAATTGGTATCTCACTCATTTACAAGCGAAAGGAGGTATTCCTTACACGTATTGTTGGGGAGGTCGCTATTTTGATTGCTCGTTGGATAGTGGTCTCGATGATTTTCCTCGATTTCCACAAGTTGAGCCTGGAGAAATCGATGTCGATATTCAAGCATGGCTGGCTAAGGCAGCTCTTGTGATGAGTAACCTATCCAAGTTGCTGTCAAAACCTCAAAACATGATTGATTATTATGCATCACTGTCAGCAGTCATTTCGAAAAATTTACATGATTTATTTTGGAGTGAATCATTGGGATTTTATGTGGATCGATCGAGCAAGTTTGGAATGGGTCATCACATTGGATACATTGGAATGCTTCCAATTTGTCTGAATTTGGAAAGAAATATGACTCGAGTAGAACAAACAATTGCTAAAATGGGAGACCCAAATTTATTATTTTCAGAAGGACATGGCTTGTTATCACTCAGTTTTAAGGATGAAAACTTTGAATGGTCTGGTCAGGTATGTTTTTACTTCTAATCAAATTTATTGAACTTGGTTTCAAAAATTGATGTGAAATTAAATGTGAAATACCACAGTATTGGAGAGGCGCTATTTGGGCTCCATTTACCTATCAATGTGCAAGAGGATTATACTATTATGAAAAGCAATATGGACTTTCATCGGCCGCTCTTCTTCGAAAGAAAATTCAAAATGCTTACATTAACAATGTGATGAAACATTATCATGTTGAAGACAATTCCATTGGAGCTGTCTACGAGACCTATCACCCCACGGATGGCAGAGGTTTCAACAATTATCCTTTCACTGGATGGAGTGCCTTAGTTGTACTTCTCATGTCAGAAGATTATCAATAGAGAGGATGGTCATCAACATGAATGTCCAAGGCACAAGGTAATCATCATCATGTTGATACATTGTTACATTATATTTTTGTTGAATTGTTTTGAACCTTACTAAACATTGTGTGGATTGTTGTTTCTGACATTACATTGGGTATCTTGTGAAAAGTCCAATAATTGGCCACAAGTCAACCACGATGCCACTCAATCTCGTCTCTCTGACTTTTCAACCACACATGCCGATTGGTTCTTTAATTCCACTCCTCTTCTCAATGACATAAATTTCCTGAGTGGAGAATTCGACTCATGGTGGAACAATTCTCGCACTCTTTGGAAGTTATTCAGAAAAATCTACGACACATTCAAAAACTAGTTTCTCACCACTCCAACCATTTCAATTGATTCAAATCTCACTCGAGAATGGACAAGTGTCGGAGTGTCTTGTTTCTCCACCCATTTCTCGAATGTTTGAAGAATTCACCAACACAAAATTATTGGGTACTCAAATTTTAGATCCAAAAGGAAATGTTTTTGTCATGAGAAAGAATGTATCAGCTCCGTATCCAGAATTGAGCGTCTCTTTATTGAAATTGAGTCCAACTTCTGAGATGGCCCCAAAATCTCCCTTCACTTTGCAACAATATTCGATGGGAAAAACTTTTTCAAGTTATGGAGGAATGGTCTACTCTCGGAATTACAATTATTTACTCTATCACACCGAAGATCGGTTAATTGCATTGGATGCTTCTTATTTATATAACAAATGGGCGATTGGTTTTTCAGGTTCGACTTTGGAACAGAAAATTTCAAACATCTCGAATATGAATTGGAAATTTTCACAGTGAATCAATTTGGATACAGTATTGAATCGATTTCTTATTTAGTAATTCCAAATTGGTTGGTGTCAGTGTTTCGTGAACGTTTGAATTCGATCACTCTCGCTCTCGTGAATATGCAAATGGGAGTTATGAGTCAAACTTCATTGGATGGATTGAATGGAGGCTCTTGTTCAGCCCCCATTGGAAAGATGGTAAAAATTTCAACCACCAAAGTTGCAGGCTATAATCTCACTCCAATGCTGGAAGTGTGCTATTTGTCTTTGAATCGAGTACTACTGTACCCTATGATTTGAAACTTCGAAAACGGTTAGAAACTCCAGCCAATATTCCCTACGACTATGTTGGAGCAATTTCCAAGACTCTTGATTTAATTGCCATCATGCAAGGTGGAAATTATTTAGTTTTGGATTGGATCAATGGAAAGGCTGTGAACAAAGTTCCAACTCGAATGTTGAATACCAACAGTGCATGCAATAGATTTCCATTTATTCGTGTTGTTTTAATGGACAGCCATGGAAATTGTCGTGTGAAGCCGTGCAAGTGATGGATGGGGCTGAAATGAAAAAACCAATGACAGATGAGAGTTTTTTAATGACTCTCAATGATGATGAAAATGAAGAAGATGAGTATTAAATAGTAGGCTATGTAATATTCATCCACCAAAACTTTAACATATTTGAATTCATTTTCAAACCTTACCTTAACAAAGAACTTTTCAAATTTTTATTCATAATCTACCTATATATTATTTCCTTCGTTATTGTTGAGCCATTATGAACATTTTGAAAGATAATGACAGATTGTACGTCATAATGAGTTATTTTATGAAATTAACTTGAAAAAAAAGTTTGGGTCATCACCCACATTACAAAATATTCTCGAAAAAAGTCGGAACGATTTTATGAGTGATTCAAGAGAAATAGCGTAGACTGCCGCTTTAACGGTTTAAATCATAATCGATTATCACGACCATCAGCAAGCAACAGAGCTGTTTTGTTCTTATGCATAAGAGAACCTTCTCCCAAACCAATCTCTTATTTAACGAAGGCGATTCTTCCCCATTCAATCATCATCACCTAAATAATAATAATACCATCAACAATAACAACAATACTACGAGTGATACTGGTATCAACAACTCTTCTACAACTAGTAATCAATATTCTTCCGCTTCTGGTATCAACGGACATATAAACCGACCTACTTCACCTCCGTTTTTTGTAGCATCATCGGATTCTAATCATCACCACACAATTATTCAACAATTTTCATCGGCTTCTTCTCTTTTCAATACTCCACTTTCTCCAAGTCCCTTCTTTCAACCCAAAAACATGTTAGATATTGAAAGTCAAGGAAACAATTCTCCCAATTCGTCGGCGAATAGTAGGGGAAACAATAGTCCATACATGACTCTGCTTCCACTTTTACAAACTCAACTGGTGAAAAACAAACGAATTTTGTATCCACTCTTCATTGGTATTGCATTAATTGCCATCGGGTTGAGTGTTTTTATGCTTGTGACCTCAGGGAAAAACTCATCGGAAGTTCTTCCAATACACATCAACACACATATGGATGCCTCCCTTCTTTTGAAAGGCAAGACCTTTTCGCAGCAAAGCTCTCGAACTGAATTCCCGATTCTTCTCGTGGCCGATCGAGACAAGGCAAGCAAAGTAAATGATGAGAAAAAGGGAACTTGGTGGAAGAGCGTTCTTGTGAAAGGACTTTTGAAGAGGAATGAGCAAACAGGAGAGTATTCTCTTTCAGTGAATGGCAAGCCAATGGAAATTGTTGGCCAGCTCGTGGAAGGCAGTAGAGGAATGGAATTGTCTGAATTGAAAATGTTTAATGGAAAATTATATTCAGCAGATGACCGTACCGGAATTGTTTATCAATTAATGATTACTAACAGTGGTAATAATGGTGATGTTCAAGTGAAGGCCATTCCTCGTCACATTCTTCCCGATGGAAATGGAGAAACCACAAGCAAGGGCTTCAAATGTGAATGGGCCACTGTGAAGGATTCCAAGTTATACATTGGAAGCATTGGAAAAGAGTGGACAACAGGAGATGGAGTCATTCTTAATCATGATCCAATGTATGTCAAAACTATTGACGCTAATGGAAAAGTGGAGCATGTGGATTGGATTAAAAATTATAAGGCTCTTCTCAAAGCTGTGGGAATTAAGGATAAAGGATACATGGTACATGAGGCTGCCGAATGGAGTGACTTCCATAAGAGATGGTTTTTCCTTCCTCGACGAGTATCTTTTGAAACTTATGACGAAAAGAAGGACGAGCAACGTGGCTCAAATTATGTCATTTCAGCCTCTGAAGATTTTTCACATATTGAGTTTGCTCGTATTGGTGAGATTATTTCTCCAGCTAGAGGTTTTTCCAGTGTCAAATTTGTTCCAGGAAGACCTACTGAAATTGTAGCTGTCAAATCGGAGGAAACTGACGAAGCCATCCGAAGTTACTTGATGGTATTTGACATTACGACAGGAAAAGTTTTGATGCCAGAAACTCTGATTATTGATGAAAAGATTGAAGGCATGGAGATTGCTTAAACATTTTGGAAATGTTGAACTGCATAGAGTTCAATCATTCGAACCTCACCTAGTCACTACTTATTTATTGTATATTTTTGGAATTATTCCTAGTAAGAACATTTCTATAATGTTCATATCCAATTTTGAAAAAAGTTCATCATGCATTCAACCTGTTAAATTGTGTATTGGGAACAATGCCGTGGTTGCAATCAAAAAAACCACACATTGTTCCATTGCAACCACGGCAATATATTAAAAAATGTCTACACCACAAGTCAGCAATTATTATTTGGGAGACGGAGGAGCCTTTCTGTATCCATTGGTTAGAGATGTAGGTAGGAATTGATTAGTTGAAAGATATTGACTCATGTACTGCCTGTCATGGTGTGAAACAAAACACCTGTTGTGATGATGATTCATTCCACAAAATCTTGATGAATATTTTTATTAATTGAACACACAGTATCTTGGATGGAGAAATTCCATGGTTGATACACTCCAACAATGTCTCAAAGAACAACCAGAAAATTTAATGGCTCTCATTATTGATTTAGGAAGTAGCTTGCATCGTACCGATTTGGCATTGAATCACGAAACCTATACCAAGAAAATGCAAAATATTATGACCATTTTCGAAAAGCAAACCACAGGACAAGACAACTCTCGAATGCTTCAATTACACATTCAAGCATTGCAAGCTTGGATGAACGGGCAATACAGATACGCGACTGAAATTTGGGAAGACTTGTTGAAAATGGACACGTTCGATGCCATTGCTTTAAAGTTTGCCTATGATGGTTACTTTTACTTGGGAGACAGTGAAAATATTTGCAAATCTGTTGAGAGACACGTTGAAAATTACAACGACGAACGATGTGTACCCATGGAAATTTATGGCTACATTTTGGGAATGTATGCATTTGGATTGGAAGAGACTTATCAATACAAAGAAGCAGAACAAGCTGCCATTAAGGCCATTGCCATTAATAAGGACGATGCTTGGGCCATGCACGCATGGGTCCACGTTCGAGAAATGGAAGGTGATGTTTCACATGGAATTGAGTTTATGAAAACTGAAGAAAGTGTTTGGTCGACCTGCGCAGCTTTGTCCTGTCACATGTATTGGCATTGGTGTTTGTTTTTATGGGATCAAGGAAAATTTGATGAAGTGTTAAAGATTTATGATGAAAAGATTTCTGTGCATATGGAATCGTTGGCTCCTCTCGATCTCGTTGATGCCAGTTCCTTATTGTATCGCTTGTATTTGGATGGAATTATAGACAAGAAGGATTCGAGATGGAAAAAAGTTCGTCAATGTTGGTCAACCATGCTTTGTAGTCATACCTTTGCATTCAATGATGCTCACATACTCATGGTTTATAATGATCGAAGTGATGAGAATGTGAGCAAGATGCTTGATGAACAATGGCAATCACTCGAAAATTATCTTCTCTCATCATCCAATCAGGTAGAAAATGGTTCTAATGAAACCAAGGTGATTGAAAATGATTCCAAAAAAGTCTATCAACAAGTTGGAATTGCGACTTGTAAAGCCATTGATCTCTATAATTATGATCATTTCACAGAATCAGCAAAATTGTTGCAATTACTTGTCCCAACAGGAAAATTGAAGATGATTGGAGGTAGTCATGCACAACGAGATGTCTTTGAATTAATTTTCATTCATGCTGTATTTGAATGTTGCAGTATGGTACCACCACAAGGCTCAGATCAGTGGGACGTTGTTAAAAAATTGTTAGAAATGAGAAAATCAAGAAAACCAAACAGTGGAAAGGTGAAACGCTTGTATGACAAATTCTATCAATTGTCAAACTTGAATTTTCACACCAATTCTTTGTAAAGTGGAGATTAATAGAATTTAAAGATTTATATTGTTGTGACAATTATTACGTAACAATTAAATTATTATTGCGTATTGGGGAAATACAAAAGCAAAAAAAATGCAAGACAATGATGAGAATAACACACATCACGAATCGACCACGACGGACGAAAATTCAAAATCGGAAATGAATGAGGATTCTAAAAATCAACAATCAAGTGCACTGGATGAATTATTTTCATCATCATCCGAAGATGAAGAGAGCAAGCCTACCACTCTTGAAAATTCTTTTGGATCTAAAGATCAAGAAGATGACTATATGAATGATAAATTTTTACAATTAACATCGGAACAAGATGATTCCTCTACAAGTAGTAGCAATCAAAAACAACACACTAAACTTTCGTTCTATAATGCTCCTCCAGATTTGTTGAAACAATACAATATTGCAAAAAAGGAAAAGCAACACAAAAAAGCTCATCATTTGAAAAAACAAATACGAGAATTTGGATTAAAAGAGAACATGTTGGAGAAGGCCAAAATATCTCTTTCTCAAAATTTAATTAAAAAGGAAGAAGAAAAGAGTGAATCTTCACAGTCGGTTGGATTAAAATTGTTGAAAAAGATGGGCTATGAAGCAGGACAAGGTCTTGGAAAGAATAATCAAGGCTTGATAAATCCGCTCTCAATTGATCGACAATTGGATGATTTAATTCAATCAAGTGCATTGGGAAAGTCAAAGATTTTACCAAAGATTGGCTCCAACTACGAAGAATTACAGAAAAAAGAACAAATTGAGCAATTCAAACAGGAAATGAAAGAAAAATCAGTAGCCCAGCAACATCAGTCATTAACACCTGAGGAGTTTCAAAGAAGAATGAAAGAAATTCATGATGAACAAAAGAAGAAGAGAAAGTTGAGAATGGCATTGCAACCAAGTAATGATGTAGAAGAGAATCCTTTAAAGAAACAGAAAGAAGAGGAAAATTGGGACGAGTTTGATGATTTTTAAAAGTCATCTTGTTTTTGACACAGAAGAACATACATTTGAAACGTTAGAGAAACCAAGTTGAGAATTTTAATTGGAACGATGGATGTTATCACAACAGTCCAACGATACAGATTTATTTACAAAGATGAACTCTGTGGATGGCTTATTTACAAGTTTCATCCACCTGTTTAGGTTGTTGTTGGGTTATGACCACTTTTTTAAGCTCTTTAATGGCATCATCTGTTCTCATAATGGCTGGATAAAACAAACTCAAAATTGCAACAGCAAATCCAAGGACTCCCAATGAATTCAACACGTGCCAAATCAATCCCAAAACTAAATTAACGGACGAGGTACTTCCTCCAGCACCTGCTGCCACTTCTAGAACGACACACATGATCAAGGAAAACAACAAGCCAACTGTCATTTTGATTGGATTTTGAACTCGTTTTTGAAACTTGGAATGGTTATTGGATTTGGTACCCTCTTTTTCAACTACTTGAACGTTGACCTGCTCTTTTTGGACAACTGGCTAGGCTGGGAGCGTAGTATTGTTGTTATTATTATTACTGCGCTCCACTTTCTTTGTCGTTCGCCGAATAGTTCTCATGACTAGAATTCCAGAAATGAGAGCCATGATTGAATCGAAAATGAGCATGGCTGTAATGCATACAAAGCATCCAATCAAGATTCCAGTCACAGCGATACCGGATAGATATCCAAATAAGAAGAGCATATGGGAAGCAACAATACCAAACACGAAGAACGTGGCAATGATGATGAATGCAACATTGACAATGTTCATCAGGATTTTGATGTATCCAAATGTCTTTGCAGAGATGGTTCTTGTTAAGTGAGCTGTTTTCCAACTGTCAGAAGTCAGTTGTCAAAGAAATACTTGGAACCAACAATAACAATTTAAACTTACAAAATCATTTGCACCACGTAAATAATGACAAAGAGTAACACCATATTGGTAAATCTAAACAAGTATTTAAAAGCCAAAGCCACATGCAGTCCAATAAAGAAGTTCCAAGTCACCCTTCCATTATTCTCGAGTTTGGTTCTTGCAGTCATCGAGAGCACGTGATATATAATACTGACGACCATACACATGAACTGAATTGAGACGATGATGGCCACTAATGTGAGCAATATCTTATGATTTCGTTTGAATTCTTTCCTATTTCTCATTTTCAACAAAAAGACAAAGAAGAAAACAAAAAACACCACGAAGCTCACAAGGAATAACGCAGAAAAACCGATGGAACTTGATGTTGCCCATAACGGTGGGAAGTATTGAACTGTAATGTCGAAGGTGTTACCATCGGATGACCAAGGACGTGACATTTTTTAGTGAACTTGCTGGAACGCTTGTTATCTCAAAGAAAGCTTTTATTGTTTAGGAGATATCACAATAGTCAAGCATCTCTAGGTCAGAATACTCTTGTTATATATTTCCTCCAACGATTTGACGTCTGACATTGTGTTGGAGATATTAAATTTATGTCATATCTTTCCTCCAATCATTGACGTCTGATAGAGCGAGTTTGGAGATATTGAATTCATGTCATATCTATCCAGTGACTGGAGGATGGATATGGTAGGAAACTCTCCAGCTAGTGAACTTGCTGTCTTAACATCGAAGATGATCTTGCAGTGTAGTTGTCTTGGCGGATAAATCATGTCATAAAATTATGGCTTAACAAAATACACGCATACATGTTATTAAGGGTTAAAAATATATTTCAAGTACTGGATCAGATTTTTCTGTTAAGGAATTCGATGAAACAGCATTCAACAAAGAATCACTTATTCTTACGTTGCCTGACAAGCCTTCATTGTTTTTGGGAGGTTGGCAAAGTTACTAATTACAATTTTTTGAATTTCCCAAGTTCAGCCAAAACATTAGGGTACGGCTGAGAATGAAAAATATAAACGTCGAAATCCTACACTCATGTGGAATGATCATTCACAATACATGCTTAACACACCCTCGTAATTCTATTCACAACTGTTCTTAATCGTTGACTTAAAACCAAACCCGCTGCATTGCTTGGCATGATGGTCAAAAACTTTTCAATGTCCTCCAATGCTTCAACAAATAATTGTGCCTTTTCAAAGAATAGGGATCGATTATAGAGTACCCATTCATCATTCGGGTTTTTAGAAAGTATTTTGGTCGCATAATAAATAGCCTCCTTGTACAATTTCTTTTGATACATGCACAATGAGAGATTGTATAAAATATTTCGTTCCTCACTTTTCAGTTCTAGCACTAATTTGAGATAATCTTTCGATGCTTCATCGTATTGATTTTTTCTCATGTAACAATATCCTCTGTTGGCAAGTGCTGTAATATTGTTGGGACCTAAGAAGAGAGCTTTGGAGAATAAATCAATGGCTTCGTCGTACTTGTTCATTTGCGAGTAGGTATATCCCAAGTTTGCAATTGGTAAATGATAAGTGGGTTTTAACCGTATGGCAAACTTGTAGTAGAGAATGGCATTCTCATGTTCACTGTCATTGTAATATAATGCTCGATTGTTGTAGGTTAAATGGTTCGAAGGATCAATACGCAGACTTTCTTCATACTCTTCAACTGCTTCTTTATGCAAGGACATTCTCTTCAAACAAATTCCATTGTTATTGTGTGACATGGAATATCCTCGGTAATTCTCAATAACTTTACGATAGAGTGCACTCGATTCTTCGTACTTTTCTAACTTGTCAACAATGTAGGCTTTGGTAAAGACGGCAGTTGTGTTGAAAATGGAATGATTTTGCATGAGACGTTGTTGAACGTTGAGCAAATCAAGGAAATTTCAGTATAGTAGAGAGCAGTGTCAAGTTTTTTAACCTCAGCCAACGCTTTGCCAAGGAAGGAATAAGCAACATGAGAATAATAGGGAAGTTGAAAGTGTGGTGAAGTGTTGTCTCGGGGGATGTGCATGTCCACAACATCTGACGGTACGAAAGCCAAGCGATCGCACAACAACTTTTCAATTTCTGTGACACGTTCTGTTACACGTTGAGAAATGTCCATAAATTTGTCAGTATGATTTTTCAATTGAAAGTCTTGCTCTTTCTGAGCATCTCTAATCGCTTGGAGAATGGTTAAAGCAGATTGATCTTCTTCGATTGGTGGATGCAACACGGAAGCAAGCAAATACTTGACACAATCATCAAGCTTTTTCACTCCATACAACGCAATTCCACTCAAAAAGGCACATAGCAAATCCTTTTCTGAATTCTCGTTAGTTTTGACGATATATTTGCTTCTTGCTCCTTGGTTAAATAGAGGTGCATACGATGGATTTTCAAACAATTTCAATAAATATTTGAGTGTGTAGTGCTCAAAGATTTTTCGATCCTCAGCAATACATGAGATAATATGAACTACTTCAATTCCGATTAGATTTTCTAAGGTAACCCTTGGAACCATGTACTTGTCCTGTTCAGAGTGTTCTTCGGATGGGTCATGTTGTGCTGGCTGCACTTCATCTCTGAATACAGTATTGATCCTCAACATGGACAGAAGAAATCTAATTAAATAAATGTTATGCCTATTGTGTTGAAGAATTAATTCACACACAACAGGTTCGTTGTATGGAGTCGAGATTACTCGATTCAAGAATAAGCCACCTCTTTTCATCAAAATGAGCTCCATGACAAATATTCCCATACAAAACAGAACGTCACTTTGACGCATGTGTAACTTGAGAATTGTTTCTTCAAAGGTATCCTTAATTTTCACATCAATGAATTGACTTAACCCAATATCGTCTCGTAAGAAATCAGCAGTTTCTGCATAGTTAGATCGATCAGGTTCCATAAATCTAGGAGAGATCATCAAGTTATTTAAAAAGAGTGTTTCAATGACGTTTCCATTCTCATTTCGTTGTCTATACAAATCAAAAAGATATTCATCTTGTTCGTTGTCTGGTATTTTTGGTAACTTTCCTTCTTGTTCAAGCACGAGTAGCTTTTCCGTAATAGCAAAAATAATTTGGAAAATCACAAATGATGGCAATTGGTGTTGATATTTGGTATTTTTGATCTTCTTCTTCTCACGGTTCATGCTCAAACCGTAATACTTGTCTAAAATTTCTTCGATATCTACAAAACTCGTGTGCCAGGACTGGTCTCACTGCTACTGCTGCTACTTGCTATGTTAGAGCTGACATTCGTGTGGTGCTCATTCATCCCTACAGAAAACCACGTCGACTTGGACAATCGGTGAAAGTACAAAATATTTTCAATTTCCAATCGATCAGGGTGTTCGAATGGTAAAAATTTTAAGCTTGAGAGAGTAATGATATTCAATTTTGAGCTATTTGGTACGGGTCGGTAATGGTACTCAATCTCCTCATTCAGAATATTATTATTCTCGTTTTCTTCTTGTTCGCTGACATTATCTGACCCATAGGAGGACTCTTCAGACTGCAAGAAAGAGTCATCACTCGATTGATCATCGTCATATTCGGATGATGATGCATTTTCTGATTCTACAAATGGAAACTCATATAATGTATTTTCAATGTCCTTAATAAATTCTTGTTGCCTTTGCATCTTTTCTACAAAAGTAGCGCCTTCGATATTGTTGTAAGAAAGTGCTGATGGAGCGTTGCATTATTCATACCGGCGCTATTTGAAGTGTTATTTACAGCCAAGTCGGAATCTACAAACAATTTACAAAATTCTTCTAGAGTTACTTGTTGCGCAACGTCATCCATTACACAATTTTTCCTCTTCTTGTTTTGATTAAACTCTCCATGATGATTGCAAAGTTGATGCATTTCGTTTCCTTCGTCACTCATTCGATCGTTAATGTCTTGTTCATCATCATAATCGTCACCATTGAACCGATCGTAATGATTACTTTTCAGCGGTGAAGATGATGAGCGATTTGATGAAGTAGAGTCGTAAATGTTGTTGCCGTTGCTGTAACATGACCGAGTACTAGTTTTTCCGCTTTTCTGTTGTAATGGATCATCATCATCCCGCAAATCCATACGATCATGATCGCCATCTTCTCCACCATGATTCATCCGAAAGCCGTTTACAACCTCCTCTCGGCTTGAAGAAGACACAACAACATGATCATCTTTAAAATAGTCAGCACTACTGCCTTTGTTATTATTGATGTTATCATTATTATTATTAGAAGAAGAAGAAGAAGGCGGAGCTTCAGAAGAGGACAAATTCAAGTCATCGGAAGACGATGCCACAGTTTGCCTAGCGATGATCATTTTTTTTTAAATTTAAATATGAACTATTATGTCCTTTTTAAGATTGAATCTATTCAGTCAAAGGGATTGTACAATATTAAGAGTTTTCCTCAGCAAATTGTCAAAGACCACCAACAAAAGGACCTACAGCTTTCATTGAGGAAAAAAACCTTCTTGTGAAATTCCAAGTGTCTTGTTTGAGATGTCAAATTTCATTCAAAAAAAATGTTAGGCAAATTAACCAAGAAACTCCAACCCGTCAAATTTGTCTTCAATTTTTCAGTTGACTACCTCTTTGTGGAGACAATGGGTAACAACACCACCTGCGTGGATGAGAATATGTATTCGGTATGTATTTGTGTATTGGTTGTTCGTTCCATTCTTTTCGAATCATCATCGGAACACATGTGTTGTGGTTGAAACCATCATCATCGATATCTTTCATCATCACTGACCATTTGTATCTCTCGTAAAATGTTGTCATCTCTATTATTTTCAATTTCATCAATGACTCTTTCTCATCATTGACAATCACTTTTTCATTATCCAATTTATTCTGAATGGTCGGTCAATTGTGTTTATATCTGATCCATTGGTCTCGAACTCGATTCTTATTACAACAAATGTTCAAACAACAATATCAGATTCAATGGAAACGAGGTAGAAAACGAAAAGGTGAAACCGAATTTCTTCATCCTCCTGTTGGATCTCGACAAACGACCAAAGTTAAAGTCATTTTCAATCGAGCATTCCGATTCGGAGGAACTCTCTATAAAAACGAAAAGAAGAATGAATGGCAAAAGAAGGAATTATTAATTACATTGGAAGAAGTGGCCTCCAAAGATGTTCCATTGGCAAAACAATGGAATCAATATTTACAACAAGAAAAACAAGAAAAAGGTGAGTAGATGTGAGATCATGATTTGATGATCATATATTAATAATTATGACTTTATCTATGGACTCACAAATCATCATGTGACAAATCATTTCTCACAACTATTACAATGGATTGACAATGTCACACATCAGCTTCGAAAAAAAAGGAAGAAAAGAAACCTAATTTCCAGACCACTACTTTGGCAAAACATGCTCTAGATTTAACAGAATTTGTGAATGAAACTCAAGAAACTACCACCACCAAGGAATTACTTCTGGCTCCTGAATCAAAAAAGAATTCAGGAGTGAAGATTCTTGTGAAACTTGTGATGAATTGTAAATGTTTGAAAGACATTTCACCGAGGTGAGTTTTTTGTGTCATTTGTGACATTTTTGAATCCAATGTAATATTTCATGTTGATTCTCAATGATTTGCTATTTTGAAATTACTTCTCACTGCATTCGTTTTTAAAACTACTCTTCTCAATGTGTACACATCTCACTACATTCGAACAACAGTGATGAGGACTTTGAAAATGTCAGTACTTATTCAGGAACCTACAAGGAAGGACACCAAGAGGATGACGATGAAAAATCCGAAGATGAGGATGACATTGTAGAAGCTGAGCGTGACTTTGAAAGCACCTTAATCAAGAATAGTAGTTTGTATTCTTCCGTATCAACAGCACAAACTCTAAAATCCAATGTTTCAAGTGAGAATCATGAAGAACCATTGTCACAACATGAAAAAACCAATGCCCCACTTGCATTGTCATCAACCAGTCCTAGGGATGTACCTCCCGTTGTTGCAAGCGGAGCAGCTTCCTCATTCGATGCTCTTCGATTGAGAGAAATTGAAGAAAAATTTCATTATGTGCGGATGGAGAATGAACAGTTAAAGATTAATTTAGAAACAGCTCAGGAAGCTGCTCAACAAGCCGAATCTAAACTCTTTGAAATTCAGTTAAAGATGCAAATGGTTCAATCTAAAGCAGATAAAGAAATCAAACAAGTGGAGGAAAAAATCAAAGAGACAGAGAAACAATACAACAACAAGGAACAAGAAATGTTACATCAACATGAAACAGAAACAGAGCGGTTAAAGTCTGAACTGGAAAAAGTCAAAAATGAAATGACTAAGAAGAATAATGATTTGCAAAACGAGAAGGATAAATCAGAGAAGAATCTCAAAGCAGAGATTGATCGATTGACTCTTGAATTGAAGCAAACGAATGAAAGATTCAGTTCGAACATGTCATCTTCTCAGACATCGTTCCAACAAGAAATTCAACAACTCAAGAATGAGATTTCTGAACTCAACAAAAAGAAGGAGGCACAGCAAATTGAGTTGCAAAAACAAATCAGTGAAATTAGCTCTCAAAAGAGTGTGATTGAAGCTAAAAGGTTAGAATTGGAAAAGAATTTGAGTGAGGTGACAAAGAAATTCCTTCAACTCGAAAATGACTACAAGGAACGACAACAAGAAATTCATAACTTGTCTCAGAAGCTGGATAAGGAAATTAAAGAGAAGGAAAATATCACAAGTACCCTCAACAACGAGAAGAAGTTATTGAACATTGAAATTGAAGAATTGAGAGTCAAATTTTCAGAGACTGAAAAGAAGGGCTCTCTTCAAAGCAATGAAAATTCCAAATTACTTGAAACTCTTAAAAACGAAAGAGAATCTCTTAATACCAAACTTACCACTCTTCAACAAGATTTACAGAAAACCGAGCTTGCCAAGTCGGATCTCACTTTTCAACTCAAAAAAGCATCTGAAACCCTTCAAGATAAAGAAGATGAAATTAAGAAACTCAAATCAGAGCTTGAAAAGACAAAGAATGAAGGATCAGAAGCCTTGAATCTTCCAAAACCAAAATTAATCATCTCACAATTGATGTGGAAAATTTAAAGAAGCAAGAGGAACAACTTTCTCTTACCATTTCTCAACAAAATTCACAACTTGTTCAACTCAAGAATGACGTCTCAGAAAAGGATCGTTTGATTCAAGAAATTAATCAGCGCTTACAAAATCAGGAGCATCAAATTTCACAACTCAACCAAGAAATTAGTGAATTGAATCAAACCATTCGAAATCTCGAAAATTCTGTTGCTGAAAAGGAGAATGCGTTGAGTCAAGAAATGGAAAAATCGAAAGAAACAAATTCCAAATTGACTTCTGCATTGATTTCTATCAAAAACTTGGAAAATGAAATTGAAGAAAAATGTGAACGCATTGAAGAATTAGAAAAGGAAATTAGTCAACTCAAAGAATCTTCAACAAGCACTGGCAAAGAGCTTCAAGGTCAACTCAGCGAAAAGGATGAAAAAATCCTCGAATTACAAAATGAAATTTCCAAATTCAAATCTCTCAAAAAGAAATCTGAAGAAAAGTTGAAGACTTTGGAACAAGAAAATCAAACGTTACAAGATGAGAATAATGAGCTCAATAATCTCATTGAACAATGTTCCAAACGTATCGAAGACAAAGACAAGCAAATGAAAAAACTTGAAGAATCACACAAGAAAGCTCTCGAACATGCAGAAAGCAAAGTTTCACAAGAAAGAGTTACTGTTGAGAGAGAATTAGAAAAAACAAAAATCGAATTAATTGCCAATCAATACTCACAGTTAGAACATTTCATTCTTGATCGAACGGTACTCAATAGCCAGACCAACGACTTTTTAGTTCTCGACAATTTATCCAAGATTTATTTCAAGAACATTGTCGTGAAGGAATTTTTGAGTGAGATTTATCCAACGCCTGCTAAAATTCTTCTCAAATGTATTCTTCAATGGAATCCAGAAGAAGTTAAAACTGCCACTCTCGATTCCAAAATTATTCTCGGAAAGACATTTGGAATTAATTTATTGATTTCTTTGAATTACTTGTTGGAACGTTTCAAAACCACACGAAACAAACCCAATAACTTTTCAGCAGGAGCCAATGAAAGTGGAGAGTTGGAAAATTCGACATGTTTAATCTTGTTCTGGATTCATACACTCTACCGATTGATTCATGATTTGGAATTGAAGAGAAAATCTAACTTGTCACCAATTTTCGAGCAGGTGACACAAAAACTCATCAAAATAGAACCAGCATTGTTATTGGGAGATGATGTTCCTACTTGTAAATTCGTTGCCATGCCCTATTTAGTCAATTATAACGATTGTGAGAAAGTGACGAATGAATCACTTTTAGTGACAAGTATTGACTCATTAGTAGTGAAACTTTCAGAAATTTTGGTACAAATGTATGCCGAATTCTTTAGACATGTCATTATTCGATTGAGACCGTATCTCATTAAGGCAATTTTCAACAGCAAGTTGACAACATCCAAATCTACCGATGGTGGACTCGACACTCGATTGTTGCAACAATTTTTGAACCGAATTTTCGATACGTTCAAACAACTTCGAATGGAGCCACGAGTGACTCATCACTTTTTCTCCAATCTTGCAAAATTAAGCGATGCCGTAATTTTCAATCATTTTCTATTGAAAGAAACCATTGGAGCAAATATTGCCTTGACTGTGAAAATGGGACTCGTCTTTCTCGAAAATTGGTTCCAAGCCAAAAACTTTGCAGATATTGAACTCATTGAAGGAGGCACTCAACAACAATTAATCTCGTTCCATTATTCACGAGAATTGAGTGATGTTTGTATTCTAGGTCAGAAACAAGTATTGAGCGATGAGTCGTTACGAAGTGCAGTGTGTCCACACATTACCAAACCTCAATTGGTTTATATTTTCAATCACTTGTCATTGGATTCTGAATTCAAATCCACAACCGCCGCAAATGATACTTCCGTTCCAGAACGAAGTTTATCTCCAACCAGTAGTGGAAATAGTAATAACTCCAGCAGTCGGAGTCCAACTCCTAACAGCAGTAACAGCGGCAATTTAGGTCTTCAACACTCATCCAGTGCTGATAATTTGGAAAATTCCACTCAACCTCAAACACCCAAGAGAAATCCATTACAAATTTCACTTTCTTCTTCACAAGTTTTGACAAGTGGCAGTTCACCTCGAAGAACCTCTTTTAAAGGTTCGCTCGGTGGTGGTGTTCTTGCATCTTTGGATTTAGAAAAACGTTTTGAGGGAATTATTTTCGTTCCAGAAATTGAACTTTTCAAATATGCTGAACGAGAAAGTTACGGAGTCGATCCTTCTTCATTTTATGGAGTTTTGGGTCCACTTGCCAACATGATGCTTCGTTCTTCATCTTCTAAAAGCAATCTCATCGATAAGGATTCTCCTCGTTACAAACTCAACAAGGAATTGGAAAATGTTCAACAACAAAAGGAACACAATTTCACACTCGTTGAAAACAAATTTTTATTTTACTTTAGTGGAGTTGCAGAGACACAGGCATCGACCAATTTCATTCTCGAAGAATGGCTATTTTCAGTCATTTCAAATTATGGAGGAAAACGAGAAGCTGGTGTTGAGGGAATTGTGAAAATTCCACGAGAACGAATTTTCAGTCAGTGTGTCCATGTTTTTAATCCACCGACATTGGTTGTGGAACAAGGAACTCCAACCAGTGCTCGAACAAAGGGAAATTCTTCATCGACACAAAAGAAGAAGACATTTAATTTTGAAGATGAATTGGCTTTTTTATTTGATTAAGGTAGAGGAGAGAACACAAAAACAGGAGTGGCATTTAAATATTTATAAATGATTGAGGTAATGAGCTTAATAAAGTTACTGTATGGTTGTTGCTTGCTTAAACAATGATTTTACAATTAAATTTCACAATGGTTTCAACAATATACATTCTAAAAACCAATTTACGTTTTAGATTTGTTTGAATAACAATGAAACCTACCTCTTTGTCAATACGTAGCCTTGGAGTAGACTGTGTTCGTTTCGAGAATTCCGAAAAGAAGTAGTTGGAACAAGGAACTTGCATGACTTGCCATCACAACTTCGATGAACCTGTCAAGAGACATGTTGAACTAACAACAACAAACAAAATGAAACCAAATCAAAGCTCTCTCCTTCCACACGCACAACAATTTTGCGAGTGGTTCTCTCAGCAACGACTCTCCCTCTCTAAATACATGTCCTCGAAAGAAGAACAACTGATGCATGCTCCTCAGTTTTGTATCGTTCATGTACCCATGACGTTTATTGAAGAATTTATTCAACAATTTCTACTTCCTCTCTTTAATAACCAATATCAATATGAAACCTTAAAAACTCAATTTTGTAAAACTCTTCATGATGAATTGAAAATCAATATTGTTGAATCATCATCGGACTCTCAAAAGCCATTACAATTTAAACGTTTTGTCGTATTGAGTGATAGTCATTGTCAAGAACAAGCCCTCTATCCGAAAATTCCCAACGGAGATATCGTGCTGCATTGTGGAGACTTTACCGATCGCGGCTCATTCGAAGAAATTCAACAATTTAATTCCTTATTGGGAACCTTAAAGAAAAATGGAAAATGTAAATTAACGATTTGCATTTCGGGAAATCATGACTTGATGATGGATCCAAAATTGAATACACAATTGAATGCGGAGCAAATTTTCAACAAGAAGGAACATCCTCTATTGCCCGACTGTGATTATTATTTGTGTAATAATTCACTCATATTGGACGGAGCCATCAAAATATATGGTTCTCCCATCACTCCATTCCAGGGATTCCATGCAGAAACGAAGGAAGCTTTTCAAATGTGGCAACGAATGGATTCCGATGCAGATATCGTCATGACTCATAATCCGCCCTATAATATTCTTGATTTGGCTTGGGTTTCACAAGGAACTAAGGGACGTTGTTCCACTTGTAATCGAGAACATCCAAAGGGATCTCATTGGGGTGATTTCTGGCTCAAGCACGCATTGATACATCGAGTGAAGCCAACTGTTGCATGTTTCGGGCATGTACATGATGAGCCTGGTTATGTGAGACATTCCATTGAGGAGTTAGTCCAACAAGAGGATCATCAAAAGCAGTTGTTTAACATTCCATCCACGAATCACTATGGCAATGGCGTCAGTTCGAAAACTACAAGTCACAACAATATTACATTTTTGAATGCTGCTTTGGATTTGACACACCGAGTGTACTTTTTTGATTATTTCTATGAACCTAATTCCAAAGTAGAATTTTTCTGAGTGATCAAAAAAGGTTAGACATGCTGATCTATTATTAAGGAAATCATCTTGTCAATGAGAAAGCTACTTGTTCATAATAAATCACTACTTCGTGCAATCAGAATCTTGTCATTATTTTTCATTGAGGGAACTGGTTGCTTGTATGATCACCTCCCTCAATACTGAATCAGTATGATCCTGCAACAGTGCGTCGATATTTGCTAACTTTTTCAACTGTGGGAGTACAAAATGCTGTATCACTTCGTCATTTGTTTTGTGTACTCCAAATTCTTGAGCCGCAAATTCGTAAACAATCATTTCCGAGTCATATCCTAGCTCTTCAATACTGGATCCAAATATTTTCTTTAAATGAAAGTGTTGTTTTCGTTGTTGTGAGTATAAGAAGATTAATTGCAACCGTTTTTCCGTAATTTCTGTGACTATTTTGCGACCGTCAAACTTGACACAAAGGTTCTTCTTCTTTTGTATTAATTGCTCAAGAGATTCGCGTGTAATGTCAATAAAATCTGTCTGTCTATTAGCATATCGCAGAAAGTTATAGAATGTCTGAATCGAGGCCACAACTATCTCTGGGTGAGCACGTTGAATGGATTTAGAGACATCACGCAACACGGGGCCATATTTCACTAATTCCAACAGGGCATTCTTGTCTTCTAATAACTGTGTACATGCATGGATAGATAAAAACGCATCACGTTTCAACATGGCACATACAACATCCAAATCATTTCGCCATGGATAAGACAAGATATCACATGTTAAGGTGTCCCAGTGTGTCTGGTTAACAAAATCATATTGCTGGATGACAGAAATTGCCATTTCCTTGTCGAACGAAATGAGTGAAGGAATATTGCTCAGCCGTGCACGACACAAAACACAACTAAATCCTTATCAATAGTAATAATATTTTCATACTCTGTGGATGATAAATATTTCAAAATGTTTCCATTTTGTTTTAACATCGTAAGTAATTTGTCCTTATCATGTCTCAGTGATTCATGTAGATATTTGAAGGCAGAATTGGAATATTTCAAGAATGGAATTAATGCCTCATTATTTGTGAAATGGGAAGGGGCAACTTTTAGCAAATACTTCATAGCATCATTGTGAGCTCTCAGCGTGGCTACAAAAAAGGAAAAATCTTCAAAACATCGATCGTCCATAATTGTGGGAATGTCACAATATTCGTCACCACTGTATAAACTAGAGGTTCCAGTTGTTATTCCGTAATTAACTTCCCATGGAAGCTGCTTAATTTCTCCTGAATTCCAGTTGTAGTCGATATAATTACGTCTAGTCAATTTTGTACCTTCTATTTCAAGGATTTCCATTAAATTCATGGCATTGCAATAACTGTCAAATATATTCCACAAACTCAAGATGTGGCTCAATTGGCGTCCAAAAATTCCTTTGTCATAATTGTTAAAACTCATCCAATAATCGGTCCTTCTATAAACACACTTCTCAAGATCAGGATAATAAAAACCTCCAAAAAAATTAGCCTCAACATCCCTCTTACCACTTTTCCTGATATTGACAATATTACCTCCGTCATTGTCAAAAATTGTAAAGAATCCATCTTTCCATTTCAATTTGTACAGAATGGAATAGTTTGTAAAAATTATTTCCAAGTTACATCCACGAGAATTTGATGGTCCCTGTTTCGAAATCCACTCCTCTTCCTCTTCGTCATCCTCTTCGTCATATTCGTCATCTTCGTCATCTTCATCTTCTATTTCGTACTGATCTTCATTTTCCGATTTGTGATCTTTATACTCTTCACCAAACGCTTCATTAACGTACACAAACTCTCCTTTCCTTCCAAATGGATGCGCACCGAAAAACAATTTCAACCATCTCAATGCATATTTCAGTAATGAAATTTCACAACATGTTTCATCCTTCAACTTGGTTAAAAATACTGGCACTAATTCATTCGCAGTATCATCGGCCTGGTGTGATGGACTCAAATCCCGAATCAAATGGTTCCATCTTTCCAAAAGCCATTCTTTCAAAAATCCTTGAAAATGCTTCTTTTGAAAATACCATTCATTCCATTCCGAACAAACCATCATTAAAGAGTTGGTCATATCTACGGGATGACAATATGAAAATATTTTCTGTAATACAAAGGGATCATAATCTCTCAATTTTGCAAAGGCTGTCGAATGTTTTTTGTCCTTCTTGAATGGAGGTTCTATCGGATTGCTTGTAGGGATATCCAGAGAACTTTCTTCCTTCATGTAACATTGGAGGATTGAAGGCTGATCGGACGAGAGGGTTCTTTTCATTTTTTGTAAACGTTCATCAAGCTTGACACTTGAACCTTGTTCCAAGTTCTTTCCACAATAAAAAACAGAGAGTTCATTGTCGCAGTAAAACAACAAAAAAATGTTTCAATCATTGAAATGGCAATCCACAACATATCAACCTCTTCTCTCTCAACAAGTGTTAGAGATGCCCATTGCTGATGGCTTTTCAGAATCGGACACTCTTTCAAATATTTCCATATCGGAACACTTGGAAAAGAATACCTCAAGAATTAATAATCAACAACAGACGAGCTCGTCTTCTTCGGATGATCATTGTCCTATTCAAGTAGAACATGTAACGGAATTGGAACTTCCTAAAAAACCAGTTCTGTTACTTCACAACGTTTTGTTGAAAGATGAATGTAAATTAATGATTGAATTGAGCGAGAAAATGGGTTATGAAGATGCTGATTCCTATTGTTTCGCCTACAATGATCGTTACAATGACAGATTAATGGTCGATGATCAAAAACTGACCGATTTGATTTGGAATCGAGTGAAAGATCACTTACCACAAACCATTGATGGAATGTCATTGAAGGGATTAAATTCTAGATGGAGATTGTGTAAATATAAGGCAGGACACTATTTTGGAGTGCACACCGATGGCACCTATATGGACCGTAAAACGAATAGTGTCAGTCGTTTGACATTTATGATTTATTTGAACTCGCAGCTTGAAGGAGCATACACTGGAGGTGCCACTATTTTCTATGATCGAAAGAGAGATGAAAAAGCACGAATTGTACAACCTTCTGGAACTACTATTGTATTTTTACAGGAAGATATGGACATGCTGCATTGTGGACAAAAGGTTAGCAGTGGTGTAAAATATATTTTGAGAACGGACGTCATGTACAGCAAGGTTAAGGCACAAAACTAGAAATCAGGTCATCACAGACAACACTTTCTCATTTATGAAATTGTTGTGGATCCACATGTTTTCTAATGATATTTATTGTAATTATTTCACATTTCTATAAATGAAAAATTGCCAGATTAGAGTTAATTTTTTGGTTGGAAAATCACCATTGACTTGCACCCTCTTTCAGGCCCATGTTGTAAACACATCGAGAATAAAATAATTGAACATCGTGATTCATTGAACTCAACCAAAATGAACAACCTCAGTTATCAAAGTACTTTTGCCACAGAACAACCCTTCTCCACAAAGATCAATCAAGATCTACAAAACCAGCAGCAACCAAATCTACAATCATTCAATGCAAAACAAGACGAATTAGAAGAATCTGATTTTAGCAACCTGATCGAAGACGACAATGTCGGTGCTGGTGGATTAACCCAAACTTCGGGTACCAATCCTTTCATAAAACGTGACGTGATTACATCCGACGTTCAAAATCCCAATGTTGTGTTCCCAACATCCTCGGGCCCCTCTTCATTAAGTAGTAGCGTGAATCCAACAACTGTTTTCCCAACCTCAAAAACACAATCCATAACATCTGGTGGGAATGTTTCATCCGACTTGGGCTCCATTCATAAAGCCTTCTCCAATGAAGGTGACTCAAGTAAGGAACAGGCAAAGAATTTGGTTCTCTCTGAAAGTGCAGCCAATGCAACCACAGTCAGTGGCAGCGGTGGTCCCTCCTCTTTGGCCACTTCTGCAGAAACTGTATTCCCAACCAGCAGCACTACAAGTTCTGCCACTGGAATTCCAAGTAAAACTATTTCTACTGAACCTGCATTGGGAAGTGCAACGAGTGCTACTGGGAATATTAACACTGCTCTCGAGTCTGCAACCAAGGAATTGAAAAGGACTGGACAAGTGATTCAACAACAGGCACAATCGGTCTATGATCGTGTTAGAAATAGTGATGTGTTTAGATGGTCCAATCTTGGTGTCTTGGTAATCAATGTGGTTCTTATTGTGTTGATTGCAGTGTTGTTCTATTATGGAATTTATTAAGCGTTTTTGTACTGTGTAAATATATTGTAGCAAATATTGCATTCCTTGTTGTTGAATATTAAGAATTTTAAAACATGATAAATGTACATACAGTTAGAATATTAAAACATGATAACTGTACATACAGTTGTTACAATAACATGTGTATTTATGGAATGTTCATTATTCAATACCATGTACACACAAAAAAACATCATCTCTTTAGGTTCTCCTTGTTGAAAATTATTTGAAAATTTGCACACGATGATTGTGATAATCGACAACAACTATTTTGCCGTCACTGGTTAAGCCAACACCATTGGGTCCATCAAAAAGACCATCCTCACTGCCATAAGATCCAAATTGTTTAACCAAGATTCCCTCTCTAATATTCCAAATAGAAATACGATTGTTGTTATAGTCACAAATGGCAGCATAGTTAAGACCAATATTTCTCTTGAAGCAGCAAATTCCAGTTGGGTCACCGTCAGAATTTTGAGTTTCACTTTTCTTGACTGAAAATTTGCGAACAAACACACCATCTGTCGTAAAAACTTGTACACGTGAATTGTACCGATCTGTAATCACCAAATTGCCATCAATATCAATATCAACACTGTTTGGTCCGTAGAAATAGCCTCCCTCCATCTCTGGATTAGTTCCATTGGTACCAAATGATTTGATAAAGGACCCATACTTGTCAAAAATCTGAATACGATGGTTGTGATGGTCACAAACAAAAATTTTACCAGGCACGTGCTGATCTTTTGGCTCCGAGACTATAATGCCTGTTGGATACGAAAACATGCCATAATCTGTGCCTTTGGATCCGAATTTTCCAACTTCCATTCCTGATCGATCAAATGCATAGACACAATGGTCGTCACTTGTAACAAGAATGGTTCCTTCCTTAGAATCAAACGTGACTCCATAAGGTTTTGGCACAGAGAATTTTCTCAAGAATTTTCCGTCCTTTGAGAAAATTTGTACACGATTATTTTCATTGTCACAAACGATAATGTTATCGTTTGGATCAACAACCAGATCTGTTGGGCTTGAAAATTGGCCATCTTCAGAACCTTTGCCTCCAAATTTGCAAACAAACTTTCCTTCAATTTTACACTTCTCGATAGCAACTGGGGTATTCGGACTCTGAACCAATGAAGAGCTACTTCCCGTGGTAGGAGTAGAAGACGCCGAGGAAGGCAAAGAAGTGGACGAAGATACATGATTGCTACTAATGTTGGGAGTAGAGGCATTGCTTGAAACCTTTGGCCCAATTACTCCGAATTTGGTGTTCAGTATTTCGCTAACTTCTTTCATGGACTCAAATGAAACTCCAACGTTCAACGTATCAGAGAGATAGCTTCTATCAATTTTTCTTAGATTTTCCTGAAATTGTTGAATCACAACTTGTATCAATAAACTCTTTCGTGTCTTGGATTGAATGAATTCAGAAATTTCCATCTTGCTCAGATTTTCTAAAAAGCCATCCGTTAAAAATTTGATTTGAGATAATTGTTGCATTCCACTGGTCAGTATCTTTTCAGATATTTCTTCCTCACAACACACTCTCCACTTCTCTAGTACTTCTTTCCTCTTTTGTTCAATAATTTTTTCAAGTTTATCAAAATTATCATTAATTTCTTTCACGCCTTCTTCATGAGTTTGAGCCATTAAATTTTTATCTCGAGCCAATTTTTCCATCTTTTCTGAAATATTTTGTTGCATTTGCACAATTTGATCTTTTAGTCCTTGTTTTTCTTTTTCAAATACTTCCTCTACCAAGTCATAGTCGTGACCTTTGTGTCTCGAAATGGCGCATAAGGCACAAACCAATTCATCACCACACGTGTGACACCATGTATTGAGGCGTTGATCTTTGTGGACCTCGCAAAAATCATTAATGGTAGGGACGTGTTGTTGGTGCGAAGAGTTGGCAGATTTAGGATGTGCATCTGAGGGTGTAGAATTTGCCGAAGGAGTGTGTGATGAAGACGAGCTAGAAAGTGAAGCAGATAATGTGGAAGTTATTGAGACAATTGAAGAAATTGCTGATCCGATAGAATTTGCCAATAGAGAGGTCTGAGAAGTTGCCGATGAGGACGAAGAAGTGGACACCTTTGCTGGTGTAAAAACAAAACTATTTCTCTTGGATTGAGGGGATCCTGGAGTGGCATGGACTGTATGTTGTGTTGGAGAAGAATCTTTTCTGACCTGTGTTTGTATTTGTATTGGTTTTGGAGATGTGGAGAGAGTTGATTGTTGTTGCTCCATTTGTGCCATAGCATTACCAATCATGACAGGAGAGGCCATACTGGTTCCTGGTGGAGTCATGGTGCTGCCACTGCTGTTGTTTGCTGTTGATTTCACCAAATTGATCGGTGTTAAATCCAAAATTCCATTCTCTTGATTCTTGAATGTATGTATGGGCTTGTTGTTGCTTGGACTTCCCACTCCTGTTTGATGACTGACATCTTGGTTCATATCCAAAGAGTTCCTTGGTGGTACAGTTACTCCTACTGGAGATGATGTTGTTACTTTTGGAGTGCCCGTAGTTGTAGCAGCTCCATGATGAAGCACAGGTGGTGTTGTTGTCGTGGAAATTCGAGAAGGTGTTGATGGTGTTGAGCTCGCATTGTTATTGTTGCTCATTGAATGGTTGTTGTTTTCAACTGCTACTCTCTTCCTACCTTCATCAAGATATTCCTCACTTTCATCCACTTGTTGTACATTATCAATGACCACTTCTTCAAGAGGTGAATTTGGTTCCATCATGTTTTGTGTTGATCCGTGATGATGAGTCGTCGATGATGATGATGATGCTTGTTTAAAATCATCTTCTTCCTCAAAAGCAAATTGTCGTTGTTCAAATTCTTCCTCTATTAATCGTTCCTGTCCCACTATTTCTGATGAAGAATGGGATGGTAAGTGTTGTTGGAAATCATCGGCTGGATCGGACATGAAAAAATTAAATTTTCAAATGATGATGAGAGCTATGCCAATCTAAATAATTATTTACAGCAGTGAATATGTTGTGGTTGATGATGGGAGGTTGTTTTTTCACCCTTGATCAAGTCGCGTGTTGTTGATGATCTTGTATGATGCTCTATTGAAATTCAATGAGAGTCTCTCAATAATGGTGGGAAAAAGAACAATGGAGATGATTTTTTTAAATTTTCCAAATTCGAATTATTCAAAGGGCATTCTTGGAATCAAAGTTTAATGAAATCATAGAAATGTATTAGCCTTTGGCCACTTGTGGGTCCATCATCATGATGGTTGCACGTCCATCACCAAGAAAGTTGAGTATTGATCTAGATCCGGAAAGACATCTTTCAAAAAAATTATCACAACTATCTTCACACAAGAACCATCGCATCAAATGAGTCACAACCGCAAGCCAGTAACCGCATCTCTCATTCTCTCATTCTCATTGTTCCTCTTGTCGTTGATGTTCATTAACTTATTCTCATCACACGCCTCTTGTCAATCCATTAATGCATTCTCATCTTCAGAGAAGACAAGTATTGTGAATGCTCATAATACCGCTCGTTTCGATTCGACCTTGTCTCCTCCAGCAGCAAATATGCAAAGCATGGTGTGGGATGATGCCTTAGCAACCACAGCAGCAAATTATGTCAATCAATGTGTGTTTGCTCACAACGCAAATAGAGGTTCCAATGTGGGTGAAAATATTTACATGGGTTATTCACAAACGATAGGAACAGCTGCTGTGAATAGTTGGGCATCTGAGAAACAATATTATAATTATTATTCAGGATGTCAAAATGTAAGGAATTTGTGTTGTCATTTCAATCTAACCCATTGCGAAAATAATCTCACACGAACGCACTTCTCATCACCCTTACCAAATTTACCATTTGTACACACTCATACACCCAATGAAGGGACAAGTCTGTGGTCACTACACACAAATTATTTGGGCTTCCTCAGTAAAAGTAGGATGTGCTCGCAAAACTTGCTCCACAATTACTGGTTATCCAAATTTCAATGGAGCTACCATTGTTGTTTGTAATTATTCACCTGCTGGCAATTACAATGGTCAAAAGCCATATGTGGCTGGAACTGCAGCTCCAAGTACCAATAAGCCAAATAATGGCACCAATACCAAAACTAATGAGGCGGTGACAAGTGTGGTTGGACATTATCAGTATGTCGTGATGTTGTTGAGTGCCATGTTCGTTCTCATCGTGACAGGCTGTACATCTTCTTGGTATTAAAAAAGAACAATTCTCAAGGAAGTCGTAGTAATTGTGTCCGATTGAAAATTCAATATTGATTTCCACAACATAATCCCTCAATATGGAAGGACTATAATTTCTCGATTGAAAGCTTGATGTTGTAGTCTGTAGTTGTCGGTACCCTCATGAATAGTCGTATTCATCGAATGGTTCTCGCACATCATCCGATGGGCTTTCAAATTGCAAATTTCGAATCAATCGATAACTAATGGGAACATTTTCAATTTTGTGTTGACGTTGTACAATGAGCTTGTCTATATTGTTCAGCATGGTCATTGAAAAAAATTAGAGATCATTACCACCTTAATAATGGTAAAAAAACTTACGTAAAAAAGTCTCTGGATGAAACATCGCTTTCGTGTCATCCTTGATTTTCTCAATTTCAAAAAATAATTGTGACATGGAATCCATCACCTTGACAGAACCAAATGACACTTGATCATTCACACCTCCCCAATTATAAATTAATGGTGTGTACAGAGTATTTTCATCGACCTTAAAATTCAACAAATCTACTCTATTTTCAAAAAAGACATCCGAGCGCAACCGTACCACAATATCATAATAATCTCGATTCAATTGCAACTTTTCCTTCATTATATCATTATGTTTTTTCATGTCCTCAAATGAATCTCGAATGAGTGAGATGGAATAAACCCAATTAGTGCACTTCTCTATCGTAAATAAATGGGTGCACTCTCTTCCTGTGAATGGAAAATGTGAATACACTTTTTTAGCTTTTTCTTTTAGTTGATCAACATTGGCTTTTTCCACTCTTTCCACACGACATTCTTCAACATGCTCGAAATAGCATCATAACTCAATTTCTCACTCTCCTCACGATACACCATTGAAATAAACAAATCAGGCCAATCATTCAATCCAAAAAATTCATTTTGTAAAAAGTAGAACACTTGGCCAAAGGTTCGGATCGAGCCAGTCAATAAGATGGCAATTTTGTTGGTTCTTGTATTTTTGTATTTGAATTTTGCATGTCAGAAATGCTCTTATCATAATTATTATGTTGTATTCGTGTTGTTCGGGAATGGCCGTATTTTCGTTTGTTCTCAGAAGGAATGAAGGTCGAAATTGTATGATTTTTGTTGTTGTTGTTTCGAGTGGATTTGACTCTGGAATTGCACTCTTTGGCTCTGAATTTGAAAAAAGATGACGCATCCTGAGAGATTGGCTTGTTTCTAAGTGGAATGAATAGGAGAGTGGAGAGCACCAGGAAGAAAATCAAAAGAAGGGCCACATTGCGGAAGGAGAGTTTGAACATTTTTTTCAAAACAGGAAGTATTGACATTTGGCATTGACCTTGCATTATCATCGCAGACCGTTTTATATTTCAAATGACATGACTTGGTTTATTCTTGTGAAACCACCTATTCATAAATTGAGGAAAATATGAAAAACAATGAGTGTCACATCCAATTTGAAAAAGAACGAAGGTTTTTTTCTCAAATTGAAGGTTTCTCTTCCATGGCACGTATTTAAGGAGCAAGGGGCGAAAAGTGAAATCAAAAACAAGAGAAAAAAAATCCATCAAACAAAAAACCTTCATCATCATGTCCTATTACTTGAAAGAGCTAGGAGAAGATGATGATGAATATTCATATTCTTCAGAAGAATATGGAGAAGAAGATGAATACGAGCAAGAATATGATGATGATGAACAAGTAGGAGAACCTGAGGAACAAGAACCAAAACCCGGCTCGGCCATTCAAATCGTTTCTCTCTCCGATAAGAAGACTCAACAAAAGAAAAAGTCCAACAACAAGGTTCAACACGTTCTAACGAACAAAAAGAAGGAGGAAAATGTCGTGATGGAAATCACTCAAGAAGAGCTCGATTATTATCAACAATTGAAACTGTACGGTATTCATGGAACTGATAACAAAAAGAAGAAGAATGATACGGATGGCTTGAGTGAACAAGTTTCATTCAAATTAGATGTGTTACAGTCATCAAAAATGTTTTTTGAATCGATCAAGCCTTCAGAAGTCATCATTTATTCAGGAAACCCAAAATATGAAGAACAAAAGAAATACATTTTGCGGCATCAACATGAAATTTCAGTTCAAAAACCAAACGCATATCGAAATACGGACGAAATGATTGCAGGTGAAACTGTAGCTCCACCATTGCAAACTCAAGAAACTACTCACAAGTTTAAAGCTGCTCTTGTATCTTTATACCTTTACCAGTAATGCGAAACAATTCGACGTGGTACAAATCGAAAAACCAAAGCAACAGAAAAATCTTGTTGTTTGGCCTTCTGCAAGATATGGCCACTCTAGTTGCCTTGTCTCAAATTTAATGTTTATTTTCGGAGGGCGCAACCAAAAGAACGACTTTTTGAACGACTTGTACATGTACGATACGACATCCAAAATTTGGACAGAAATTGTGTGTGACTCAATGCTGCCACCACAACTTTTTAAACATCAGACCTTTGCTGTCAACAACCAATCGTTTTATGTTTATGGAGGTGAACTCAAGGACGATAGTGAACGTTCAGATGCGCTCTATCGATTTGATATTGGTGACAAGAAATGGAATTTAATTGAAATTATCTCAGAGCAAGCTCTTGACGAAGAGAGCAATAAGGCACTTCCTTGTGCTGGACATTCATGTTTTGTCATACAAGGAAAATTATTAAGAATTGGTGGTATCGCTAAAAAGGGAGATTCTTGTGTTAGAATTTTGAACATGGCTGATCCAGGAAGACCTATTCCTTTGTGCTCGTATTTGGAGAACAAGAGAGATGAAGGCTTTTTGTGTGATGTTGTGTTTCGGTTGCGTGACCATGAGCAAAACGCGCAACACGAGCAAGGAATCGATACCTTGAGTTATGTGTTGGCACATAAGGCCATCATTAAGGCCAGATGCTCATCATTGCATGCCAAGATTTTACAAAGCACTGAAACAATGAGTACTCATCGACTAAGTGGTACCTTCCATGAGAATTGTGAAGAAATCACCCTGGTAGACATTACCGATTGCACTACTCACATTTTTGAACAATATCTCAATTTCCTCTACACTGGTTCTATCCATTTGAACAATTTGGACGATGTTAAGGCGTTCATGGCCTATGTTAAGCAAACATCGGAAACTCATCATTATCCGTTCGTTTCTAGAATTTGTTCACTGGATGAGAGAAAGGATCTAGGAATGACAAAGCAAATTCTTGCTCAACTTCACCAAGATTTTTCGTCACTCATTAACGATCATACCTATAGTGATCTTGTTGTCGTATTGGATGGAGATCAAGGAGGATCAACTGTGTCACAACAAGCTCACAATCCTCCAGGGGAGGAGATTTTCGAAGAAGAACCATTTGAAATTCCAGAAACTAGTTTTGATATTGCTCCAACCATGGAAAATGGCAATAACCATGACGAAAATGATACTGCTGCTGTGGAAATCATGTCACCTCTTCCAAAAGCCTCATCTTCATCATCAAATACTACAACCAATGGAATTGCGGTTCATCGATTGATTATGGCAAGAAGTCCATTCTTTTCTCGCATGTTTGTCACTTCTGGAATGTTGGAAGCAAAAGAAAAAGTTGTTCACTTGAGTGATTATTCCACCGAAGTTATGCTCCAAGTTTTAAATTATTTGTACACGGACACCATTGTTCTCACTCCAAGAAATTGTTTGGGAATTTTAGTGTATTGCATCATGCTTGATTTGGTTGACATGGCCAGTTGCTGTCGTCGAATGGTTGTTTCACTATTGGATAATTCTATTGTTTGGTCCGTATTTGAAATTGCCACACTTTACAATGACAAATCATTGGAGAGTGAATGTGAACGTTACGTTCTAGCAAGATACGAAGATTTGTGTAATTCCATTGGATTTTTACAATTGCCCGAAATGACTCGTATCAAAATCAAACAAGCTTTTGAAAAGAGAAAGAAGCATAAATAAATGTTAACCAACTTATCATTGAGAGACTTATTCATTGAAAACATTCGAGTCAATCAACAAACTTGACCCTATCAAAATGATGATTCAATTTTCTCCGAATGTTAATTTAAATTGAACTCAAGAAATTCAATCAAAAAAAACACTCGAGACCTTCATCAACAACAAACGAAGTGGAGCTACTTCTTGACACACCATAGCCCACCGAATATTGCATTGTTCTTTTCTCAAAAAAGAGTCTCTCCATCCACCAACAACTGTTGTTCGCTCCGAATGCATGCAGAGAATATTCTAAATAAGGAAATGGTGCAACAAGAAGCACAACACCATCATGAGGAAGAAGAGGAAGACCATGCTCATTCCTGTGGAGTCTCTTCCTCCTCTTCAACGACCACCTCAACCAATTGCAGCAGTACCTCTATGACCATTGAACAACATCCCAATTCAGCCAACGAGAGAACCACCATTCCATGTAAATATTTCATGAATGGATTTTGTAAGAATGGCGATCAATGTAGTTTCTATCATCCTCAATCGCCCAATTCTTTTATGTTTTTTTATCAACAAATGCTTTTGAATGCACCGCCTTGTCATGAATCTCCTCAACAACAACAACAACAACAACAACGAATGATGTATATCATGACACCAATTCCTCAACCAATTGCATGGATGTCATCCACTTACGATCATCATTCTTCAAATATGTTTCATTCTTCGTCTTCTAATTTATATTATAATCCTCATTTGACAACACAACCTTACTTTTTTAATTCCTATCCTTCAACGATTACAACAAATCCACAACAACAATCTCATCCTCACAACAGACATTTTGCTCAAAGAAGAAGTATTCAATCATCACCCTCTCACAGTCATCCTCATCATGCAAAAAGTAATACGAATTCTGCAGCCACCAATATTTCCATGTATAGCGAAATTTTTGAAGATGGAGAAGATGAACCTTCGTTTTATCAACCCAAAGTGTGTACGTTTTATGTGAGTGGAAAAGGTTGTAAATATGGATATCATTGCAAATTCTTTCATCCCTCGACGAGTAAATGTGTGAGTACGAATGAAACAAGTTCCAGTCAGCGCTTGAATACTTTTAACGCAAGTGGAAGAACGCATTCAGAACATGGTTATCATTATTCAAATACGAATCGTTCATCATCATTGCATGCTTGAACTCGATTGGCATTGTTTATTGATTTTTGTAATAAAAATGAAAATCATAGACTTGTTTCTCACACATAGAGACAATGGAAATGTCTGAAAACGATGCCATGTGATCATTTCTCAATTCCGAACAATAGCTCAATAATTTGTTTTTCATGACAAACGCTTGTTTTAAAGCATATGGTTTCATTGACTTTTCAATTATTTCTTGATTGATCCATTCGAAACGATTCGTCTCATAATAATCAGTTGAATATGCATGTGTCAAGATTTTGTGAAAATACCAAGTGTTTGTTTTGACCCGTTGAATCATGCTTGCTTTTCGCTTCACGACAAGTAATGACAAGGAGAAACTGGAATAGAATTTTTCAGGTAAAAACTCGAAAAGTTCAGGATATTCCTTCAGCAAAACTTGAAGAAAATGTTTCGAAGTGATATTCATCTTGGGAAGGAAATCCTGTTGAATGAATTGCACTTGTTTCGGGTCATTACTCTTCATATAATTGTCCACAAGTTGAAACACAAAATGACACATGTCTCTATCGAGTTTTAATCGTTTTGACATGAAATGAAAAGCATTGAGATGATTCAATAGAGCTGCCTTGACAATTTCTGGATCATCTCTAAGATAGTCAGAAATGTTTTGGAGCTGAGAACCATTCTGAGAAATCCACACCAGTGCCGATGTGGTATCGGAAAATCGAATTGTAGTTTTTGGTGACATTTTCGTTGGCGAAGAAGAGAGAACATTTTAAGAGAGGATCTCATTTGGGAAGAGAGGGAGCGATTGGAAATAGGTAAAATTGTTGTTGTCGTTCATGTTGAAGTGTCAACAGTGAAGAGATGGAAGCAAGATTGGGTGATTTATAATTCTGACATTTTTTTTTGGAGATTTGAAAAAGAGTAATGTTAGTCGTTGTGTTTGAGGGAATGGAATTTGGTAAAGATTGAAATTGAAGGCCAGGCAACTGTTTTACAACTCCAATACAACCACAAGCTGTAACAGTTGGCTTTCTTGTTCGTTAACCATGAAGACTTTGGAATGTGGATAACATTTAATATTGAAACATTTGTTTTTGGTCATGGTGTTTATGTACATTCCAGGACGCTTGACAATAATGGAAAAAAATTTTCGTTAAACCGCAACGGCTGATTCCACATCAAAAAAATCCTCAAACGCGATTAAGGGCGAGTGCCACTAAGGAGGCTCCTCATTAACGACCACCACCAATAACCGACTGAATATTCCTTTTTACACGCTTCCTTCGAAACAAACCATTCGATCATCCATGCAAACAACACACGCCGTGTCCGATTTAAAACACAAGGCTCCATTGAAATTTCTACTGCTGACCTTATTCCTCTATTTTCTATTATGGAGTGGTTTCCGTACAGACAAAGTTTTTGCTCTGACATGTCCCAATGGTTGTACCGATGCTACACGAGGTACATGTGATACCAATACTGGTGTTTGCCAGTGTAATGACTTGTGGACTGGATCCGATTGTTCTCTCTCCATGTGTGGTTGGTCCAAACAAGAAATCAATGGAATTTCCTTTGGAACTGTGATGGGAGCTCCCACTCCTCTCATCAGCTCGACCATTGTAGATTCGAGCAGTATCCAATTTACCATGACTGTGCAAAAGCATCCCTTCATTACCTTTTCTCATGATTTGTTTGTTGGTAGCACCATGTTTAACGCATCCTCATGTGCCTTGTATGGAAATAACGAGAGGGTATCATTGACGCTGGTAAATTCAACAACAATTTCGGGAGGTAGCAATGACTCGTGTTCTATCATGTACGATAGTCAAGTGTTCACTATTGATATGCTGATTAATAGCAATTTGACGACGAAAGAATTGTTGGGAGATGTCATCAAACTGACCATTCCCTTGTCCATGGTCATTGGTAACCTCAATGGAACTGGCAATAACGGATTTTGTGAAGCCATCACGTACTCCACATCACAAGTGATCTATTTCCAAATTAATCCCATTGTGATTTACTCTTCGTCGTCGTTCAATTCGACCTATAATCCCTATGGGTATGAAGTCAAGTTGTATCCTCAAAATATTGGTACCTCAAACGGTTTAATGACCTTCGATGCCGTTTTGGAGAGTACCAACACAAGTTTAATTTCCTTCACGTATTTCAACAATTCGAATTCAGCTTACTCTCTCACCGTGACCAAAACCACACAGGCCTCCATTGTTGGTTCCAAGATTTACTATCTCATCACCACCCTGTCTTCTGTGGCCATTTCTGATTATCGTGGTGTGATCTATTTCAAAGTCGAGTTGAAATATCTCGATTCGAATCTCATTGTCACACAATTCATTCCATTCAAGATTGACTATACGATTGTGGTTCCACCCTCAGACAAGAACATTACATTGCAAGTATCCATGACCACAACAGATAACATGTGGCGAACGAAACAGGTCTTTTCCACAGAAGAGAGCGTCTACTCGTTGGTGCAGTCACCTGGCTCTGGATTCAACGCCTATCAACTCACCGTTCAAGATGCTTACATGTGTTGTTTCAAAACATTTGTTTCAGCTCCAACCTATTCACCATCCAGCGGTCAATTAGGATGCACTGCGTATGACAATTCTACAATGGACTCGTGGAAACGTATCATTTCTAATTATGCAGGTACAGAGCCAACGACCATCACAATTCCTCTCTCTTCAAATCTGTACGGTTTTGCATTCAAGTTGAGCTCTGCCATGTTTGACTCTAAGGAACCAAGAGTTTGTTATTTACAGGCCAATACACGTCTCGTGGCTCGATCGAGAAGTGTTTCGTTGTTTGGACGGGCGGCTGTCGTTCCAAATTTACCTCCGTTCGCTATGACCTTGTTAACGGTAGAAGTTAAGACGTCGAATTTGCAAAATTATAATGAGACCTCTAGTGCTTCATCGATACTGGTGGGTTCCAAACAATCGTGGTCTGTATGGACCTCAATCATGATGTTACTGCTTAGTGCTGCAGCCTTGTATTTTATCACGACGAATTAGAATAAATAACTCTAGATAACCTTTCAATTGAAGAGTTGATAATGCACACTTCACAAAACACAATCTATCCAAGTAACATAAAAGTAGCTCTTCATTGTGTGCAACATTGCAATAACGAACGGATTATATTGTGAATTTTCTCACATCCATTTTCGCAAATAATGGACTCGATTCAATCATGGCCTTGACAAATGGTGCATTGATGGTAATTTCGATCATGTGCTGGCTATTATTACGTTCTCCGTCATTTGATGTTGTTGGAATAATTTGATAGCTATCTTTCAGGCCAATCTTGTTGAATTCTCTCTCGATCGTAGCTCTATCTGATTTCACAAGGTCAGGAATAATGAAGGAGAGTTCTTCCAGACACTTGTCGATAATGCCAATGAGTCTACGAGCACCAAGATTTTGTACACTAGAGTTACAATTTGCTGAAAATGCAGCAATTTCTTTGATTGCTTCATCTGTGATGTTCATTCTCACTCCCTCTGTCTCAAATAGCGACACATGTTGGCGTATTAAATTGAATTCTGGAATTGTCAATACTTGATACAGCTCTTCTTTTGTATTGAGAGAATTGAGGGTGACTCTCACTGGTAATCTTCCTTGTAATTCTGACATGAGATCTGAAGGTTTTTTATCATGAAATGCTCCGCTAGCGATGAATAGTACATGATCGGTTTTGAAGGCTCCATATTTGGTTTGAATTTCACAACCTTCAAGAAGGGGCAGCAAATCCTGTCGCATTGCCATATTCGATCATAGTAGCATTAAATGATTTACGGTGATTTTGTTTACAACAATAAGTAATCATATTTCTTACCTTTTGAACTCCTTCACCAGATGCATCAGCTGAGCTTCTCTTTTGGTTGGGATCTCTGTTCGCAAAGAAGTGTAAGAGTTATAATCAAATGCATGTCCATAACCACAAACTACTACATACCCACAAATTTTGTCAATTTCATCAATGAAAACAATACCCTCTCTTTCTGCAATCCTTTTCGCTTCCTCAATGAACAATGGGCCGTTTACCAATTTTTCTAACTCTAGCTCTGCAAGCTTTAACTTGGCCTCTTTGACTGTCATTTTCACCTTTTTAAAACTGGTGGGTGCCTGCGACTCCTGTAACATGGTTTCAAATGGTGTCTGATGATTACTCAATTCTGCAATATCTGGTATTTTAAACTTGGAGTTTTCTGGTGTAAAATTGTTCTTGACCGAATCAAAAATGTTCCCCAGGACAGACATTCCAGGTGCGCTTTTAGACGCAACTGGAACCTCAATTTCAACATGGCGATCATCTAACTCTCCATTTCTTAACATGTTTAAATAGTCTCTCAGTGTAGCTTCTCGTATATTTCCAATGCTTTCGGAACCAAACATGATATGAATTAATCTATTTTCTATTAATTGTTGTAAGTAGGAATGAAACAGTACTGTGCCAGGATCTGCCTCCTCATCCGGTAATGGAGTGTTTAAAAAGCTTTTGAACAGTTCAGAGAGGCTATTTTTCAGCATGTTGATGGAAACGTCAATTAAATCTCGAGCAATGGTATCCACATCTCTACCATGATAACCAAGCTCAGTATATTTGGTGGCTTCCACTTTTAAAAAAGGAGCTGAAACAAGTTTGGAAATTCGGCGTGCAATTTCTGTTTTTCCACAACTATTGTAGTACATTCATTGAAATGCCATAGCGAGGTGATTCATTAAATTCGAGTGATGAAAATTAATAAATTCGTTAAATTCGAGAAATTCAATAGTGTCAGATTCATGAAATGGCAATGCAAAATTCACACACATACCCTGTTGGGCCAATCATTAAAATATTCTTTGGAATAATTTCACTGGGGTCCAAAGTTGTTTTTTGCCCACTCTTGTCCTTGTACCATTCAATCAATGTCTTTCTTCTAAATCTATTTCTTAGAGCAATTGCCACTGCTCTCTTGGCATCTTTTTGCCCTACTATGTGTTTATCTAAACATTTCACAATTTGCTCTGGTGTCAATTGTGATTCAAAGCTATTTCGATGCAATTTATAAGCCTCAAAAACAACTCTATTAAAACTCTCTATTAATTTTTCTTCGTCCTCAAGAAATGTATTTAAAGGTTTTGATTGTTCCTCTTTTTGCTTGGATGATGAGCTGGATTTTAATGCATTTGAGCTCTCGGATGATGGCATGGATGTGCCAGGCTTGAGCATGAAATCCATCATACTTTCCAAATGTTTTTTTACTTCGGGAGAGCCTTGACCCAAAAATCCTAGCTTCTTCAATTTATCAAATATATCTTCACCATCATCATCGCTGTCATCATTACCTCCCTTCTTTCCTGATGATTTTTTACGAGTCGTATTCATCATGGTTGAAAAGCATCGGAATGATATTTGCTGATATGGCCCAACATGATGAGTTGTGGAAAATGTATTAATGACTTGAAATGTTACTTGTTGAACGTTGGATGAAGAATAATTGGACTGGATTTTTGTTGCTGCTGCTGTTTTTACATTCAAGGACCGTTTCAACAATGACTTCATTTTTTAATTTTTAATATCATCCAGAAATGAACAAGAAATGAGGAAGAACAAAGAGTTGCTGAGCGCATCGGGTGACACGTCCACAGTTGATGAATGTAACACTCCCTTGTCAGCACCAACTCCAAAAAAATGTCTTCCCGAAATATCAGTCGAAAAGCTTCGGACATCAACAAGCGTAAAAGCACTCCAGTACCATCCTCTAATAAAACACCATCCTCTCCCTCAGGAATCAATTGGAATCGTCATTCGGTGGTTCTGTCAAATGCCACATCCGTTGAACAATACGGATCTTCATCGGATGATGATTTTGAAAGTCTTCATGATGAAAGAAAAGATGACAGTCATACTGTAAATGATAATATTCATTCCTCAACAACTACACAAGCTATTTCGAGTGGCGCCACTGTGAAAACCAAAGTTGATGTTGAAAATTTATCAAATCATAATTATGTTACAAATGAAATGCCACCTGTCATTACCACACCACAACCACCTGTCACTTCATCAAAATCACCCTCTGCCTCCTCTCCACTGCCTTCGTCACCATCATCCGCAGGAAACACGAGAAATGTTTCTGTTAAAAATTCTTCTTCACCATCCTCCTCTTCCACGACGAACCGAATGTCTTCCAACAACAAACACGAAAACAATCAAAACTTTTCAAGAAGAAATAAGGAAGAGGACCAAATACTTCTCAATCGACTAATGAATGAATTTGAATCCGATGATTCCGAAGAAGATGATTATAATCAAGTGATGAAATCTAAAAAGAAGAACAATGAAACAAATGCTAGGAATGCAGAAATTAAGGACGATCTTCATGGATATTCTTCTGAAGATTCGCTTCATGAAAATGATGAAGTTGCTCCATTTATTTCACCACAAGTACGTCATGAACAGTCTTCGTTTAAGGATCCTAGATCTCTTTCGAATAGGGAAATATTTGAATCGATTCAACAACGAAATTTGAGTTCAAACAATTGGAATACTTCGACTCAAGAAGGATCTATTTCATCACAACAAGCAATTGTGACAACCAATGAAGCAGATGAAGACGATGATGATGTGTTGAATTATGACACTTACAGAAAAGTGAATTGGAAAAATGCATTGTTGTCACATTTTTGTTTTAGATGTGGAACCTTCTTTTTGAGTGGAGCTTTGATTGGATTAACCATTTTCTTGACTCTTTGGTTTGCTATTTAACCTCATCTCTAATACATTTTGCTTGTGTTTACAACTCTCAAAGATTACTTTCGATTATTGTAATGTTTCAAATTAAAAATTATTGAACCAGATATCAATCTCCCAACTTTAACTTGATTATCATACTCACGCTTCCATTGTCAACCGTCGCTGATACATCCTCGCTCGTCATTATAATGTGAAAAACCAAAATATTCTCAACTCTCAAAATAAACATCACACAAAAAAAATGCAAAAATCATCCATCATTCTTGCCTCGGCTTTGTGTCTTCTCTTTGTGGGAGTGACACTTGTCTGTGCAGCATGGACCAACGAAGAACTAGGTGATCTCTTCGACATGGCCACTCTCGCCGATTACAGACGTTACGGAGGTGGTGCTCGTGGAGGAGGTGCCAGACGAAGTGGAGGAGGTGGCCGAAGAAGCGGAGGAGGTGCCAGAAGAAGTAGCGGTGGTAGAAGAAGCAGTGGAGGAGGTAGAAGAAGTGGAGGTGGCCGAAGAGGAGGAAATTCTGCAGGACGAAGAAGTGGAGGTGGACGAAGAGGAGGCAAGCAAGGAGGTAAGGCTGGAAAGAGAGGAGGCAAACAAGGAGGAAAAGCAGGAAAGAGAGGTGGTAAAGCCGGAAAGGGAGGAAAGGGAAAGAAGGGTGGAAAAGGTAAGAAGGATGGAAAGAAGGGTAAGAAGGATAAGAAGGGAAAGAAAGATAAGAAAGACAAGAAGGGAAAGAAGGATAAGAAAGACAAGAAGGATAAGAAGGGAAAGAATGATCAAGGCCCAGCAGGTGGAGATCAAGGACCAGCTGGAGGTGATCAAGGCCCAGCAGGTGGTGATGATCAAGGACCAGCAGGAGGTGATCAACAACAACCTGAAATGCCAGCTCAAGAACAACCACAAGAACAACCACAACAACCTGAGCAACCAGCTGAACAACCTCAACAACAACCTGAGCAACCACAAGATGGAGCTCAACAACAACCAGCTGAACAACCATCTGCTCAACCTGAACAACCAGCTCAACAACAACCAAGTGAGCAACCAGGTCAACAACCAGCTGAACAACCTCAACAACAACCAGTTGGTCAACAACCTGGCGGACCTGTTCAACAACAACCACAACAACCAGTCGATCAACCAGCTCAACAACCAATTGGTCAACCTGAACAACCATCTACTCAACAACCATCAAATCCAACCAATGGTCCACAAGAACAAACTAGTTCTGTAACTTCTCCAACTGAAACCACCATTATTGAAGACAAGAAGAGAGGTGTCATTACAACTCAAAGTAGAACTCAAACTCGAGACACTGTCAAGAATGCTCAAGGACAAACTATTGAGGAAAGACTTTCTGTCACACTTCAAGTTATCAAGAAGTATTTGAAGCCAAACGGTGGTCGTGTTGCTCGTCCTGCTGTCATTCCTAACAATGAACAAGTTGTTGGATAAATTTGTGTATTGAATATGTGTTGAGGAATTGACACACAATAAAACAACGGATCTCGATATCAACACAATTTATTTTCCTTTTTTCTCTATGTTTTGGCGTGCTGTTTGATTCGTATTTCTGTGAAGAACTATATTACTTTGAACGCCATCTCTCTGCCAGCTGTCAACGTGTCGCCATCAACCAAAAAAAATGGCCTCACTCGAAGATTTGACGCTCACTTTCAAACCTATCCAAATCTCGGAATTAAATAAGGAAGAAAAATATAAACCTTCATGTAACATTGGCTCTCCATCGAATGGCTCATCTGTGTCATCATTGAAATTTGAAAATTTCGATTGGTCAAAAACACATTTACCTCCTCCGTTATCTGGCCACGCTTGTTGTGCAATTGCACTGGATGAGAAAAATCGAGAGGATAACATGGAAAATAATAACGAATTAATAATCATGGGAGGAATTAGCATTGGATTTAAAAGTGAGTTATTGATGAAATTATGATTATTTTAAAAAAACAATTTTCAACATTTGAAATTGTCACTCTAGGAGTAAATACTGCATGGATACTCTCTCCGAGTAGGTAATACTAATCATTGTATGACATATGAACCCCCCATGATCTAACACGTGATGGCCAATAGAAACACTTCAAATTAGAAAGTATGAATATCCTGATCCAATTCAAATTATGGAATTTTCACAAGTGGACGACAAGTCTAACAACAATTCTCCAAACATGAACAATAGCAAGAAACACTATCTCACTCTGTTTCATTCATATTTAACAAATTTAATTAACAATATTTCATCAGAGGACTTGTCACAACAACCATCGAATGACAGCAATCACACTTCATCTCTTAAATTTTTTCCAAATTTAAAGAAAAAGAAATCTTCGTCATTATTTGCAAGACCAACAGAATTTCTAGATGTTGACAGTGGTAGTTTAACAACGATGAGCTTTGAAAATTCGCGCACTGAATCATTATCCCCACTTGATATTCATTACAAAATTTACCAAAGCAAATTATTGGAGTATTTGAGGAAAATTGCTTCCAATACATTTGACGAAATGCAAAATTTGAGCAAGATGAAAATTTCATCCACCTCATTCACATCTCTCTTGTCACAACAATATGTTTCAAGATCTGTCGTTTATAATTTTCCAATTCCACGAGAAAGACACTGCATGTGTGTTGTTCCAAAAAAACAAGCATCAGATTCTCGACTACTAGTCATCATGGGAGGAATTGCTGATAAGAAGATTCGTCTTAACGATGTCTGGTTTCTAAATATCGATACCATGATGTGGCATGAAGGTAGATTAAATGGTTACAGTGTCGAAGTTCCTCCTGAAAATGCTACCGAATATTCATGCATCAAAAAGGCTCACACATCAACTTGGATTTCCCCATTCGACACCACAAACTCACAGCATGTTTCAACAAAAGATGGATGTACCATTCATTTAGGGATTAAAATTCCTACTCCAAGATATTATCATTCTTTGGTTGCCGTGAATGATTCTACATTAATACTCTTTGGAGGATACGATGGCGCGTTTCAATGTGATTTATGGCTGTTGAAATTATTGGATCGAAAGAATGTGATTTTTGAATGGAAGAAAATTGAGCTTTCAAAACAGGAAGCTGTCATTCACAAATTTCCATGGCCTTCTCCTCGATACAATCATTGGTGTGGTATGTTAAAAGACAAAATGCTACTTGTTGGAGGCGTTCTCGATAAGAATGTTCAAACGAACGATGTGTGGTATTTTGACATTGATTCTTATCGTTGGAGATGTTTATTGGTTGACAGAGATCATGCTGCAAGTTCTGAGGACTATCCAGAACGGAGGAGTGATCACAGATGTGCCATTCTGGGAAAATATTTATTGCTCACTGGAGGAGTTCACAAAAAGACCTATTTACATGATACCTATGTGTTGGATTTAGAAAAGTTTACATGGAGAAAATATTCAAATGCAACGGTCAATGATGATACTACCAAATTTATGCCAGGAAGAATTAGTTTTTCTATTCAGGTAGGATCACGACTTTTGAAAATATCATTCACTTGACTCTTGACGTTATTACATAACTTTATAATTTGTTTGGTTCTGTTATGAATTTTTGATATTGCAGGCCCTAAATCCTACATCAGCAATCGTTTTTGGAGGAATTGTCGATAAGGATAAGTTAGTGGCAAGAGCGAACGATATTTGGATGATTGAAACCAATCTCCAATTGAAATCAGATCCCAATCTCTCAAAGATTGGATTCATCAATGAAAAGAGAATTGGTTCTAATTATTTGATTGAAAGAATATTAGGAGCTGGCGGCCAAGGACAAGTTTTTCTCGTGAAGGACGAATCTGTGACATCCGAAAACAAGTATTATGCGTTGAAACGAATGACCATCAATTTCTCAGATGACGTCGGAAGAAACAAAGCCGTGGCAAGTGACATGGTCTTTAATGAAATTTTCATTGTTCAACAATTGAAGCATGAAAATGTGTTGCCCACCTATTCCTTCTTTTTGGAAAAGAAAATGGAAGAAAACTCAAAATCTAATGACTTCACACTGAACCTTAATATTTTAATGCCCTATTGTGAAGCTGGTGATTTTAGTGCCTTTTTTGCCCGAAGAAGTTATCAATGGCAAAAAATTGGCATGTTTTGGGACGAATGTGAAGTGATTTCATGGTTACTTCAAATTGCAAGGGGCCTTGAGTATATTCACTCGAGAAATATTATTCACAGAGACTTGAAACCAAGTAATATTTTTGTAACATTTGACAAGAACAGTAGTAACCTTAAGGGTGGCAATGGAGATGATACCAGCTCGAGTGAAACTCCTCAAAGACAGACTATTGTTTTCAAAATTTCAGATTTTGGACTAGCTAAGAACGTCTCCAATTCTCTAGCAAAAACTACATGTGGAACAATGCTCTACCTAGCCCCTGAAATTTATACAGAAGAGGTCTATTCAGAAAAAGTGGATATTTGGTCCTTTGGGTGTATTATTGCATTTTGCTTATTTCAATCAAAATTGAGAATTGATTTGAAATTGCCATCACAAAAGAAACAATTAATTGAGCTATTCCATCCAAAGACAAGCAAATCGACCAGTGTTGACAATTCTTACATGGACAAATTGGTAGGAAAAGATGAATGGTTGCAATTAACATTGGATTGTGTCGAACAAGAGCCTGACAAGCGACCATCTGCTTCTGAAATTGTCAAGCGCTTGGAGTTGTTGTTGGAAAGAGTGAAAAAAGCCAATGAAGAACGGTTACAGAAAATTAGGGAGCAAGCACAAGAAACGTCATGCAATGTTTCAACAACAGATTCGTCTGTGGAGGTTTCTTCAAGTAAGACGATAAGTGATTCACCATCATTGACGAGCTCTACTGCTGAAGAATTGGTAACATTTCCTTTAACAACATCAACAGCACAAAATCAACAACACAATGAACAAGAAAATAATCCACAGTTCATACAGCAGCATGACAAAGACCAAGCAAGTGTGAATGAATTGCAAGAAGATCATGATGAACCACACAACATTTCATCGGAGTCTGATACTAAATTGTTTCAAGTTCTGGAACCACTGATTTTAAATAGCGACTTGTCACAGTCTTTCCAATCTAATTCTTCAACTGGAGCTATTCAAAACCTTTTGCTTGCCAACAATGATCCGACCAAAGACCGCGATGAAGAAGAGTTATGGATTGAATTACAAGCATGGATCTTTCAATTTGAAGAGAAACAACTCTTAGATGAAAAAGAAGTCGATTTGTTATGCATTGCAATCGATCACCAGAATTCAACATTGAAACGATTTTACAAGGCTCTTAAAAAGATTTCGAACAGTTCCAACTGTGATGATGGCTTTGGAGAGGAATCTCAAATCATGAACCAAGAATTGAATAATTCAATGTTGCTCAAGCAATTGAAACGATTTTTAAAGTTGAATGTCCAAGAGTGAAATGCCCAAACCATTCTAAGGCTGACAAATTGACGGAGAGTATTTGCTTGGCTTTTTAGATCATACCGATGAAATTGAGCAAGTGCGAAATGGATAACTCTTTTGGTTGAAAATGTCTTGGAAAAGATCAGCTGTAACTTTATATACAACGTGTAGATTTCATGAAAGATCAAGGAGTTTACTAAGAGAGATCCCAGCAAAATGAACCAACAATTATTCACTTCTCATCGTACTTTGGAAGAGACCTTTTTTTCTCCACTTTCCAAACACAATATTTTAGTCTCACTTTTAACTCCTGCCTCTTCGCTGCTAAAACTCACACTCCTTGACTATTGTACTCATCCTTTCCACAAAATGAAATTTATTTTACAAAATCTCACTTCCACATGCAAGGCTTACTAATGAAAATCCCGTGTCCTACACCATTCCTGTGACATCACGCTTTGCAAAAATTCCGTTTTTTGAATCGTTGGTTGCGGAATCATGATCGGCCAGGTATGATGGTTACGGAGCTTGCATTTCCTGTTGATCATCACCGTCGATTTATTCACACACAAAAAAAATTTGTGAAAGGTTTGTTTTTCGCTCGCACTCTCTCTTGTTCTCATGACAAGCTCATTACATTTTGATCATGCACACGTGTGATTATGTGAATAATCATCAACGCACGAACACATTGTTTGCCTTGATTGTGAAACGGTAAACTCTCGCATCAACATTCAGTTTTTTGAAGAGAAAAAAAACTTGCAACTTACCAACAGCACACACTTTTTCGTTCTGTTCTTCTCAACAGCTTGTCGAAGGCACCAAGCTTATAAAAAACAGCTTACCCACAACCAGATTTGACAACAACCATCGGATCTTCTTTCGACGTTCTATTCACGCGTGTTTTCTCGTAGATTATCAACTCGAATTTTCTCTCAGCTCGGAACAGCCATTTTCATTATATCTTGCTCGTATCACACCACATAACACCAGACCATCATCACAATAATGAACAACACTCTTGTACCATCAACAACACCATCATTCCAATCCAATTTCAGTAATAGTTATCATGGCCGTAACAACAATCATCACCTTTTGCCACTATCTCAGCCTCAGGAACAACAACCATTCGTTATGAATGAAGGCGGCTCTTCTTCATGCGCCAACCAACCTTGTGTGATGGATCCGAACTCTCGTGATGAAACAATCAACACTCCTAACAAGTCTGTATTGGCAATGCAAAACAACCACAACCAACAACAGCAACTTGGCTTACCAACATTTGATGAGCATTTACGTTTACTGAACCAAGTCCAACAAATCATGATGATGAATCAACAAAAACAACAAATGCAAAAGCTCGTGAATGGTTCCAGTACTGCTCTTGCTAATCCAGGAGGCATGATGCTGGGTAATTATCATCACCAATTAAGCGATCCATTATTAATGAATAATAACACTCTCGGAGCTACTACCACACACGATTCTACTAACATGAATGCAATATTGGCTTCTCAATACTCTCTGTTAAATCAACCATTGATTCTCCAGAAGCAACAACTCACAACTCCAACTTCATTCACTAACCAACATGTCATCCCTTCCAAGCCACAACTGCAACAACAACAGATCATTACTTATCATAGTGTGGAGGGATGCATTGTGGATGAAAACAAGATTTTTGGCAATATAAATGTATTGAATGCAGATGAAACCAAGCAAACCAAGATTGTAGTCATGCCAACCAGTGTCTTTCAGAGATTCTTACAACCAGTTCTGGAACATATTAAACAGGCACTCTTTGCTCCATTGCAACAATTGCCTCTCATTCCACATGCATTTCAACAACAATCAACCATGTCACCACAATTGTCATTTATTGATCCATTTCAACAAGTACAACCTCCATCCGAATTGAATTTGAAATTGGTAGTGAATTCTGAAGACTTGGAACCATTCATGCAACAGCAAGAATTCCAACAACATCATGATCATGCATCAAATAATGATATTTTAACGAGCACTGGTGTTTCTCTCAATCAAGATGAGGCTTTAAACCAGTTGCTCTTCGAGGGTTCTTCCACTCAGCATCGATTCGATGTTAACGAGCAATCATCATTGTTAACTTGCAATAATGAGGTCATACAAGCCAAGCCATCCTCTGATCAAGCTGCTGTGAATGATGACGCGAACGATGAAGGTTCAATTATTTTCGAAGACAATGAAAACCAAGACATGGCTTCGACTTGTACATTGCAAGCAGCAGAGCTTGGTCATGCAGTGGATGAGTGCTCCAAAGACAACACACAACAAGGTAATAATTACAAAAAAACAAACAATAAGAAGGGAATTAAGAAGAAGAGAAAGTACATTAAGAGTGGACTGTTCCGTAAGGACCCCAAATCTGGTCAATTTTTATTTTCGTCCAGAGATCGAGCAAGATTAGCTACATTAATAACTCCAAATGAAAGTACCACCGGATCATGTAGTGTCAATATTGCAGATGAAGCGACAACCCATGAAGAAAATGCTAACAGCCAAAATAGCCAAACCGAAAGCATTGCATTGTTTGGTAGTGGTAATAGCACAGATCAACACAGCAATTCTTCGTCACCTCATGTCAGCTCTTTGAGCCCAGAATACCATGGCATGGATGAGCATGATCGGTTGGCATTTGAACTCTATTGTCGTGAAACTGTTCCAATTCACAAAGATGCAGCTTCAAACATGATCTTATTGAGGGAGCAATGGAGACTGCTTCCGCAAGAAGAGCGAGAACGTTACAAGAGATCCGTAGTTGTTTTGGGTACTATTGACAATTCCAATGCTTGTGATGGCGTTGCAATGACAAATGTTGATGGCATGGAGGAATTATCAGAAAAAGATGGCAACAATACTGTCGTTGGAAAGTATTCTCGTGTGAAACGTCCACTGAATGCCTATAACATCTTTTGCAAAATTCACTTTCCAGAATTTCAGCAAAGGTACCCAAATTATACAATCAACCAAATTTCCAAACATATTGGAGAGAAGTGGAAATCTCTCTCTAACGAAGAAAGACAACCTTATATTGAGCAGTCAAAAAAGAATTCGCAACCTGTTGTGAAGAAACCTTTGTCTGCATACAACATTTTCTGCAAGAGTCAGTTTGAAATTTTCAAAAAGAAATATCCAGATCTCAGTATTCACTTGCTGTCTCGAAAGGTTGCTGATTCATGGAAGAGCTTGAGCGAGGATGAAAAGCGTGTCTATTACGAGGGTGCTCAGAAACAACGTCAAGAAAATCTTCTTCAAGTTCACAATATGATTCCAACCTGTATCAAACAGCAATAGATTGTTGTACTCTTGTGACATATCGTGTCAAAACCTCAAGATCATACCGTCGAAATAAAAGATTTTTGACAGGAAATTTAAAGGCATATTGGGTTTGTTGTATATTGTAGTCCAACACAACGATCGAGATTCTAATTGCTTGTTCGTCTTTGCAGTTGTTGTCCTTTCATGATTTCCCTTTTTGTCATCAAGGTCCAGTTCTCTGTGAGAACTAGATTATTGACTTTCCCACGTGTTCAACACCACCGAAGACAACACTATGAAGAAGAAAAAGGTTGCTGATTTTCATCACCCAATAGTTCACCACTACCCACCTTCATAATTAGGAAGTGAATTCACGTCATGATTCTTTGCACAAGAAATTCCAGAGTGAATGTGAGAAAGTGTTCATAAAAAACTTCAAAAAAAAAAAACAATTCACCTTCCTCACGATCGAATCACCTTTGGTTTCGATTATTATTATTAATAACGTCCGTTCTTCCGAAATATTTGCGCACGACAATCCTTGAATCTCATCCAACAACAATAATCTTGATTGCTATCTCTTTCAAGACCAATCACGACGTGAGCCGCAGCCTAACAAAATATTTGAACAACTAACAAAACGAATGGGTCAACTCATCTCGCATTATAAACGGAAAAAGCACAACAACCACCATGACGATGACGAAGTTCTCTCTTCCTTTGATGATTTGGATGATTTTGTGAGAGCAAGTCATTCAACAGCAACCTCTCGTCGTGCTCATAAGGATGATAGTGAACAATTAATGTCCCTCGACCACAAGAATGAAAAACAACAACATCACCGAAAACATCGAAAACAAGCCACTTCTTCTTCACCCGATTATTCTCCTCTAGATATGTCCTATGATGCAAGTGAATATATGGACCCAGAAACATACTATGCAAAGATCTCTCAACACAAATTGACTGGATTGCAACGTGAAGATTCGTCCTCTCCTTCCTCATCACCGTCATCACGGAAGAAGAAGGCAAGTTATTCTGCAGACGGACATAATGTGAGCAAACAACAATATCGAGCTTCTCATAGATTTACTGCTCTGTTTTCGTCGGATAAGACACACTATGGAGGTGGAGGATACATGTACTTTTAAACCTTGTTGGTTGACCATAATGTTACTTGGTTGACCATGCTGTTGATGAAAGTATTCAATCCCTCATCATCTCATGACCATCCAACGCTCCATCATCGCTACTACTATCACTTCCATGAAAATTCACATACTTGATTTGGTTGGTCTCTCATCGGAACTGGGAACTAACAGTTTTTTTGCGGCATTTGTACATACAACAATTTTGCACATTTTTAGAAAGAGTCCTCAATATTATTTTCTCCCTAACAAGACCTTACTTTAAAACTAACTTATTTGTGGTGTTGAATAAATTTCTATTGGTTGTACTCACCACAGTCCACTTTTCAAAATTTACTGAGCTCTGTGATGGTTTTTGGAAAGTGGCTCAAGGAAGCAAGTAGCTTGGAATTGGCAGAAACAAGCCAATCACAAATAAAGTGGCCAAAATGATGCTGGACAACCTATTCCTTGGGATTTGTTGTTGAGAAGGGAAGAACATACGAGCAACACCACCGAATAAACAAAACCATCCAATAACTGTAATCAACGTAGGCCAAGAGTTGATCCATACATTATGAATCCGAACAATGACAAGTCCTCCAGAGAACAAAATCAAGCCATTGAGGTAAACGACTGTAGGACACACCTCCTTCCAAATGTTATAATTCATATATTCGGATGATGATAACGCGATCAATATGGGGCCTACAATGCTAGCTAGGAGCAGGGAATTATCGTTCGACATTTTTGTTTTTGTTAGCTTGGTTCAGAACGAATGTAAAGAATATTCGTAAGGCAATATGAACAGTTTCCAAATCTCCTTAACGCACGGTGGTTTTGGTTGCTTGGTTGGATGAACCACCCACCGTATTCGACCAAAACATTTGGCCACACTTGCCAAGGATATCGGTCACACATTCATATTCGGATTGCATGACGAAAGTGATGGTTGACACTTTCTTTTTCAAATGCAGCGAATCTGCAACAGACAAAAAAACACATCCACCACGTGAGATTAATTGTTCGTTCCGCACAAGATGAACTCTGCTTTCTCACTAATCGATTGTGAACACCAGACCTTGGCATGTCATCCAAACGATTGTATCAGTAGTGGAAAGCGGCCGGCTTCCAACAACAACACGAAACGACGCTCGATACTCCGAGGTCTAAATCTAACTGGAAAAGGACAAGTAAAATTTGTCTATTTTCAAATGATCCTGGCCATCATTATCATCATTCTACCTTTAATATTTAACAAACAATTTCAACATGTGCTCTATGGCAACAACAACAATACATGTAATGATGAGAGCACGAAGTCATCGGCCAATGTATCATCCTCTACTTTTCGTAATGACGGATTACTAATGTTTGTCAATGGAGAGACTCTTAACACGACCACTGTCTATAATTGTTTCGGACTCCTTTCCAATGATTCCAATGTTTGCAATGGACGAGGATCGTGTATCGGAGAAAACAATTGTTCATGTCTTGTTGGATATTTTGGAGAGGATTGTCAAAATTTTACCTGTGGTGGCATCTCATCAAATTTAACCGGAGTGGTTTGTTCTGGACATGGAATTTGTGTGGATTTCAACACTTGTCAATGTGATCTCAATTGGCATGGATCGAATTGCAATGTGACGGAGTGTTTTTCAATATTACAAAATGATACTTTACGAGTGTGTAATGGACATGGAATTTGTGTTCAGACCGATCTTTGTCAATGTACTACATCGTTAAATTATACTGGAGTAGAATGTGAAATTCCAAAATGTTTTGGAATTGCTGCAAATGTGAGTAGCGTCTGCTCTTCACATGGTACTTGTTCATCGCCCAATAATTGTACCTGTGATGCAGGCTATGTTGGATCGCAATGTCAATATGCGCAATGTTTTGGAGGAAATTCATCAGTTCCTAGCTCGGTGTGTACTGGTGGAAAGGGAATTTGTGTGGCACCTGACACTTGTCAATGTACGAGTGGTTATGTTGGAGATCAATGCCAGGTAAGGCATTCTTGTGAAATCAATGGATTCGATAACTTGTTGAACAATGACACTCATTTGATATTCTATTAATTGATGCTTAATGTTATAGTATCCCGTATGTTATGGATTTCCTTCCAACGATACTGCAAACTCATGTTCTGGCTCTGTAAGAGGAAGTTGCATTTCCAACAATACTTGTTCGTGCAATTCTGGCTATACTGGCAATGAATGTCAATATAATATTTGTTATGGCATTTCTTCTGCTAGTTCCAGTGTGTGTTGGAATCAACATGGTGATTGCATTGCACCCAACAATTGTAATTGCACAGTCCCAAATTTTACTGGATATGATTGCTCTTTTGAATTATGTTCAGCTGGATTTCAATGTAATCGACGACATGGTTATTGTTTGGTAAGTAGAATTTACAGAATTCTCAATTCATTGAATTAATTATTTTTTTCAATATTCAACAATTATTTTTTAAAATTCAATTCCTAGTTACCCTTATATTGTCAATGTAACACGGATTGGACGGGCCTTGATTGCAGCACTCCAATTTGTTTTGGATTTCCAGCCAATGACTCCACTAATGTTTGTTCAGGTCGAGGTACCTGCACCTACGCCAATCAGTGCGCTTGTCCCACTGGATGGAGAGGAAATTCCAATTGTAGCATGTACAGTTGTGATGGAAAGAATTACTGCAGTGGACATGGAGTTTGTGTTGGTCCCAATAATTGCAGTTGTAAGTAATCAAAATATTGAAAGTTATGTTCTTTTTATAATGTCACGTTCAAAAAGGCGATGATGGATGGAAAGGAAACACTCAATGTAGTGAAGTGAGTTGTGAATTGCTTGGAAATTGTAATTCCAAAGGATCATGTACTGGTGCGAATGTTTGTACCTGTAACACTGGATGGAAAGGAAATGCCAATTGTACCGCATTCAGTTGTGATGGAAGAAATTATTGTAGTGGTCATGGAGAGTGTGTTGGAGCTAATACTTGTAATTGTAAGTGTGGAGCGTATATTCCAATTGTTGTGTTGTAGTACTAACTTCAATCATAAACTCTTGTCAAATTAACCAAATTAGGTGATGCTGGATATAAGGGAAATGACTATTGCAATGTATTTAGTTGTGAGCTAGCTGAAAATTGCAACTCTCACGGATCATGTAGTGGTCCTAACGTATGCAGTTGCAGCACTGGATGGAAAGGAAACTCAAATTGCAGCACATTTACATGTGACGGACGAAATTATTGCAATGGACATGGTCTATGTATTGGAGCTAACACCTGTCAATGTGATTCAGGTTGGCAAGGAAATCTTAATTGCTCTGCCTTCACATGTGATGCATTGGGAAATTGTGGAGGAGCAACAAAGGGAACCTGTGTCTCAAATAATACATGTTCCTGTAAAACTGGATATAAGGGATCCAATGATTGCTCCGTGTTCACATGTGACGGAAGAAATAACTGTACAGGTGATCATGGTACTTGTATTGGCCCAAATTTATGTTTGTGTAATGCTGGATGGACCTCATCGAGTGATTGCTCTGTTTTTTCATGCTCTATTTATGGAAATTGCTCAAATCATGGAGTGTGTATTGCTAACAATACATGTTCCTGTCAATTTGGATGGGAAGGCCTCGACTGCAACACATTCAATTGCTTGGGTCGAAACGAATGCTCAGGACATGGTCTCTGTGTTGCCAATAACACATGTTCCTGTCTCTCAGGTTGGAAAGGAAATGCTAATTGTTCCGTGGTTTCATGTGATGGTCTCAGTCATTGCGGTGGAGAGTTACAAGGACTTTGCATTTCGAATAATACTTGTTCATGCTTATCTGGCTGGAAAGGTTCAGCAGATTGTACTCTATTTTCATGTGATGGTGTCAATCAATGTAGTGGAAAAGGTCTTTGCATTGGAAATAACACTTGTCAATGTGTGAGTGGATGGGGAGGAGCAGATTGCAGTATTTTCAATTGTAATGGTGTGAATGAATGTGGTGGCCCTATGCATGGTCAATGTGTGGCCAATAACACATGTCAATGTCAATCCGGTTGGAAAGGTGCGTTAGATTGTGGATCTTATTCATGCGATGGAGTAAATGAGTGTTCCCTCCATGGATTATGCATTGGAAATAACACTTGCTTGTGTGCTGCTGGTTATCAGGGCAATAAGAATTGTTCTGCATTTTCATGTGAATTGGTCGCTTCATGCAGTTCTCATGGAAATTGTACTGGACCCAATGCTTGTACCTGTTTGGATGGTTATGGAGGACCTAAATGTGATATTTTCAATTGTTATGGAAAATTGGCAATTGATCCAGATGTTTGCAGTAGAAATGGTTCCTGTGTAGGTCCTCATCATTGTGAATGTTTGTCAGGTTTTTCAAATACTGGAATTTGTAATCAACCAATATGTTTTAACAGAACTGCCAATGATACCTCTGTTTGTAATGGATATGGCGTTTGCATTGCTCCTGATGTTTGCTATTGTACTTCACCCTATTATTATGGACCTAATTGCACTCACTATGATTGTTATGGTTTATTCTATCAAAACCCATTAGTTTGTTCTGGAAGAGGTTTATGCTCTTCTCATGACAATTGTGCATGTGAAATGGGTTACATTGGATCGAATTGTCAATTTATTCAATGTTACGAATTTGACACTTCGTCAACAAGTGTTTGTTCAGGAAGAGGAATTTGCCAGTCTCCAAATAATTGTTTGTGTACAGATCCCGATTTTTCTGGCCTGAATTGTAACATTACGTTGAGAGAATTACCATTGGAAATTAAGAGTAATCGATATAGCGTTGGCCTCAATGCTATGGATGTGTTCAACAACATTTCAGTGCTCAACATTGAAACCATGTTCACGCAATCAATATATCCATATTTGGAAAGTTCAGTCATTTATCAATGGAATTGCTCAAATTGTGGAGAGAATGCAACACAGATCGAATCAAATATTTTCTTAAATGGTAATTCATCAGCTACACTTTCCCTCAATATCAACAATTTACCATTTGGAACATTTGTTTTCACATTACAAGCCTATGTAGAATTTTCTGAGAACAATGTAGTATATCGAAGAAGTGCTCCAGTACTCTCTGTTGTGGTGAGATTATTCATGGTTCCTGAGGTTTACAATATTGCGATTACTGGAATTCCATCTGCAATTGTAATTTCAGACAAGATTGCTGATTTTACGTCCTCTACTCCTTTGGCCTCAATGAATGAGAGCATTATTTACAAATTCCTTGGATGTCATACAGTGGAGGTCAATCAATCTGTATCGGAAAATGTCACGTTAACAAGTTTTGAGACTGTTTGTGAACCCAAGGTTGTGTCATATAGAAGTATTTTGACGTTTAGAAATTCGACAGCTTTCATTGAACTTGCTACCTATGAGTTGAATGTGACAGCGACAGCTAATAGCAAAAAGACCAGTATTATTTTTACACCAATGCCTTCATTCACATACGACTTGCGAACCAACCTTCAAGTTTGGAATCAATCTTTAAGTATTGACTCTTCAGAAATTCAATATTTGGAGTTTGTTGTTATTTTTGAAAATCCTCTGACTGGAAAGAATTTCACAACAACTTCCATGATACCAATAGTTCTTCCTGCTTCACCTCCCACACCAGAAATTGGAAACTTTACTACACCTCTCATCGATGTTTATCCAAAGAATGGTGTTGCCTTATTGGATAGATTTATCATGTCCATTGAAGAATGGTCAGCTCCCATTACATTACAACCTCTTCAATATGCTGTTGGCTTTTATGATTCATTGCTGAAAGCACCTGTGAGATTGTCACAATTCTCAACGAACACCAGCATTGCAACCTATTTACCGTTTATTGCTGCTTCAGCCTCCTCAAGACTCACAACTCGTCACATTGCTGCTCAGGAGAGAACTGTTCAGTTGGTGGTGTTTGTAATGGATAAATTTGGAAATGTTGATTGGAGACTCACTGAACAAGTATCTGTGGCACCTTATAATGGAACATCGACAGAGTTATTACAAAACTTTGTGACATTTTCCTCTCAAGATTTGTTAATTCTTTCCTATGACAAGTCATTGCAATCAATCAATAGTACAAACACAGAGTTACAACTTAAATTATTGGAAAAGATTGAATTTGACATGAAAAATCCTTCAATTGCATTGAATTCGTTGATTTCATTAACTCAAGAGTCTGACTCATTGAGCACTGAAGTAGTGAAAGCTGTCAATGCAAAGTTGAATTCCTTTATGAATAACGTATCTGCCATTTATCAAGAAGAAAAAGCTCAGTATTCCTATGTCAAGACTAAAATTTTGACTGATTCTGATACTGTTTCCACTGTGTCATTGCTCTCCAATTTATTGAACTCTGGATTGAATATGGATGCAACTGATGACAATGTTGTAAACTTGGCTTCAATTACCACCATGGCTGAATTGCCATCAACACTTGGTGCTAACGCGTCATTGCCCGTGTTACTTTTCAATTCTGGATCTATTAACATGACACTCTCTGTTTTCACCGTTAACACAAATGTTCCACCCAACCAAAATCAAACGCTTTCGAATGGAAGAAATACCATGCAAATGGATTTGCATTCAATTTCTAATTACGTTTCATCGGGTGACACGATCCAGTCGTTGAGTATATCATTTATTTCAATGTCAAGAAATACTCGATCAGATTCAATGACTAGAAGGTATCCAGTTCTGGCACCTGTGAGTCATTTCACAGTTAGAAAAGATGATGTAGAAGTGGCATTGAACGATATGAATGAACCCATCTTGTTGAGTTTTGGAATGGATTCAAGAATTTTAACGGCAATTGTCAATGCAACAAATATTACCTTATCATGCAATTATTGGAATGTCACTCAACAAACATGGCTCCACAATGGATGTTTCTTGTATAGTTTTGACAATTATACTCTCACTTGCGCATGTAATCACACCACTCTATTTGCGACTTTTATGCAATACAACATTTCACAATTGAAGGGGCAAACGGACTTTATCAAACTTACACTTGCAGATTATTATATTGCATCGATTGTGTTTGGTATCATTTATGGTGCTTTGGCGTTGGCAGTATTAACATTGTTAATTATATTCAGAGAAAAGCAACCTATTAAGAGTAGAATTTGTACACCATATCTTGGAATTGTTGCACTCTTAGTGGAATGTGTGCTCATTTTAATTATTCAACAAGCCATTTTAGTGAGTGAAATCAAATCCAATAGTCTTAAGAGCTCATCCTATGATAAGGACATCACTAATGTTGTGAATTGGTTTGGTGGAATTGCAACGATTGTAGTGAATACTCTTAATTTAACCGCCATTCTTTCATTCTTATTGCAAGTGACTCGATTCCAACTCATGAAAAATTTATACAATTTAATGACACGTGTAAAACCCAGTGCGGATGTGAGTACTCAGGATCGATTGAAAAGTTATGAACAAAAAATTAGAATTCTCAAGGCCTTGACTTCTCGAACTGCCAATAACATCATTCTGGTAGCATTTGCCTTCTTGAATGTGCTATATTGGTTGATATTCTTCATTTTGAAATTTATGGGAGCTATTTCAGCTTTTGCCTACACCTCCGTGGTATCCATTACCTATATGGTCATCATTTTAACTTTTGGAGTGTTGATTACTTTGGTGTTCATTGTAGATATTGTGCTGACTCGAAAATTCGATAACGAACGTATTGATGTATCTATTTCTCAGAGTTTGACAAATCAAGTTCCTAAAGAATTGGAATCTGTCCATGAGGGAAAAACTCCAATCAATCATCAAAATTCTTCATTTGGTGCATTTAAGGACAATCAAACCATTCAAATTTCCACCCTCATTCGACAAGCTTGGAGATGGTTCCTTCGAAGGGATAGACCACTCTATTTCCGATTGGAAATGGTATTCTTTGTGGCGTTCTTTATTTTCCTCATCATTTCACAAGCTACTGGAATTTCTACTTTGGAAAGTCGTTTCGCAAGTGAAGAACAATTTAAGATTGGACTCTATGCAGACACTGCTCGATTTGCTTTCGAAGTTGTCTATATTGTTTTCTATATCTTAGCATTTGGTGGTTTTGCAGCCATTGTGTCTGTTGTGAATTATGTGAAACACTTAATTCGACAAATTCAAAGAAACAAACAAAGACGAATGTTTACACGAACAGCTTCCAAATCTGCCTTGTCCATGCAAAATAATGAACCCTTGGATGAGAGCGAGGACTATAATGAAGAATTTTATCAATTGATTCATGACAATGAAGGATTCATAGTGTTTGAAGAATATTGCAAGAAAGAATGGAGTATTGAAAATTTATATATTTATCTCGATCTAATGTCATTTGAAAGAAAACTCACCGACATGATGGAAGACTCTGAAAAATTCCTCCAACAGCTCTATGTGTTTTGTGTTTCCATTTTTGAAGTCTATGTCAAGGAAGGAGCTACTTTGGAAGTGAATATCCCTTCACGAACGAGAAAGAGTTTCTTTATTTTATTCAAGATGGTAATGGAAGCAGCTGTCAATAGACCATTTTGTGACAACAAGTACAAGGAAGTCATTCATCAAGAATTGAATAAGAAAGCACTACATGCTATTCAAACGACCAGTTCTAAATCTCTCATTAAGCAAGATTCTGTGAATGTCATTGCATTGGATGAAAATAAGCAACCTGCATCGATTCAGCATTTAGACTCTATTAGTACCATCACTTCTTCCTCATTGGCAAACACGACCACTGTGGCAACCTCTCAATATTTAGTGATGTGGAAAGATTATGAACTCACTGTGAGAGAATGTGTGGAATCATTGCATCATCAAGTAGTAATGAATTTGAATGACACATTTTCGAGATTTGTTTTCACCGATGAATATAAGGCATTTAGTTATGCCCTGGAGGTGAAATCAAGAATTTTAAAGGATGCTCGATTTTCCTTGTAACACGGCATTAAGAATACATTTGCAATCTCAAAATGGTGATCGGTATTGTGAGTGTATTGTTGCTGCCAAGTTTATGGATCATGTTCATCATAATCACGTTCTCAAAATATCTCTTTTAGGTTTTCAAATACGAAAAATATTCTCGAAATAACACAAATTATCTTTCAAATATGGTTTAATTCCACATTTGGTACAATGAAAAAGGACAAAACATGAACATGGAAAAGGGGCGTCGTTCTTGATTTTGTTAAAAGACATACGAATTTCTGTGATTATTACGATAAAAACAACAAGATGGTCATGTCTCCAATCACTACCACGGTCGCCATGACTGTGGAGCAGCCAGAACATCAGAACCAAAAGAACAGCTTTTTCATGCCATGGATGCATACTTCTGAAAAGAAATCTAAACCTCCATCTCGTTCCTCTCAAAAAGCAATGGTTCTCAAGCTTATTTTGTTTTTGGGAACAGTGAGCCCAAATTATAAGGACACTTCAATTGCTACAATGAGTTGGTTTCAATTTTTGCCATTCGACACAGTTCAACAGTTGACAGAATACGATATTCAGACTCATATTTTGGCTGACAATCTGTACAAGTTTTGGATGCATTTAAATCCTGAAGATCCATCTGACACAACTGTAGAAGTTCATTCCACAACTATTACTGAAGATAAACCAACAACAGAACAACAAAAAACCAACACAGTTCTACCAGTGGCTAAAAACGTTTTTGCTCTTGCAGAAAAGCTTTCATCAAACCTTGGTCACAATGAAGTTTTTGATTCATGGTTGAAATTTATATCAATAGATACTTCATTAGGGAAAAAAATTGATGAAAACAGAGAAGTAGTGACAAGTGTTTTGGATTCTTTTCAAAATGTATACTCGCAATTAGAAATAACTGTAAAACTTTTTTCCGAGCTATTTGTCCTAAATGATAGATATACGATTGAAAATTATGACCATAATCCTCCGAAAAGGCAAGAAAAGGTATCAAGAGGCAAGGGACCAGTGGTTCGATTAGTGACTCGTGTCGATTTCTTTTCAAACTTTCCAAATGTTAATATCGATGTATTGAAAAGCCATATAGAAGGAATTAGACATGAATTGGATATAAAACAAAGGAATAAGGTCATGTGGGTTAGTTTATTACCTCCTGTCATTCAAGGATTTATTGCACTTGTGAGCATGATCATTGGTTTTGTGTTGGGAGCTTTCGCTAAAAAGTGAAAGAAATACGAGGGCCCTAGCTGTAGCTGGTCAAATTTTTGACCTGGAAAGTCCAGGTTCAGGAAGGATAAAAATTTTGACCGGGAATATATTTGGTCAAATGTATACATATGGACGGCAAGGGCCCAAATCGATTTTCCTTAATGGTATGATGTGCCTTAATCAACGTGCCTTCGCAAAAAACAGCGGCAAACAGTGTTCAATTGAAAAAAACTTCATCATCAACAGTAAATTATTTTCGCTTCATCTTTGGATTATGGATCATCGGCAACTCATCAGCAATGCTGTCTGATTGGAACTGTAACCTCCATCTTTATTGCACTAAAATTCCTCAATTCTTCGCTGAGTTTTTGGGAAGCTTTCAAACCAAGAAATTTCTCCATTAACAGTAACCCGATCTAGTCCGAACTCGATGCATACTAGAGAACCATATTGCAAGCTGTGCTGTTGGGATGGGCTCTTTGAAAGTTCCTTATCATGGTTTCGGTCGCGTTGATCTTCTTCTTATTGGGATGGAGCGGTTTGGATTGAAATTTGTTCTTGGCTGCTCCGAATATGAAGGAAACAGGATCGAAATCTGAAAATGCTTCCATACGTGCTCATCAACCTCGGTAATGTGTGCACCAAATTTCGTGGTGTGATTCTAAGGAAAAGTCCATCATCGTTGTTACTCTTTAGTATCATGTATTTTTCCTAAGCCAATTAAGGCCACGTAAAATCTTGGCTCGTACTTCACAGACTCTGCTACAACTTGATATAATTGTTGTCCTTATAATATCAACATCATTATCATTGAGTAATCTCATCTATTCATTCCGGTATTTCGACGGAGAGAGATGGGTAACAAGGGTCATCATATTCGTGGTATTTTCTATAACCACAACACATTTATCAAAATATTGATATAAATTTCAAACTTCTTATGCTGTGGCGGTGTATTGGTTGTAGACGATAAGATACAATTATGTTACATCATCGAGATCCAATTGATTAGTGGCCACTCTTCCGAAATCATGAATACTCTGACACAATCCTTTTCGGAAAACAAGATCTCATCAATGGACAGTGGAGATGGTCAAAGCACCAACCTCGTCGCACAGCCACCCGCCTCTCATTATATAGATGGGTATAAGGTATTGAACACCAGATACACACAAACTACGAACCGTACAGAGTATTACTCTCCAAAAGGTTTGCAGTCATCGAAGAATCGTAAAAGTGGAATTTGCAAAACCTCCAAAACAATTCACAAAAGAAAGAAGAGTTTTCACAAGAATGATTGTTCAGTAACAACCATTTCCACTACAGACCCGTTTAAATCCATGCAATTCACTTTTCCATCATGGACCTTTCACCTTGTCAACACATCCGATGAAGTATCAAGCGATTCATCATCTTGCATAACCTCCCCTCAACCACATCTCAATTTATCCTCTTCTCCATCTACCAGCCGGCTGAAAGTGAAATTTAAAACTCAAAAGATATCAACCCCCTGTCATACTTTATAGTTCTTCACAGAGAGTCAATGACAATTTATTTCGTAACAAACTTTCTATCTAAACATTATTATCTTCCATTGCCACATGTTTTATTTCACAAACCAACAGTTCACTTCTCTTGGAAAAGAAATCGAGACATGAAATTAAAATACTACCATCTATGTTGTTTAAACAAACACCAGTAATATACAAATTAACTGGATACTCCCTTAAAATGAGAATCTTTTCACGCACTGGATCAATTTCGAATAAACAACAGTTGAACTTTCTTGATTTCATTTCCTCAATAGGGGCTGGAACAATGTTACCGGAGATCAATAGTCCAAATTCTTTCTTGTTTTGAGTCCAAATGATCAAGTCCACAACTGAATGATTACACTCTAGTCTTAAGCTGCCAATCTCTCTCTGGAAACGTGAGGCCCTGATACAGATGCAAACTTCAGTTTCGCTCGAAAAAAAGTGTGCTATCTTTTCTATCCGACAACAATGTTCATAATTTAGCGATTTGAGGTTCAGATATTCTTGAACTTCTGTGTAAAAGGGATTAATCACAAGTGACCGTGGTTTTCCCAAAGTGTTTATGTCAAGCGGTGTAATTATTTTTCCATCTGTCACATCCAAAACAATGAATTCTCCCATTACACCTCTGGGCTTGGAACAGTAAAACGAAACCATTCGGGTGTTTGGATTCCCTATCAATTCCAAATCACAACAGTCAAAGTCACGACGCCATTGACTTGGAATAGTTGCTGAACTTGAAACAATATCATCCAATCTGTATTTGACAACAACAAATCTGGATATATGTGTTTCATTGATGTTGTTCCAATCAATAAATGAAGGTAATTCTTGAAACACCATTATCAAGGCATCTCCTTTTTTTTCCTCTACAAGACAGACCTTTTTAATAAAGCAGGAACCAATAGAACTCTTCACTAACAGCCTTGCATGGCTGCTCAAAACGAACAAACTCACTTCGTGAGACGTTTCATTGTGGCATGAAACAATGACAAGACGGTGATTAAAGGAAGCCAGAACACGTGGGTTTGGCTCCACCTACTCTTTTTTTTGAGCCATTTTAACGACTTTACTATCAAAAAAAAATTTTGTTTTCAATAAGTCCTGTCCACGGTCCGAAGTTAACTGGTGAGGACGAGATATACTCAAATCCTAGGCTAATTTTCATTTGCTTTCTAATGGTGTTGAAATTTCTAAGAGATGTGAAGTGGTTGTTGAGTTATTTCACTCTGAATTTTGAAGGTAAATTGGCCCAAAAAAAAATTTAATGTTGTAAATGAAGAGAGGATGATTATTTATTATCGGACTGGTGTTTCAAACTGTAAAACCAGAGAGAAGCAAGGACATTGGAACACAAGGTTTTTGGGTACTTGGAAATTTTTTTTAAAAATGTTTTGGACTCAAAAATTCCAAGTTCAAAATGATGGAGAGGTCTAGCGAAAATATGAAATATAGCTCTTTTTCTATAAATACTGATCAGCTGTATCTCAAATTGATATATGAAGTGTTACTCACCATGTAGAACACTAATATTATGGTTGTGTGCTGATGACTGACTCCTGACGCCGAAATGTGGTACTCCTAACCGCTGAATGTGTCCGTGAGGGTGATGTTGCTTGACATGATATTCTCCTGATAATTAAACGTAGATTGTAGTGTGTATGAGAGCTTTGTAGAGTATTTGTATTGTTTGTGACATGAACAGTGATGTACCTGTTGAATGAATCAGCTCCTATGTTGGAGAGTCGGTTTTTCGCTGGTGGTGGAATATTTTTAAAAAATTTCAAAGTTCAAACCGATAGAAAAGTCAAGCCGAAACTTGAAGTGAGGCTCTATTTCGATAAATACTGATTGATATCATCTCTTATTTGAATATGTTGTATAACTAACTGTGTGGAATATTGTTATTAGATTTAAATTGAAGAAACTGACTTGTGAGGAAGTGCACGTTTCTCTCCAGAGGCTTTTTTCATGATGATCTTTGATTTCTAGGTTACATACTATATATCAACAATTAGGTATTGATGTTATCTAGATGTACGTTTTGAAAATTTTAATATTTGTGAAGTAGTTGTTGAGATATTAAGGATCAAAATGAGCTTTCCCGGTCAGATCACGTCAAATGTCCCTCTTGACCAAAATATATAAAATAACGATTCCATTTCTTGGACAGATATTAGGTTTTAATCCATAGAATATTGAGAGAGTTGAATTTTTGGTAGCTACTAAGTAGTTATTGAATTACACTTTAATACTTCTCACCAGTCCGAAAGTTGTTATAACAAAGTAACCATTACGATTTAAGGATTACTTTTTTCACGTATTGATAGGGTCTGACCTTTAGAACGTAATCCACATCTCTGTTGAGGAAACTATGAAGTAAGTTTTTATCATGGTCGAGTTAAATCAGGACAGACGATTTTGAGGGCTAAAATTTCTTCAATTCAAAAAAATAAAAAAATGCTCAAAACAAACCAGAGAAAATAATCCGATACGACTCTTCTGTTTCTTTGGAGATTGACTGATTCAGTTTTTCGATAAACCAGTGATTTCTATGTTGTATAATACATTGTGTAGAGTATTTCTATGACAATTGATGATGGATGTGATCATTATTGGTGGAGTATCATGATGAACGTTGTGGTAGTGTGATACCATGTCCTTCCGAGAGTGAGTTTGTCATGAACAATACACATCAACATGTTCATCATGATGAGTATTACACATCCATGTTGGTTGTACTCACTGAATCATCAATTTATGGAAGTGGTGTCTCACTCTTTCAATTCATTTTTCTTTTTCACGTGATATTACGATATTGAATAATTTTAAGAATATCACAGTGTGGGTTGGGTTTGGATAGGTGACCGCCTTGACTTGTAATCTTAATTTTTCGACATGCTTAATGATGGGATTTTTAATTTTTATGAAATCGTCGGGGATGGAGGTATATCTATGTGTTGATATGACTTTCATCCATTAATTATGGGTAATTATTGAACTGTATTCGCTTAAAGTAGACCTCTCGTGCATGGTCGGGTTTTTCGTCATCTTTGATGTTGACCTTGATCCAAGTACATCATTCGATAGATTTTGAAGAGTAGTACATTCGTGCTAGCGACATCATTGGATAGTGAGCTAAGTTGGTTGAGTCGTTCAACAAATGGTGACAGGTTTCAAATTTTTGATAGAATTTAAGCGACACCATTTTTGTAGATCTCACGAAAATAATGGGGGTCATGATAGAGCATTCGATCAGGTTTAGGGTAGTTTTCGAGAAAATCAAGTTTGAAGGAGTTTCAACGAGGTCAAAAATGACATGAAAATTTTTCAAAAAAAAATTAAAAAAAAATGAAGCCAAACTTCCCTGCATTTTTGAGGTGATCATCATCAACATCGGGTCATGTTTCCATTCATCATCATGTCATATTCATATTGATCACATCAAATGTGCACATCATGATCAACATTTATGAGGAATAT